TCGAAATAACTTTCGAACCATTTTATCGCAGATATGTCGAAACCGTAGTAATGTAATTTAGACAAAAGCAATGGCACATTAAGACAGTCGAATGCTCTGGAAAAGTCTAGCAAGGCTAAAATCGTTCCTTTGCCACTGTCTATATCTGATAGTATATCGTCGACAACATTTATCATAGCGGTTGACGTACTGTGGTGTTTTCTAAACCCTGACTGAAGACTGGGAAGCACATCGTTAGTTTCTAAGTATATTCTTACCTGCTCAGCCACGACTTTCTCCAGGATTTTTGATACACAGGGGAGTATACTAATCGGGCGTATGTCCTTCATGGTAATAGGATTTGAGTTTTTGGGTATAGGTCTGATGAGTGCGTGCTGCCATTCTGAGGGATATGTTTGCGTTGTAATTGATTTATTAATTATCTCCGTAATAACAGGTATTGTTACGGGAAAAGACATTTTTAACATATCCAAGGAAATACCGTCTGCACCCACCGCATTTGACTTTAATGACTGTGTTATTTTCACAATATCACTTTCCTCAATTGTCTTCAGTTTGAATACATTTGAGACTTTGACGTGTGATTTAAAGAATGTCATATATGAAATAGGAACTTGATTATTTCCTGGCACATTTAAAAAGCTTGTATTAATCGAATCGGGGTCGTTGAAAATATGGTGAGGCAGGTCCGGCTTAGTTTTTAACCTAACGTTTTTTTTTATATGTGACCATACGATGCGAGTATCTTTTTGATTATTTATAAAAAAATTGTAGTAAGCTTTCTTTTCTCTTATTAATGCTTGTGCAACATAGTGTTTGAGCTCTTTATAAAGTAATTTTTGGGCTGCTGTACCACCTGACTTACGTGCGACAACACCTGCTTCATCTCTGACTTTCATCATTTTTTTTATATTATAAGTAATCCAAGGATATTGGAAGTGTTTTAATGATTTTCTACGTACGGGCGCATGAGTGTTAAATAATGTTTTTAACATAGTATTAAACAATGATACCATGCCATTGACGCGATCCAATGTTTTGAAACTTGTCCAATTTAAAGACTTTAAATCTAATAGGAACTGTTCATTATCAATCGCATGCAAATTTCTACGCGATATAATAATTGGTTTTGGTTTCGGTTTTTTTATATTTAATTCGCAGCAAATAAATGCATGACCGCTTAGTTCCGGTATATGATTCACAGAAGTGAATGATTGTTGGATGTCTGTACATACTAGGTCTATTAAAGTTTCACTGTATTCCGTGAAGTGGGTAGGCTCAGTAACACACTGATTTAATTTATAACATTGTAAAAAAAATTTCAACTTCTTACAGTTATTATCCATATCATTTAATAAATTTATATTGAAATCGCCTAATAAAACTACATTATTACACCATGATAATGTTCCGATAGTTTCCGATAAAGCATCGAAAAAAATGTCAACACTCAACCATGGCGGTCTGTAAGCAGTACCAATTATTAATTTTGTACCGTTAATTGTTAGTGCAAGCCACATTTGCTCTACGAGTGGGGCTGGGGGGTGCGGTAGTGTGCGCACTGCAATGCCCTGACGTATGTAGAAGCCCACTCCACCTCCGCGCGAGCGCACGTCGGAAGGGCGAGGAACGTGACGTAATCTATAACCGGGCACCGCAGGCGAGCGCCCCTCTTCGCCCTCTCGCAACCAGGTTTCATTAATCGCCATTATGTCGACAGAATAACGATCCATAGCTACGAGAAATTCGTCATGTCCTGTGCCAAGCGATCCCACATTAAGTAAGCCTAACTTAAGATTATGTTTAGAATTGAATGAATGAGATAATAGTCAAAAATACTATACTTGTGCAGCAACGAAGTGAGAAAAGATACCTACGAAGAGTGTTCTTAAGATTATGATACGCTAATATACTTTTTATGAAGCTCAATGTTTTAAAAATATATATAATGTAATTAATCATCAATAGAGTAGAATTATTATTATTATAACTTAAACATTTTCCCTTAAAATAACTGAGATATATAACTGTTTGAACACGAATTAATGGTTTTAATTGTAAATAATTATAAGTAAACATGAAATTAGTAATTAGAAACTCGGCCCTTACCATCGCACCATTATAGCCATAACAGCTGTAAATGTTTGTATACATAACATTATGAATAATTAAAAATATGGTTATAACAAATCTTAGTAGTAATAATTTTCTTATAATCAATATATTTAGAGTTATATCGTTTACCCTATGCAGAGCTGCTAATGCAAACAATATTTGACTGAAAAACACGATTAAAGTCATCGTCTGTGCGGATGCAGTAAACCGGTTTGTCCTCTGCTTGGCGAACGTAGACACGACCCCTTCTTGTCCAGGAGTAGCGCCACGAAAGCTTTCGACAGGCTTCACGGACCCTATGGAATAGCTGCCGATTATTCCTAGTCAGGCGCTCATTTACGTAGAGGCGTTGGGGCGAGGAGGCCAGCCCGATGTCCGCAGTAGTGATTGAGCGACGCACGCGAGCAGCGCGCAGCAACTCGTCACGCAGGCTACGCCGCGCCAGCCGTACCACCACGCGGCGCGCTCGTATCGCTACGCCTCCTTCCGTACTAGCGCTCAAAGACAGTGGCGCCGGCTCAACACGTTTCGCAAAGACGACGTCCCGTTCTTCCAGTGGTACCCTTAGCCTTACTGCTAGAACAGATATGGTGTGGGTGATATTCTCCCCCTTCTCCTCAGGTAGATGTCCGATCTCAAGATCCGAAAGCAGTGCCTCTTGATCCCGGTCATTGAGCTCCTGCTTTAATAAATTAACTGTTTTCTCTAACTCATTGACCTCCACTTTGGTAGGAGTATGCATTTGCTCGATTACCTCCAGCCTTCGTTCAAAGCCATTCATTCGCTCCGTGAAGCATGCAACGGATGTATGGAGTTCTGCCATTTCCTTACGGAGTTCTCGCATCTCGACCATGCAGGCAACAAGTTGGCGGCTAAGCTCTCGTGTAGGGGAATCATCATCGTTCAAAGCAGTCTTCTGAGTTCCAACGCTGCATGGCGGGCTCCTGATCACTTGAGGTTCTTGCGGGGTGTTTCCGGAGATACCTCTTACAGGGGTACAGCTGTTATCACCCTTTCTTGACTTTTTTTTGCATTCCGGTCACATCCAATCTTTGCTTATCGTTGTTCCATCAGACACCATTAGACATGCCCTATGAAATATATTTGGACAGACTGTACAACCAACGCCACCTGTCGACGAGAGGAATTTGCCGCAAGCTCCGCACTTTGCCATATCGTATTTGTTTTAATTACTAATTAAATGCCGAAAGATGTCGTTAATGTTACTGTTCCTTACTGCTCACCAGATGGTTCTGAGGTACTGCCTACCCTCCACTGAGATTTAATGAAAGGAGACAATATTAATTACACAGTGAAATAAACACAATTTTTTACACTATTACTTATCCACTGCAATCCACAACGATAACACAGCTCAGTTAAGATATCCGAACCTTAATTTTGACACAAACAAGTGAAATTATACTCAAAAACTATTTTTACGAAGAAAAAATACAACAGCTTAAGTTGACTATATGCCGTCCGTCACGCCATCTGGCCAAAAGCATTCTTTAACTCATAACTTACCTTCTATGAAATCTGTCAAATATCTAATAATTCCAAGGAGGCTCATTCCTAAGTGGCGCCGCCCTTGTGACTGAAAAAGTCCTGAATGTGGGAAAAAAACAACCATCTATTTTAAGGCCCGGTTTACATTTTGAGAAGTGACAAGTGCGAGTGACAAGTGCAACTGACAAATGACAAATGCTTAGTGCGTGTGAAAAGGCAGTGTCAAGTGCGAGTGAAAAGTGATAAGTGTGAAATGAACAGTAACAAGTGAATAGCAGCCTGCTCTATTTTTTGACCCGCGCTACCCTTGCTATTGCTACCGCTCACTCGTCCACCGTCCCCGCTCAAACCAACACGTCAAGACATACACGTGTTAGTGAATAATTTTGGTTTACGTATTAATAGTTAATTTTGGTTTGCGCTATCGTTTTAACAATGGTGAAATGGTCAGAGAACGGTAACATTAAATTCGTCCCCAGGAATTACTGAAACACGATTGTTTATTTAATATTAAATCGCCGAATTTTAAAAATAAAAATGTAAACCGGGCTTAAATTTCAGTCAAGGTATCAAAATTAAAAGCTATGTAAATTTTAATAAATCCTAAAATAATTTAAATAAATAAATTGGACATAGTTACGCAAAAAGGATCCAATATAATTTGTGTCAAAAATGTTCAGTTGAAAAATAATGTTTGCGGTCTATACTATTATGTGATGCAACAATTTTAGCGAAAGTAACACAAATAAGAAGAAAAATGACAAACACACACACAAGCCATACAGATCCATTCTTCATTTTTCATAACCTCAAATTAGCTTTCTTTTTAGGGTTGGATCCTTTTTGCATAACCACGTTCAATTAATATAATAATACTTTAAATAAAACATTGGAATCTTAATTTTTAGGCGATAGTAGAACATACCTTGCGCTTTCGCTTAAGGCATGCAATAATCTGAATCAATTTTGTTTTGAATTGCCTTTTTTCTTACCAGTTGTTTAAAAACGTCTTCACAATATGTTAATGGGTTACATTGCAAAGTTTGTGGGAGATTTCGACTGCAGCTTGAGTTAGTCAGCAGACAGTTGATAACGACAGTATCTCAGGCATATTATCTTGAGGTTCACATCACTATTGAGCACTTGTTTCATCGGCCCCTAATAGTTCACATGCTTAGACATTTTAATAAATACACAAAATCGCACCACTTTTATGTATCTAAATCCACTTCAAACCATTATTACAATAAAACCAGAGCAGCAATCCGTAGGTGGTCAAGTTCCCACTAGCCAGAACTCCCAAATGGCATTTTATTGGCACATATTTTTCTGTCGTTAGTATTTTTATAATTTTCAATCTGGTCACACTTGTAACAATGTCAACATCAATAACCTCAACAAGCTTGTTGACAAATATTCATGATATTTTATGTAAAGAATTTGATGAAAATTGTTACATAGTTCGTGGAAATTACCACTATTACCACTATTTGTGCGATGGTTTCGACGATAGAGTAATTAAAATCACATGTTTTTGATATTATCATTAAGAATTCTTAAGAGGTGATTACCTATATTATTTTTTGTTTCAGGGTTGGGGATGTGGATATAGAACACTACAAACAATATGCTCATGGATGAACCATAACTTGAAAGATATAAAAAAGGTGCCATATCTGAGAGAGGTCCAAGAAATCTTAGTTCAACTAGAAGATAAACCTAAGAATTTTTTAGGATCAAGACAGTGGATTGGCAGTTTTGAGGTAAATATGAAAATAGAGGCTGCAATTCTTTAAGTATACATTAGATTATGATAAGTATATTAAATTATTCATCACAGTCCTTCACAACTCCGCTAAATAGTCTAACCAAGTCTTCATTCCACTAGGTGGAATGAAGACTTTGTAAGATTTCTTTTATGGGACAAGGTGACAAACGAGCACATAATGCACCTGATGGTAAATGGTTGCTGTGACCCATAGACATCTACATCTATCCTCAATAAAGAATCAAAATGCAGATGCGTTGTTACCCGTGAGGACTAAGATGAAATGCCTCTTTTCCAGTAAAAAGGGTCTCCAGTTCTCTATACTCACCACACCAAACATAGCAGTGTTAAGCTGTTATTTACGCTGGTATTCTGTAAGAGCATGGTCCTTCCCCTGTTGATCCGACCCATTTGTGCTACAATTATACTACTAATATAGCTGCAGCATGCCTCTTCCACGTATATATGTAGGAGGTCGATGAATGCAAGTAGTCAAGGACCATATGTAGTGACATCCCTTGGAATTGTAATTACTAGGACTATGATGATGATGATTATACTGTTAATAATAAGATATGTGTACTTATCATAACCACTTAAATACTCCAATGTTGGAAATATACTTCTCCCAAGTTTATAGAATTGGCAAAATTTGACTAAACATTTAGTTACAGTTACAGTGTTTAGTTTAAATAACCTTATCCCACCATAATCCACAATCTTCCATAGTTCTTGCAGGTTTTTTATACTTTATTACAGGTATGCCTTGTAATAGACAAGTTGTATGATGTTCCATGTAAAATCATTCATGTTAACAAGGGAGATGAGTTAGAGAAAATAACTGAAACCTTGAAATTACACTTTGAAAAATTTGGAAGTCCTGTCATGATGGGTGGGGATATTGACTGCTCTTCAAAAGGCATAATGGGAATACAGATTTTAGGCAAGAATACCAGTCTATTAATAGTGGTAATTTTTTTTATATTTTCATACACTCACAAAATATAGCTTTTTTTTCATTAAGAGTTCACTTCAAACCATTATTTAAACAATAATACAGGAGCAGCAATCCGTAGCTGGTCAAGTTCCCGCCAAAACTCCACTCTACTTTGTGCGACTGTTTAACCACAGACTATTATGTGTTTCAAATTGACAATATGAATGTTAACAATTAATGTTTTATATTATTTTATTTAACATATTTGTAATACATATTGTGCATAAATTTTTGCTTTCTGCGCTCTTTCTACATATAATAAACATTAAATTCTGTTATAGCAGAATGGATCTATGCTTAAAAGGTGGATGTGCAATCGCAAATATCTTTCTTTGATCTATGCTGCTTGCCCATGAGATCACATATGACAATGGTGTCTCTGTGTACCACATGGCATAAAATCTTGTATATAATATCTTGTCTTGTATTATTTAACTAATTTTAATTGTATAATGTAATATACTTCTGCAAGTTTAGCTTCTTACCATTGCAGCCTATTAAGTCCACTGCTAAACATCCATCATAAACTGCCTCATAGAGGAGGTATTTGCCATAGATGCCGAGCTTGGCTTGGCATTCCTTGCTAAAACAGGTCCCATCCGCAGAGATCGTGATCCTTGGCGATTTTAACGCCCACCACGCCGAATGGCTTGGTTCACGTTTAACCAATCATGCGGGTAGATCTGTTTATGACTTTGCCTTGGCATATGGTCTGACACAACTGGTTACTTCGCCTACGTGGATTCCAGATGTGGAGGATCATACACCTTCCCTGTTGGACCTTCTGCTGACCTCTCATCCGGACGTATATCAGGTTTCCGTCGATGCCCCTCTCGGCTCTTCGGACCATTGTCTGACCCGGAGTGTCGTGCCACTCACGCTCCCCTCGCGGCTGCGTTCTGCAGGTTACCGCCGTGTTTGGCATTACAGGTCGGCGGATTGGGACGGAATGCGGTCTTTCTTTGCGTTCTACCCATGGGGGCGGGTTTGCTTCTCGCCGGATGATCCCAGCGCTGTTGCTGACTCTGTCACTGATGTGGTGCTACAGGGAATGGAACTATTTATTCCATCATCTGTGGTACCCATCTGAGGCAGATCTCAGCCTTGGTTTGGTCGCTCCTGTAAGACTGCATTACACAGTAAGCAGGAGTGTTATCAAGCCTGGGCTGCGGCTTCGGCGACTCGGGATGTAAACACCAGCATACTTAAAAAGAAGTATAACTTTGCCTCCGGGTCCTTCAAAAGAGTTATTGCCAAGGCAAAGTCAGAGCACATAGGCAGAATTGGCGAGAAACTAGTTCGCCTTCCTTCGGGAACCCGTGCATTCTAGTCTCTCGCTAAGGCTGTCCAAGGGAATTTCTGCAAGCCATCAGTACCATCTCTGTACAGGGAGAACGACTCACTGGCCCACGACGCAAAAGAGAAAACCGACCATTTAGGCTCCCTTTTTGCGTCCAACTCGACTGTTGATAAAGAGGGGAACACACCGCCGACCATCCCGCGGTGTGAGTGCTCCATGCCGGATGTGCGGTTCTCACAGCGCTCGGTTCGCAAAGCACTCCTCTCCCTGGACATCCACAAGTCGAGTGGGCCTGACGGAATCCCCCCAATTGTGCTGAGGACGTGTGCTCCGGAGTTGGCACCGGTTCTAACGCGTCTTTTCCGGTACTCCTACTCCCTAGGCGTAGTCCCGAAATCATGGAAGACAGCTTTTGTCCATCCGATCCCTAAAAAAGGCGACCGCTCAGACCCGTCCAACTACAGGCCTATGGCCATCACCTCCTTGTTCTCCAAAATAATGGAATCCACTATTAACTCCCCAGCCAGCCGCCAGCTCATGCGGTACCTTGAGGATCACCAGCTGATTAGTGACCGCCAATACGGTTTTCGTCGGGGTCAATCAGCTGGTGATATTCTGGTCTACCTGACTCATAGATGGGCGGAGGAAGTAGAGTCCAAGGGGGAGGCGTTGGCCGTTAGTTTGGACATTGCGAATGCCTTCGATCGGGTTTGGCACAAAGCGCTTCTTTCGAAGCTCCCTTCCTATGGGCTTCCCGAGAAATTGTGCAATTGGATCACCAGCTCCCTTGCAGATCGGAGCATTAAGGTGGTTGTTGACGGTGCATGCTCCGACTACAAGCTTATTAACGCTGGTGTTCCACAAGGCTGTGTGCTGTCACCAACGCTGTTTCTTCTGCATATCAATGATATGTTGCTAACTGGTAACATTCATTGCTATGCGCATGACAGCACTGGTGATGCTTTATACACCGGCCGTGCCAATATTTCTCGGGAAAATGTCGCCGAGTGCCGGAACAAACTTGTGTCTGAAGTCGAGTCTTTGCTGAACAAAGTCTCGGATTGGGGGCGACTAAATCTAGTCCAGTTTAATCCTCAGAAGACACAAGCTTGCGCGTTTACCGGTAAAAAGAACCCCTTTGTCGTATCTCCTCAGTTTCAAGGCACTCCCCTTCTTGCCTCAGCCAGTATCGGAATCGGATTGGCGGTCCACCACTGTGCGATTTAGAAGATGTCTTCCTCGTACAACTTCCTTGTGGAATCGATTACCATCAGCGATTTTTCCGGACCGATACGACTTAGATACCTTCAAGAAAAGAGCCTACTCCTTTTTAAAAGACCGGCTACGCATCTGCTATTCCCCTGGTTCCCCTGGTGTAGCAGTTGTTCATGGGCGGCGGTAGTCGCTTACCATCAGGTGAGCCGCATGCTCGTTTGCCCCCTATCCTATTAAAAAAGGCGGATTGGCACCAGCAGATTTAATTTTTTAGTGGTTTTTTTATTTAATTAGGGTGATAAACAAGCACACAAACCACCCAAAGGTAAGTGGATGCTGTGGCCCATAGACATATTAATTTCTCCACAATTAAGTATCAAAATGCAGATGCGTTGTTCCCTACACTCACCATATGAAACACAATGGCATTAAGTTGCACAAGTTGTCCTTCCTCTGTCGAGCCGACCCATTCATGCTACAACCATAATAAAGCTGCAGCGTGCCTCTACTACTAGGAAGACGCTGTTACTGATCTTGTTTCCCTTTGTCATCTCTTACGACATCCATGGAACTCTTATGCCGCAACTACACGATACTACTACTTTTAATATTATTATATGTATAATTTCTTGTTATTTTTCAGGACCCTCACTACGTTGGAAATGAGCAATCTAAAGATTTTTTAAAAAACAAAGGTTGGGTGAAATGGCAGCCATTAAATGACTTTTTAAGTTCGTCCTTTTACAATCTATGTTTGCCACAAGTAAAAGCAGGATCTGTAATTTAAAAAATGTGCTGCTTGCTTGAAAATCAGTCTTTATTACCAGCAATTAAACAATACATATTATAGATACTTACATAAATTAATTTTTTTCTTAGCAAAATTTAAGAAAAAAGTCATTTGTTTTATAATATTAACGAAACAAAATTAAATCTATAAACACTATTACCAAATCTGATTTATTTTATTTTATTATGGGTATGGAGGCAGTATCATTATTATTACGGGCTTTGAGGAGTTCCATTTTAGTCTTCAGAGGAGACAACGCATTTGTTTGAAGTCGGCTGCAAGTATCCGTGCACTGATGAAAGCAATACAATTCAATAAATCAGTGAACTAACAAAAATATTTCATTTAGTCGCAGGAAAATCTTTTGGACTAAATGGACAGTAAAATATGTATAGTAACATAATAACCTGGAGGCCAAGCATTTGTGGTAAATTGCTTAGTCCGCGAGCACCTGACTTCAATCTCACCGATATTGTGTATTAAAATTTGAAGTGCTGACTTATCACTTGCTAGGCGTTGAAGGTAAATATCGCGAGGAATCATGTATATGCTGGAGGAATTAAAAAACGTTTTGAAGACATGATGTGAATTCCATTACACTAAAACAGCGTGTCGGACTAACTGTCTTAATATAACCTCAGAAATAGGTGGAGGCCCAGCAGTAAGATTTATGAGCGACCTTATTACCTCTGTAAAAGAAAAGTAAAATAATAAATTTAGATTATCTTAATCAACACCATGTATTCCGTAATTAACACAAATTAAAATTATATAAACTAAGTGTATAAAAACATTTCAGTCAGTGTTCATTATAAGACACACGCCCTGTAGAATCCAATGGCTGCAATGCTCCGCAGTCCAGAGATCTGCCTCAAACACCAAGCCCACACCCATTGCGTTGCGTCGCTGTGACGTTGTGTATACGGGTGTTCGGAGCGTGTTCTGCAATTTTGTATTAAATAATATAATTAAAAATTTTATACTGCGGACTTCAATATAAGTTATTAAGGGCCTATATTACCTCAGCTCAAATTCTAATTTCGCCCCCACTTCCCCGCGCCATTCGTTCGCACACTACGGCTCGCGGTCACGCGGGAACACGAGGTCAAAGAGATTTTGTTAAGAGTAAAACAAACTATTATCGCACGAGCATAAAGCAATAAAATTTTGAGTCATAATTTAATATTAACTTGTCATTAAATGAACATAAAATTATATGTCGCAAATTTAATTTCATTGTACATAAAGCTAAATTCTAATATAAGTTGACCCTTCATTGTATCGAAAGCCTATACAATACGAGATCAGCTTATACTTGTATTTAATCTTATAGTGAAAGGATCCGCCCATTGTTGGTTTAGTAGTAAGCTTGAGTTTTATAGTATTATAGTTTTTGTATATTTTTAATGTGACAGCCATTTACGTATGTAATTATATTGGTAGTAGGTCTATGCAAGTATCTACATAATATACATACCTATACCTACCACTGTATAAATTCTACTACTACAAAAAACTCGTCAAGCGCTGTTAGCAAAGTTCTGTAGATAGGTACATTGGCTTGGTAGTAAGTTTACGCTTTGCATTTTACAATCTTATAAACTTATAACAATATAGTTTTCGCCTTGTATTACATACTAGGTACTTACTTTTTTAGTTATTATACACACACACACACACACGTGTATGTGTATATATATATATATATATATCAACGTCATTACAGCCCTTCACAAATCCACTGCTGAACATTGACCTCCCCCCCAAGGAATGCCACAAAGCACGGTCCTGAGCCACCAGCTTTCATCTACTTATTGCCTGTCTTACTAGGTCGTCATTCCATCTACATCTAGTGGGGGGTCGCGCTACACTACGCATACCGGTGTGAGGCTACCATTCGAGAACCTTTTTTCCCCATCGGTTTTCGGTTCTTCGATCTATATTTCCGGCCCATTGCCAATTCAGCTTACTAATCCGTTGGGCTATGTCGGTCACTCTGGTTATAACCAGAAATGAGGATATCCGCAGTATACTGCGGATATCCTCATTTCTAAGTCTTATCACGCAGAGAAACCCTAAGTCATTTATATCTAAACAAATAAAATTGAAGTGTCTGTTTGTAATGTCGAAATAACAGATTTTTAATATATGCATATGAAAGTATATACGGTATTTATAACAAAAACACGATTTTTAAAATTTTTGTCTGTCTGTTTGTTCCGGCTAATCTCCGAAACGGCTGGACCGATATTGACCTAACTTTCACTGGCAGATCGCTGATCTTATAAGAAGTAACATAGGCTACTTTTCTTTTAGAAAAAGAATTAGGGTTCCGCGTAAAAAAATTAAAACCCATGAAATCTCATCATCATTTTTCATCATTACAGCCCTTCACAAGTCCACTGCTGAACATAGGCCTCCCCCAAAGAATGCCACAAAGCACGGTCCTGAGCCACCTGCATCCATCGACTTCCTGCATGTCTTACCAGGTCGTCACTCCATCTCGTGGGGGGACGCCCTACACTTCGCCTACCGGTACGAGGCTGCCACTCGAGAACCTTTCTTCCCCATCGGTTGTCGGTTCTTCGAGCTATATGGCCGGCCTACTGCCACTTCAGCTTACTAATCCGTTGGGCTATGTCAGTTATTCTGGTTCTACTGCGGATATCCTCATTCCTAAGTTTATCACGCAGAGAAACTCCGAGCATAGCCCTCTCCATAGCTCGCTGAGCGACCTTGAGCTTCCTCATACGGCCAGCAGTGAAGGACCACGTCTCAGTTCCGTAAGTCATCACTGGCAACAAGCACTGGTTGTACAATTTCGTTTTAAGGTTTTGAGGTATGTCTGACGAGAAGATGTGTCGTAGCTTCCCGAACGCTGCCCAGCCGAGTTGAATCCGTCGATTGACCTCTCGGTCGAAGTTGGACTTACCTAGTCGGACTATTTGTCCCAGGTAAACATACTCGTCAACAACTTCGAGCTTAGTGCTTCCAACAACTACCGTCATAGGTGTGACATGGACATTGAACATGATCTTTGTTTTGTCCATGTTCATCTTAAGACCTATCCGTTGGGAAACACTATTGAGGTCATTGAGCATAGTGCTTAGGTCCTCCAGCGATTCTGCCATAAGGACTATATCGTCGGCAAATCGAAGGTGAGTGATGTACTCGCCATTGATGTTGATACCGTATCCTTTCCAGTCCAGAAGCTTGAAAACGTCTTCCAATGCAGCGGTGAAGAGTTTCGGGGATATGACGTCACCCTGTCTTACACCTCTCTGCAATTGGATAGGTTTCGTACTCTGGTTCTGTACTCGGATAGCCATCGTAGCCCTACTGTACAAGCACTTCAACACTTCGATATACCGACAGTCAACTTGGCACCGCTGAAGGGACTGCAGCACCGCCCAAATTTTGACGGAATCAAAGGCTTTCTCATAGTCCACATACGCCAGATATAGTGGCAAATTGTACTCTTCGGACTTCTGTACAATTTGCCGAAGGGTATGTATGTGGTCTATGGTGCTAAAGCCCTTTCGGAAACCGGCTTGTTCGGGAGGCTGGAAGTCGTCAAGTCTGCGCGCGAGACGATTCGTAATGACTCTCGAAAACAACACGTAGACGCGGCTCAGAAGGGAATTGGTCTGTAGTTCTTCAAGAGAGTGTTGTCACCTTTCTTGAAGAACAAGACCACCGCACTTCTGCTCCACGCCTCCGGTGTAATGCCACCATGGAGGACGGAATTAAAGAGCTTCTGAAGGACTTCGAGTACCGGTTTTCCATCCGCTTTCAGAAGCTCCGCTGTAATTCCATCCTCGCCTGGGGCCTTACCGTTTTTAAGGTGCTGGAGAGCCATACTAATCTCGCTCAGACTGACGTCCGGGATATCTTCGGAATAGTGTCGGATGAGACTCGCTCTTGGATCGTTACTCACACTTGCGTGTGGCTCCAACGATGACGTGTACAGCTGCCCATAGAACCTCTCAATCTCACTCAAAATCTCAGGTGTCCCGGAAACGATGCTGCCACATTCCGTCTTCAGCTTTGACAGTTGGCTCTTTCTGGCAGACAGATCTCTGGCAAAGACTTTGGAGCCTTGGTTCCGCTCGATCGCTTCTTCAATACGAGCTGTATTGAAGTTGCGTAAGTCGCGCCGCATGCATTTGGAGATCTGTCTGTTCAGATGCCTGTATGCTGTCAAGTCTGTTGAAGAATGTAGCTTCATCTCCCGTCTAACAGCCATGAGATTAAGAGTGTGATCGGAGAGTTTTTGTGTTCTTCTGCGGCGGGTCTTGCAGAACTTAGCTCCGACCGCATGGACAGTTTCCACGAGCTTGTCATTCATATCGTCCAATTCATTGCAGTCTTCTAGGCACTGAAAACGGTTTTGTAACTCGAGCTGAAAGATTTCGGGACTTTGGATTAGAGCACGAGGGGGACGGAGCGTTGACTTCATTAGACGAGACCTCTCCAACTTAACGTTTAGGTTCAGTGTGCCTCTAACCATTCGGTGATCGCTACCAGTTTTCACCCTCGCGATCACGGAGACATCACTGAACAGTTGTCGTCTGGTCGTCATAATGAAGTCAATCTCATTTTTTGTCGAACCGTCGGGGCTTGACCAGGTCCACTTCCTGTGGGGCCGCTTCTGGAAGAAAGAGTTCATCATAAAGAGTCCCTCTTTCTCCATGAAGTCGGCCAGCTGCTGGCCCCTTGGGTTCCGTTGCCCTATTCCAAATTTCCCTACTTTCAGCTCACCGTTCTCTCTTGTGCCTAGTTTTGCATTGAAGTCTCCCATTAACACCGTATATTGGGTTTTGGAGGAATGCATGGCTCTAGAGATATCCTCATACATTGCCTCCACCTCCTCATCGAAGTGTGCCGAGGTTGGTGCGTAAACCTGTATGACCTTCAGCGAATACCGTTTGGTGATTCTGAGTATAAGGTACGCAACCCTCGTCGATACACTCCCGATCTTTACAACGTTGTTAACGAGAGACTTGTGGACGATAAATCCGACACCTTCTTGGGACAGATGGCCGCCCTCCCGGTGATAGAGCAAGTTGCCGGATTCGAGGATTACCGTGTCCTCCGCCTCTCTTCGGACTTCGGATAATCCTATAATATGCCAGCGCAACTTGTCTATCTCTTCTTCCAGCTCCACGATCTTCTCGTCAGTCCTCAGGGTGCGTGCGTTGTATGTTGCCAGGTCGAGTCGTCTAAGGTGGCAACCGAACCTCCACCGGAGATTCTTAGCACCCCCTGTCCCGCCGTTACCATAGTCGCCACCGTAGCCAGGAATAGCGGGGCCGCCGGGGACTGGGGGCCGTCTGTTTGTTGCTTTAGTCATTGGGGGGTATTTGCCATAGTTGCCACGCTTGGCGAGCGGGTTGGCAACCGCAGTTTTTTTTTTTGTAATTTGGCTATTATCAGGAAGATGCTGCTGCCCATCTCCTGCCTGTTTCCCTTTGTCGCCTTTTACGACACCCACGGGAGGATATGGGGTAGTGGATATTCTTGACCGCCACTACACGGCAAATGTAGTGGCGGTCAAGAATATCCACCATGAAATCTAATCGTAATAAATTACGCGCGGGCGAAATCTCAAGGAACTGCTAGTCTATACAAATAAATAAAATTAAAGTGTCTGTATGTAATTCCAAAATTACAGCTTTTTACCAAATGCATATGAAAGAATATACGGTACTAATAACAAAAATAAAATTTTTAAGGTTTTTATCTGTCTGTCCGTCTATCAGTCTGTTTGTTCCAGCTAATCTCCGAAACGGCTGGACCGATTTTGACGGGATTTTCACTGGCAGATAGCTGATGTCACAAGAAGTAATTTAGGCTACTTTTATTTTAGAGACAGTATTAGGGTTCCGCGCAAAAATATTAAAACCCCAAATAACACGCGGGCTAAGTCGCGGGGCTAGTGTATATACAACTGTGCAACTGAGCAGTATAAAGTTCACTGTAGGCACTGTGCGAAGGGGATTTCGCCTAGGTCATTCTACGAGTGATAGTGACAGTGTCCTGCTTCTGTTCGATGTAGTAATTCTTTTAGTCCAGGCAAGGAAGACCATGTTGCTGAGAGGGTGGTCTGTATTACGATTAAATGGGTAGTGTTGCTGTTGGTTTGAATATTTTGGTGTTATCATGTAATTACGTTCCTCACATTACACTACTGTGTAATTGTGACGGGGACTTATTACTTTTTTTTTATAGGATAGGGTGACAAACGAGCACACAGTCCACCTGATGGCAAGCGGCTACCGCGACCCATAGACATCTACATCCATCATCAATAAAGACTCAAGATGCAGATGCGTTGTCACCCGTGAGGACTAAGATGGAATGCCTCTTTGCCAGTAAAAAGGGTCTCCGGTTCTCTACACTCACCATACGAAACACAGCAGCGTTAAGCTGCTATTTTACGCTGGTTTTCTGTGAGAGCGTGGTCCTTCCCCGGTCGAGCCGACCCATTCGTGCTACAACTATACTACTAATATAGCTGCAGCATGGCTCTACCACGTTAAAATTCATTCATCGTCCATGTGATCGTGATTTTCACAAAATAAATACACAAACAAAAGGTGAACTATGTTCTATAAAATAATAATTATTTACAATTTATTTATTTCATTTTCTAAATATTATTTACGTGGCAGAAGAGAAGCGCGAGCGCAAAATTATGGAACAGGTCTTACCTCGGCAACGTGACGTTGTCCCGCGGGACCATAGATTACTGTATATATACTAGAGCGGGACATTGGCAAGCGACGCGCGGGTCGAAAATTACTTGAATAATTGATGTTTTTAAATAAATGCATTGAAAAAAAAAACGATTGGGTAAAATTGATTCCAAAATGCAATGATACCTATAAATTGATATTATATATAGAAAAAAGGAGTATTAGTCCTTTTTTAAAATGAAAGATGACAATCGTTTTTGGGCCCACTAGAAATTGTAACGTAACTTAATTTTATTACACATAAAAAAAAGATACCAATTTATTTTAGTAAACGGCCTAAACATTTTATTAAAACCTAACCGGAATCATGAAATCTAAGAAAAAAAAGGGTTGTTTTGATATTCGTATTCTGGCTAATATAAAAAAACGTGTAATGAACAGGGGTATGAAAGTCCGCAATAGTTTGCTTTTACTTTGATACTAGCGCCATCTCACAGTCATTAAAAGCACTATTTTCCCCAACATTTTTAAACATTTTATTAAAAAGAAGGCGTCACTGCTGGTATTTATTATTTATACGGCAGCCTCTTTACATTAATGGTCAATTTCTCAGTATACCCCTTAGATACGTTAAAACTAATATTACTTTTGTAAACTATAGGTTATAAAAAATAAATCGACATGTATTTCATTAAGTTACGCCACAATTTGTGATGGGCCCATTCTCCATACAAAAAGAAATTGTCTCCTTTGGCTTGTAAAAAAACTGCAAATAGAACGTATTTCGGTATTTTTCTTCTAACGATAAACTTGTATTGTACGAGTATCGTGTATTGACCGAATACATCGCAAGCAGAAAGAATGTATCTAAAAATTTTTTTCTGATTCTGAAAGTAGTAGACGTCTTGACGCATTAATCAAATAAATCGATGTTAAGGCTATTTCGCTGTTAGTATGTTAGTATAGGCTGTATTTCGTAGTTTTAGAGAGATTGTGTGATTTAAAACTGCACTTGTATTTTCAGTAGATTACTTTTATAAATTCAAATCTAGTAAAAATACTAAAATCTACATAACAATAAACAAATATAGATTTTATAACATTTAATAAGTTGAAAGTGACAAACGCGACCAAAAAATTCATTTACACTCTGAATGCAACTTGTAAACATATGCCGCGGATTAAAGTTTGAGCTAATTTTAAGAGCCCATTTTAATGACAGTAACCTATTTTAGTGAAATATCGTTGTGGGTATTGTAAAAGAAGATTTTAAGACTATATCGTGATTTCCAAAAATATTCAGTGATTTATAATTCAAAAATCGGCGTCTGTAGTGGTTTACATAATTAAAAATTAATAATTTTGTACAACCGACTTCAATATAAATTATTAAGAATAACTCAAAAACTATTGGTCAGACCTTGATCAATATTATATGGGACCACATGAGAAGCACCAGCTTTCAAATAAAAAAGAACAGTACAGTTGCACCTTGCGTTTTTTCGTCCGGTGAATGTGTGGTCATAAGGATTCAAATAATGAAAGAACAAATTCATTTTTCTCTTGAATATATGCTAAACATATTTTTTTAATTCTACCGTTTTATCGATTATACTAAGCGAGAAAAACAAAAATTCTCTTCTAAGCGATCTATGCGAAGAAAAACCTATAGCCCCGCCTTTCCTTGACATTAACATTAGTGCCTTGATCCTCAATTTCTCTTTCTCTTTCAGTGTCGCTACAGTGAAAACGTAACTGAAATAAAATTTTTCGCAGTGGTCATGGTGGTGTTCTGCTGTATTAACAGTACATACACCATGTGATATTAACAACAGATACCAGAAAATGGCAGTTACGCTACGTATACGGGCTTCCCGACGTATCCGGCTTAAAGCGCAGGTTGAGCAAAATGTCGCGCTAGTCGTTATTTGTGCGGTTTTAAGAAGCTATCTACTTTTTATTTAAAAGATATATCAACAAATAAAAAACACATTATATTTCTACATAATCTTGATTCCATAAAAGCTATATCCAATTTTTTTTTAAACGAATAAATATTAATATAATCTCCTTACAACGAAACCACATAAATGTGAAATTATTATTGATAACATGGATCTCCTCGTAAAGTAAGTATTATTTTATTTTGCGATTTACACCAATGGATAGACAATTTATTAATAAACATTTCTATAGTAAATTTTTTTTCAAAAGACCAAAATTTGATTTTATTAAGAATTTATTTTAAAATCTGGGCATATTCACTGCTCAGAAGTCAGTGAGCCCTGAGCTCTTCGACGCGAAGCCCGTGTCGTTAGAGCGTCGACCAGCACGTATACACTCACGTCATACTAGTCGATAATAATATTACTTATTAGGTTATTTATAGGTAGTATTATTTGTTTGTTTTGGGTATAATTTTTCGTAATAGTTATACATATATTTGTTGTGTTTTTTTACTGCGCGATGAAGCTTTTTGCGTGTATTTTCTTTGAAGTAAATGCAAATAAAAAAATGAAGCACCATTACGCATGTAAGGTTCGAATCCATAATTAAAATTTCGACAAATATTATAATTTACACTATAAAAGGCTAATTCAATATTATCACCCAACCACAATATCTTATTAAGTATAGTACTGCCTCGTTGGTCTAGTGGTTGTAGTAGTGCGACTTCTGATCATGAGGTCCCGGGTTCGAATCCTGGGTCGGGAAAAAGGTCAGTTATGAGTTTTTCATTTTTGTTCTAAGTTATAATTAGTATTACTAAGTTATAGTTTTTTGCTAAAATATAGTATATTATTTATTGCTTGTTTTTTCTTCTTTTTCAAAAAATAATTGAGTACATAAGGTGTTCTATACTTATAATTCGGTAAAAAGTATCTAAGTAGGTACTAATATACCTACTTTTTACTACTAAAAATTTTTAAAACTAAATTTAACTAAAAAGACTAAACTGACCATTTATTTTTTAACTCAAAACAGGACATGGGTTTATTTATACTCTAAAAACTATAACTTTATACAATTAGTGTTCACTATAAAATTATATTCGGTATAGACGGTAATTATTAAATGCAACATATTTTTCTTAATTATTAATTACATTTGTCAGTGGATTAAATTTTCTTTAATAAAGTTGGTGATGATTTTAAATAAAAATAAAATTCTGCTCAAGTTTTTTTATTGTTATCTTTGTTAACAACATCGCCTTTCAGAACTCTGGAACCGTGTTTCTTTCAGGCGTCCACAATTTATTCAAAATAAAAAAAAAATACTCTTTCTACCGGAGCATTCGTACCAGGTAGACATAAAATATATTCGATTAAAAAAAATTATGTTGAAGATTGTTGACTTTGAATACTTCCATCCAACGAGTTACGGGGCAATTTTGTGTCCCGGAGCTTTGTTTGGGGACAATGGGACAGGTGACCGAGAAAAGGGACAGTCCCGTTCAAAGCGGGACGTATGGTCACTTTAGCTATAACCCGGCGACGGCTCCGTCGCGAAGTGGTTTATTTATTTATTTTTTATTGGACCAAATATTTGTACAAAAGCCGAGCTATCTATTTATTTACCTATAGTGAATAGGTATCTTTTAAACTCACAATTTTCAATGCTTCATTTTTAATATATAATTAATTATAAAATTTCATAATTAGATAATATATGAAAATACATAATTCTAATATAATGCAACTAATATATACCGAATAAAAAAATTAAAATACATTTATCTTTGTACGCTGTGTGTATTTCCATAAAATAGTTTATTGATGTTGAAAAAATAATACTACGTTATATTGTAGCGAGCGGCGCGCCGGTCAAATGCTCAAGGCCGTTCGCATGGAGTAGCCCCTTAAAGGACAGACCGGAATTTGCTATTGTTGGCTTACCTGCAGTTTAAGCTTATGAGCTTCAATCGGTATGATGTGCATGATCGGGAGCTCTGTAACTAGCACCTTGGGATGCGAACGCTTCAAGCATCCCTCTTCGTGATCCCATCGTGCGCCTTCCAAATATAGTCCACGGATGTAGCATCCCTGATAAAATATTTATACATAATAAGTACAAACGTTTGTGTTGTATGCTACGCGCGCAGGAAAAGAATAAGATTGAATTTACTGATAACTTCACTCTGTAAGCGTAAAGAACATATTATTATTTTTCTATGATTATTCAAATAAAAATGTATTTTAATTAAAGCCACAGAAAAAAATAAACATTTTTGGATCAAATGACAAATCGTTTTACTCTATTCAAGTGCTGCCATTTACTATATTCATACTATTTTCGTATACACTTTGTAAGACTACCAACACAACACACAAACACAAAATATTTTTATATTAAGTTATTATTAGTAATAACTATACTATCAGTAATAATAAAAATAAAAGTGATATGGTCGGAAATAAGTCTCTTACAAAGAACTTCCTACAATAATACATTATCTCGATCATAGCACTATGTAATAATTACATTTAATGTTATAGCAACACAAGCTAAAACAAAATGTCACTATTGGAGTTTTGGCGGGAAATTGACCGGCGGCGGTTTGCTGCTCCTGTATTATTGTTTAAATAATGGTTTGAAGTGGACTTTGATATGTAAAAATGTTGCGATTTTGTGTATTAAGTGTCTACGCATGTGAACTATTAGTGGAAACAGTGAAACAAGTGCTCTGATGGTGATGGATTCTCAAGATAAGCTGTTTGTTTGCATAGGCACCTTTAGATACCATCGCCAACTATCAGCTGTCTGCTGGATCAAGTTGCCGCCAAAATCTCCCAAGAACTGCACAATGTGACGCATCAACATATTGTGAAGCAGTATACTATGAAGGAGTGGGAAAATTACAATAAACCGAATAAAAATACTTAAGACTTGGCCTAAAGGTCTAGATACCAGGCCATAAAATGGTAAATAAAATAATGACTTTCAATAAGTATTATGTAATAATCCATATTGAATAAAAATCATTCTATTCTATTCTATTCTATTCTATTCTATTCATAAACTCCAAAAAAAAAATGTCACTATTTTTTTACTGGCTTTACGGCTCTGGGTGCTAGACCTTCTGAGAAATTCACTGTATGACACAAAGGCCCTGGAGGCATGCCAGAAATATACATTTATAGTATGCAAATATATAATAGAGATACAATAATCTAAAAACTCTCTATTATGTCGGTAGGTATATTATGTTGAGAATGTATTAAGCTAACATAAACCAACCACAGGACGCATGAGTTTTTCCAAGTGACATAAGACATAACCTAAGAAGGTTCAAATCTAAATATCTTTTTTTTGACGCCTTCTGAGGACAAAATTCTTTGACAGAGTTATTAAGGGACTGACGCTTAACATTTTAAGATATTTTTGATATATAGACGCTACCATTTCTTCTCAACTAATTTTATGTATGAGTCTGCCATTGTTCTCGACACCGTCATTATACGTTAAATTTTTATGATATTCTATGTAAAATACAACAAAATGAGGTTACAAAATAAAACTAATAACGACTTAACGTAACAACTTAACAAAAGTCCACTGCGGAACATAGGCTTTCCAATATATTGCCTTATAGGGGGACATTTGTCATGTGTGACACTTTATATTTCCGAAGTTTCAAGCACTTTACTGCACCGGGGCGGACTGAGGTGTTCGGCGTACCAATGTCATAGTTAACCACAGCTACTTCCAAATTAAAATTATTTATGTTTGTTTCGATCTACGCAGTATGAACTTACAGTATCTTGAAGTGTTGCAGTTATATGCTTGGGTTGGGATTTAATTTTATTAATTATGGGATCCCAAGCAGATGGTAGCACCCAGCCATCTTCTCTATCGAAATTAAGATGTTTTTTGATTTCAATAGCCTCGCGAATCATCCTTGAAAGGAATCGGTGTTCTTTAGCGAGAATTTGTGGTCTATCAAATCTAATGTAGTGACGGGGGCGATCCTGTACGTGTTCACAGACTGCAGACTTCCGGGAGCGTCGATTCTTCACATCAGCTATGTGTTATTTAATGCGGGTTTTTATTGATCTTTTAGTTTGTCCTATATAAGAGACCACATTCACAATCAAGCTTGAACTCCTACATCGTGCAGAGGGACACGAGGGGCGATAGGCTTACCTGTATCTCCCATTGTCGCTGATATATTCATGAAAGACTGAGGAGAAAGCCCTGCTTACTTCCCCCGTAAATCCAAGATTCTACAAGCGGTATGTCAAACACCTCAGTCCCCCCTGTGACCATGGGTGCTGTAAAGTGCTCGAAACGTCGGGAATATAAAATAAGTAAATATACGCGATGAAATCCGTAAAACTAGTTTTATTTAAATGTGTAGTGTTCGCGTAAATATAAGAAATCATTACATTTGCCATAGTTGCTATGCTTGGCAGGCGGGTTCGCAAACGCAGCTTTTTATTTTCTAGCTGTTTTTAAAAAGACGCTGTTCCTCATCTCATGGTTTGTCACACACAGGACGATATGGGGCAGTGGATATTCTTGCACCGCCACTACGGTCATTATAATTTGACTAAAAGGCTGAGGACCTAGTAGTCTAATTAATTATCGAGCTGCTAAATGTATAATATTTTGTATACGTGTGCGTATTTTTGCGTATGCACGTGTACGTGGCTTGATTAACTATCTGAAAACCTGTAGATGATTCCGGCTTGCCTATATAACTGTAGGACTTTTTTTGCATAGATTTGTTCGCGGTGTCTGTTCTAGTGCGTAGTACATATAACTAAGATGTTTGTGAAAGGCAAAGGCTTGTATTCTATGTAGACCTGCAATTTAGAACAAAAATTTTGTCACGGCGGCTATCTGGCACTACTGGCTGGTATATATGCCAGCAAGTTGTATTTTCATACACGACAGTTACCGTCTTTAGCAAATACGACATAAAGTTATATACTTATCTGAAATAAACTTCAAATTAAGTTGACAAAGTGCGCACTAAACAAAATCAGTGTTATATTATCCAAAAAAAAACGTGTATACTATGCATACACAAATACTCTCTACTACACATCACACTCTCGTGATTTACAAAACAAAGAACTGGTATTCTCGGCGTTCGCAGTAGACAGTCGACTATCGAGTCGACGGTCGAGCGCAGTTCATTGTGTAGTGGAGCGGTCGAGCGCAGTTCATTATGTAAGTACCGCTGCGGGGCGCTGCTCGATGTCTGCGGGCGCGCGGTGCGGCGTGACGCGCGTGTACTGCGTGGAGCGGTCGAGCGGCCAGGCGCTCGCGCGGCACGCGCTCTGCACGTGCGCGATCAGGTACGACTCCGGCACGTGCAGCCCCGACAGCCACATCACCAGCGGCTCCTCCACACTCGCCTGCACAACGACAAAAAAATAAGAATAGTATATTTTATTACAAGTGCGGAAAGCCTGTCATTGCAAAGAGTTCCGACAAATGTCTATCCGAGCCGAGGCGCAGCCGAAGGTGAGGGTTGACATTCGGAACAAGTTGCAATGACGGTTCCGCACATGTACTGAACAACTATTTTTAATACAGTTGCGAAAAAATGAAGCAATTTAATAAAGAACATTTTTGGAAAATGGCGCCAACCGTAAAATAATATAAGCAGAGATTTTTTTTGTTTTCTTCACCCATTCTGACTAGGCAAAGGGAACTATGCCCATACATCCAAGTCTTCAGTAGATTTTTTTTATTGATATGAAATGAAAATTAAATTTAATGAGATGAAATGAAATGAAACCTAACCTAACTTATTGAATCCAATCATTAAATCTGATATTGAAACAAATTAGTAGCTTCTTTTTAGAAATATTTGCATCTATCATAAAAACTTCTATGAATTTTTTTTTAGTAAAAACTTCGTGGTTGGTTTTTTCTTTTTAATAGACATTATTTTGACAGTTGGGAAATAAAACGCACGAGTTCGGAAAAGGTAAAGAAAAAGCACGAGTATGTAATAGTAGCCCACATCCTGAACGCTATACGTCCCTGCAATACGCCACTTTTTGAGCAACTGTATTAAAAAAAATATTTATAAGGTTATTACCAGTTTCATAGACATGCAAAACTATTTTATTTATTTACACATCATTACATTACATATAAAGTAAGTTGACACAGTTTTGTAGGTTACAGAAATATATTCGTATAATTTTCTTTTAAATACTATTTTGGCGGATATTATTCGCAGTTCAACATACAGTTTGTTCCAAAGAGAGATGGAAGTAACTATAAAAGAATTTTACAAATAATACAAATTACATCATCGTCGTCTCTCGTCACTCAGATATTATAATATATTACCTTGCCTACCTACCTACAACTACGCTATAATATGTTTGTCTGGCCAGGTGTTACGACTGTCAAAACTGTCTGGCTATTAAGGAAACATCTAATAGTTAACCAAGTAACATTAACGTCGTTCGGCATTAAGTACCGCGAATGTGTAATTGAGTTACTTTACAGGAGAGACAAAAAACTGATTTATTCATAATGTACGCTTTACTATTTGTTAGAAAGTGTTTTTTAAGTATTAATACTATCAACTTTTGCTGCCAACCCCATAACCGTATAACTCAATTTATTATATTTTATAATATTGCACATTAGCGGTATTTACCAAACAGTTTTGGTCAAATGTTTAACATTCGCGGTATTTGCAAGTCCATTTGGTCATTTTATAGTGACATTCGCTGTTGTACTTACAATAAAAGTATGTAAATGAAAAAACAGTTAGTTACTGTGAAATGTACATAATACTTCTTTAGTAAAAAAGTCAGTGAACTAGTGACAAAATATGTCTAACGTATCCTATTATCACCGTGTTCAAAAATTAACGGTTTTCTAGTGTCATAGTAACAATCAAATTAAGTTCTCTTCTTCTTCTTCTATAAAAATTAATAAATAACAACAATTGCAACGTTTTGAGCGATTATAAACAAATATAAAAAAAACTGTGTAATTTCCAAAAATAATGCAGCAAGAAGTAAGTTAAAGCTTATTCTTATTCTAAATGGGGTAAGTTGTCATAGAAAGCATGGCAGTCTCAGGGCAAAAACTGTTTTAAGTCTTGTAAATGTTTGTATAGTAATTAAATACTCGAATTCTGCATATACTTATGTGAAAACCGCGAACATAACAGTTACGGATAGAAAACGATCAAATCAAATTCGCGATTCTATTTCAAATATTAAAGTAAAGTTTATGGAATTATAATTGGAATATGGTTGAAAAACTTTGCTTCATGACAATGTACATACTTTAACCTTTCTGGTTAATATAGTTTCAATCAAAAAGTATTTAATTAGCATTTATAAACTTACCTTCAAACGTGGCACGCAACTTACTTCTTCATTTTCTATGGCGGCACTGGCGGATTCGCGGTAATGCGGAAGCGAGAGGGAGGTAGTTATATTCGCGGTAATACTTTCATCGTATTTTCTCTATTTTGGACAGCTTTTTGGTCATATTTTAAATATAAAATCGCGTATTTGATTGAATACTATCGAATAAAGAAAAAATAAAAATTTGCAATATTTTCACATTCGCGGTACTGAATGCCGAACGACTATATATAAAACTCAGCTGTTATACTAAAACGTGAGTACAGTTTTAAAATTTAAAGAGTGTATGGCAAGGGGTTGCCACGATACCAAGTGTCTGGCAACGAATGACGTGATTTCTAATATTATTCCGAAGAAAATATGAGAAAATTACGCTTTATACATTGACAAATTTAAGTGGCTACCTATGTTGGGAGCATTCGCTTAGAAATTTTAGGCTTTTATAAAATAACTAAGGTCTGGCGATTACGGGCTCTTAGTCTATAATACATCATAATTTTATATACTATAGCTTAGCTGCTGAGTCTAATATCTGCGCACAAACGGACCCTAAATATTATTCATTATTAAAGCCACCTTCAAATCGGCGAGCTGTAGTAATTCAACTATATTTTAAAGCTCTTTTCGACGCTTCCAAAATTTGACTATCTATCGTCGATTAAGAATCAAAATAAAATCCCCCTGTTACCTATCAGGACTTAATGGAATGCCATGTTAACAGTAAAGAGTCTCCGGGTTGCGGTACACATCACACGAAACACAGCAGCATTATGCTGCTACAACAGTGGTAGAGCCACGTGGCGGCTTTTGCTGTCGCACGGATGGGCCGTCTCGAACCGGGGTGGTACCACGACCTCACAGAATACCAGCGTGAAGTAGAGGTTTACCTCTGCGTTTCGCTTGGTGAGTGCAGGTGGCCGGAGGCCCTTTTTACTGGAAATGAGGCATTCTATCTTAGTCCTCACGGGTGACAACGCATCTGCATTTTGATTTGTAATAGAGGATAGATGTAAATGTCTATGGGCCGCAGCAACCACTTACCATCAGGTGGACTGTGTGCTCGTTTGTCACACGTATCCTATAAAAAAAATCACGCTGGTATTCTGTGCGAGTGTGTTTCTCGGTAGAGACGGCCTCGGTAATGCCAGGTTTCTATTTTTTAAAATGCTTCGTTTTTATGGCCTGTTTTGCAGTAAATGAAGTGCATGAAAACCTCTTTTTTTAAGAGAAAATATCAGATTAGCTACTTATGAACCGTTTAGTTTTTATTATTTCCTAAGTTGCTGAGTAAATAGTTTTACATGTACCTCGCATGTAATAAAACGGTGCGCTACGGAAAATTAAACGTAAATGAAAACCTGTATAAGGCGTGCAAAGAGTTAACATTTTAGTTCACTATGGAATATTTTTTTTATAGAAATTGGGTGACAAACGAGCACACCGTTCACCTGATGGTAAGGTGGATTGTCGTCTATAAACATCTATCCTTGATAAAGAATCAAAATGCAGATGTGTTGTTGATCCTAAGGACTAAGATATAAGGTCTGCGGTTCTTTCTACGCTCACCATACGAAACTATGCAGCATTAAGTTGCTAGTTTACGCTGGTATTTTTTGAGAGCATGGTCCTCTATTCACCCAACCCATTCGTACTATAACCATATAATATAGCTGCATCATAGCTCTTCACGTATAAGCATGTAAACGACAAAGGATATAAAAGACAAACGATTTCAAGAACGCGCAAGACATGCATACCTAGAAAGAAATCGTTCATTACCAAACAGAGAACCCTCTAATCACAGTAATAAAAAATCAGCATTAATGTGTAATGAGAAAAGCAATAATTTGTTTGATACGTACCCAGTCGGTATACTGGCGCGCGCGCTCGGTGAAGTGGTGGACCCAGGCGGCCAGCGGCTTGCAGCTGGCCGGCGCCAGCGCGCGCCACGCGGCCGGCAGCTGGCCGTTGTACAGCCCCCACGCCACGTTGTCCAGCACCGCGTCCATGCCGATCTCGCCCGCCAGCGCCTTGCGCAGCTGCGACAGCGTGCTGCGCATCTTCGCGATCAGCCGATTGAACCTACCAAATCATTACCAACTATTTATATAACAATTCACAATATTTAGATAATCAAATAGCAAGGGGGGTTAAATTTGATCATTCTTTTTGTTTTAGTGATGAGGGCTTTTGGGAAGTACTTGAGGGTAGTACAACAATTTTTGAAACAGTTATATCCATCATCACGTGAAAACTGAATTGTGAGACTTCAATGAAATAATCTTGATTGCCTACTTTATAGTGCCACTGATTTGTTTTAAAAAATGTCCAAGTTTTATTTTAATTTGTTACGCGTTGTTCCAAATTACAACTTGTAAGTTCCATAATGTTATTCCAATAAAACGGAAAAACAATTCACGTTCGTCTGCTTAAAAATATACATTCATTTATCATCATCATTACAGCCTTTTACAAGTTCACTGCTAACCATTGGCCTTCTTGAAATAATGCCACCAAATACATGACATGGAGACAATCACGACACATTTTCTTGTCAAGACGAAATACATTGGGATATACAAAATAAATATAACGTAAGCGTAATAACTCAAGGGCATCCAGTAGTACAGTGTTACATGTATCTATAAGAAACATCGGCAAAACCGTCAATTGATTAAAAATACGCCTAAGGACATATGAGGGTGACACTGAAAGTTCTTAGAAAATCAAAAACTGAACAAACTAGCAAGTTATTAGTTTTATATCTTCTCAAAATAGTATCCATTTACATCAATACATCGCTGCATCCGATGGAACCATTGAGAAAAGCACTTTGCCCACTCGTTCTTAGGGGTCTCTTCCAGGGCATTTTGAAACACAGCTCTTTCTTCCTCGGCGTCCATAAAACGTTTTCCTCGAAGTTTTTATTTTATTTTTGGAAATAAATAAAAATCGCAAGGTACAAAGTCGGGGCTCTAGGGCGGGTAACCCAGTAATTCCACGTCTGACGTCGACAAGTAGTGGATTGTTTGTTTGGAGGTGTGCGACGAGCCGTTGTCATGGTGAAGGAGGATCCTACTGCGAGGTCGTTTCTCCCGAACTTTTTCCAAGACAAATGCCAAACAATTGTTAGTAACACTCTCCAGTAACTGTTTTTTGATCCTCTAAAACAATTGTTGCGTAATGACCTGTCCTTCCGAAGAACGAGGCTCTTTTTTCCCACGCTTCGACCTCTCTTCACTTTAGTTGGCAATTCCTCGGAAGAAAACACCCAGACAGCGGACTGTCTCTTAGTTTCAGGATCATAACAATAAGTCCAGCTTTCGTCACCCGTAAGTATGTCGAACACAGCATTTGATTCACCTCCGTTAAATCTTTGAACCATTTCACGACACCAATCAACACGACGGAGTTTTTGGGCCTCTGTCAAATTATGACGTATCCACCGGGCACAAAGCTTCCTGACCGCTAAATGTTCATGGAGGATTTTGTGCACTCGACTCATACCGATGTCTAAGCTTGTCCGAATCTGCTGATAAGCCACTCTTTTGTCATTCTCTATCATACGCCGCACAACACTGATGTTATCTTCAGTCGTCGCCCTAAAAGGCCGTCCCTTACGCAGATCATCGGTGAGATTAGTGCGACCACGTTTAAACTCATTAAACCAGTTGTAAACAGTTGCACGAGATGGGGCTTCATCGTGAAAGGTCAATCGAAGTCTACTCGTATCATAACTTTCTTCTTGACTCAAATGACATCGAAAGTCTTAAAAAATCATTGGACGAAAATTTTCTCGCGTTAAATTCATGCTGACGTGACACAGACAATTTTCAATTTAATGGGGTTGTTATAAACTAATTTGCTTATTTCCGCGTACTTTACGCCCATTTATATTGGATTATAATGGATTTCCTCAAAGTAACGCCTGATTCTATTAATTATTTTAATTTTCAATTTGCCGCCAAATCGTAAACAAATGACAAATTATTAAACTACATACACAATAATATTGGCAAAGAGTTTAATTTTCAAAATTTGAACTTATTTTTTTATTAAATCGTTTACAAGTGGCCAGTTCTAAAAACTTTTAGTGTCACCCTCGTAATGGCCTCCAATATCAAAAGCAGAAACTATCTCGTACAGTAGCAGCCGATCAACCGACATAATTTTTATATTCGTTTATTTTTTTCTATAGTAGGATTTTAAAAGCAGATATAAAATGTTGTAATGGGTATCATCCTCTTTGTAATGTTTACTGTAATATTTTTATTGATGATTGAATAATTAAAATATAATAAAAACCTTTCGAGTTCCTGTAACAGCACGACGAGTGATGGCGTAATGTTCATTTCGAATTGTTTGCGGACGCGCCATATCTCATACAGCGGGGGCAGCTTTGCTAAAACGTCCACCGCAATCGAATCTATAAAGTCTTCGCGACTCATTGCACCGCCAACCTCGCCTAAGTTATAATTAACATATTAAACTTTTGACTCTCGAGTACTTGTTCTAGCAGTATAAAGTATCGCGCAGGCGATTAAGAGAAATCAGTGGGTAATTCTACGAGTCTCACTGTCGTTATGGATGCCACACACGATCCAATTGACTGTCAAGTTTGCAGCGGGTTTGAAGCGGCGTCGGATAAACTTGACGGTGTACAGCTATCAGTGTGCATGATAAGTCTACTTGAAGCAAAAATTGAATTTCGATTCTGCCGACTTGATCAAGCTTGCAGCGTCATGTAAACTTGAACGTGTGTATAAGCGGTCAAGTATGCATGACGTTTAGTCGGAGCAATAAGCGAGAGACGCCATGGTTTCAACTAGTGCGGCATCATGCAAACTCGACGGTGAACTTGAATGTGGGTGGTTTACATGGATGCACTGCAAAATGCAAACTGGACGCCGCTTCAAGCGCGCTGCAAACTTCACGGTAAATTGGATCGTGTATGGCATCCATTACTATGCCCGTTGGGGTATTCTACTAGTGTAGGTAAGGAAGGTCGTGTTGCTGAGAGGTTGTCCTGTGTTACATTGAGTTAGATAATGTGGCTGTTGGTTTGCATACTCTGGTGTTATCATGTAATTGGGTCCTTCACGTTACACCGATATTTGATAGTGACGAACACATGTTACGGTAGATCGAACCGTATTGCTCTATACTGAATGTATAGTGTAGTGCGCTGTTTCGTTGGTGATAATGATCGGTTGCGTAAGCACAAGAGCAGGCTGGGCATCCGCTCTCACATCTTTGTTACTTTTGGAAATTGGGCTCCAGAATCGTTTCTGATAGTAATGGGGGTTTGTTAACATGTAGTATTCTTTTATTTAAATAATTTTGACAATAATTTCCAACATTAGAAGTGCGATTAAAGCTTTTTCTTGCATTCTTATTTCTAACAATAGATTATTGTCGTTAAAAGGAAAGTAAATTAACTAGTATATAAATTACCTGTGCAAATAGAGAGAACCATCGTGAGCAAAAAGTGAAGTAATTATTTTACAGGTTATCATCTTATCAAAAATCAGTGTTTACTACATAGGCATGTGCAGAAAAACTTGAAACGACGTCGCAGAAGCAGTGAATTGAAAGTGACGAACGAACTCGCAGAAGCAGTGCAAATGTGAAAAGGGATAAAGAAAGATATAATCGTTCGTTGTTTTATTCATAAATAGAACATTCGTACTATACGATGGGTTTTTTGGAGTAATATTTTTTTTTACGTAGCAACGTGAAAGAAAATTCTGTCTTAATTTTTTTGTTAATTTAATTACAAACTAGGTTCATTATTCTAGTGTAACGTCGTGCGAGCCTGGCCTTAGATTTCGTTATATTCTAGTGTAACGTCGTTCTAGACGGGCCTTAGATTTCATTTAACTTGATCCGTATTAAATTAATATAATAGGACAATAATAAGGTCTTTTATTAATAAACTATTAAAAATGTATATTTACCTTTAGTTATCACTAGCAGCAAAATAGTATAAAAGTACAAAAATGTTAATAAATTATTTTATAAACATAATGTAATTGCTTGATAAAGGCTATTCGATACGTTTTTTAACATTATAATTTAGTCTTCATCATCATCATTATCATTACAGCCTTTCACAAGTCCACTGCTGAACATAGGCCTCCCCCAAAGAATGCCACAAAGCACGGTCCTGAGCCACCTGCATCCATCGACTTCCTGCATGTCTTACCAGGTCGTCACTCCATCTCGTGGGGGGACGCCCTACACTTCGCCTACCGGTACGAGGCTGCCACTCGAGAACCTTTCTTCCCCATCGGTTGTCGGTTCTTCGAGCTATATGGCCGGCCCACTGCCTCTTCAGCTTACTAATCCGTTGGGCTATGTCAGTTATTCTGGTTCTACTGCGGATATCCTCATTCCTAAGTTTATCACGCAGAGAAACTCCGAGCATAGCCCTCTCCATAGCTCGCTGAGCGACCTTGAGCTTCCTCATACGGCCAGCAGTGAAGGACCACGTCTCAGTTCCGTAAGTCATCACTGGCAACACGCAATGGTTGTACAATTTCGTTTTAAGGTTTTGAGGTATGTCTGACGAGAAGATATGTCGTAGCTTCCCGAACGCTGCCCAGCCGAGTTGAATCCGTCAATTGAACTCTCGGTCGAAGTTGGACTTACCTAGTCGGACTATTTGTCCCAGGTAAACATACTCGTCAACAACTTCGAGCTTAGTGCTCCCAACAACTACCGGCATAGGTGTGACATGGACATTAAACATGATCTTTGTTTTGTCCATGTTCATCTTAAGACCTATCCGTTGGGAAACACTATTGAGGTCATTGAGCATAGTGCTTAGGCCCTCCAGCGATTCTGCCATAAGGACTATATCGTCGGCAAATCGAAGGTGAGTGATGTACTCGCCATTGATGTTGATACCGTATCCTTTCCAGTCCAGAAGCTTTAAAACGTCTTCCAATGCAGCGGTGAAGAGTTTCGGAGATATGATTTTAGTCTTAATGTATACGAAATACAAATAAATATTTTTAAATTCATTACATTGAACGAAACAGTATCATCATCATCATCATTAAATCCCATCGTAATTCCACTTAAGAGCATGGACCTCACGCCCATAGATTGGCACAAGGAAAGGAGAGAGAGAAAAAAGAAAATTATCAAGAACTTTTAAATTTTAAATTTGTCTTCATGATGACAAAAGCAACTTGGCCCAATTGTGAACACTGTAGAGTTATAGAAGACCTACACCACTTATTCATGGAATGTGTTCAATATGAGTCTATTATCTATATTACTTCTAATTTAACAAGGGTCTTGAATTTTAACTGAACTAAAGTAGATACATATCATTATACTTTATCCCATACAAATGGCGATGCGATGATGCGAAAGTTCTATTCGAATCCATTGCCCATGTAGTATAATAATTAATGTTATATGAAAAAAAAAACTTTTAACTTTACATGCATTTTAACGCAGTCCCAATGCATATGAGTATTACACAGCTTTGTATAATGACTCACTAATTTGGGATTTATCAACAAATATCAAACAAGAAAAGCAGTAAAGAACTGTATCAGTGACTGTTCGTCACCGCTACTGACAAGAGAGCTGATTCTTTTCTAGCTCAAATGTTAAGTATAGTCATTCAGCGAGGAACAGTGGTAGAGCCACGCGGCAGCTTTTGCTGTCGCACGGATGGGCCGGCTCGAACCGGGGTGGTACCACGACCTCACAGAAAACCAGCGTGAAGTAGAGGTTTACCTCTGCGTTTCGCTTGGTGAGTGCAGGTGACCGGAGGCCCTTTTTACTGGAAACGAGGCATTCCATCTTAGTCCTCACGGGTGACAACGCATCTACATTTTGATTTGTAATAGAGGATAGATGTAGATGTCTATGGGCCGCAGCAACCACTTACCATCACGTGGACTGTGTGCTCGTTTGTCACCCTTATCCTATAAAAAAAAATAAGGTCAAAATAAGCGGGGAGTTCTGAGGCTATATGATTACTTTAGTTTTTATTGTTATAATATGTTTGTATTAGAGTAAATAAGTAAATATGCATTATTCTTATATACCTAAAGTAAAAAAAAAACACACTAGAATACTCACAATCCAATTTCCTAACTAGCAGCATAAATATAAAGACAACATTAATAATCTGTTGTTCATTATTCCCAATGGTTGTTGTAAATGCTTAATGGAAATATAAAATCGAAGGCCACTAACTGGTCTGCGGCTGTAAGTCGATAAGGTGCGTCCACACTTCGCGCACGGCCTGGCTGAAGTACCCGATCTCCGCGTTCGGGTGCAGCCCGAACACTTCGGGCGTATTCGCCAGCGGTAACGTGTCGATGAATTCTAACATTGCAAAAGAAACCATAATGATCGCAAATGTATATTTTAACATGGAAGAATACACTACTTCGTATCATCCCTTATGTTATGTAAGGCTTATACAATAAAACCACCGGTAGGCTTAAAGCAGTTTTATTTATCTACAATAAGGAGACAAACGAGCAAGCTTGATGGCAAGTGTATGTATGACCTTTCTACATCTATCCTTAAATAAGAATGAAAATGCATATGCATTGTCACCCCTGAGGATTTAGATAGAATGCAACCTTACCAATAATAATTTAAAATAAAAATTTTGTACAACCGACTTCAATATAAATTATAAGAAAACTATTGGTCAGACCTTGATCAAATTTATATGTGGCCACATGAGACACTAGCTTTCAAATAAAAAAAAAATCATCGAAATCGGTTCACACTTAAAAAAAGTTATAACATATAAGCGGAAACATAACATAAATACTCACGCCTGTCACCCAGAGGGGTAGGCAGAGACTACGGACTTCCATTTGGCGCGATCCTGACATACCTCTCTCGCCTCTTTTACATCCATATATCTACGTATACACGCTCGTCGGTTAAGGGTACTCCTAATCTGGCCCATTTTTAATGTATCGCCGATTTGGTCGATAAACCTACGTCTAGGGCGTCCCTTCTCGACCCTGCCGTTCACTTCTGCAACATAAATTTGCTTTGTCACTCTTTCCTCGTTCATTCTTTCTACATGACCAAACCACCGAAGCATTCCTTTCTTAACCCTTGTCACAACCTCATCTTGCAAACCACACTTTTCTCGCGGAAACACATAAAAAAGAACGCAGTTGAATTGAGAACCTACTCCTTTTTGAAGTCGGTAGAAAAGGGGTCTTTGGTTCTCTACACTCACAATTTGATAAAACATATATGATTTTTTTGTTCATATAAACGAAACAAACCTAATACAAAAAAAATGTAACTAGAAAATGATAAAAGTGACGTTTGAGGTTATTGCTTTGATATCCTTGTTCCGCTTAAATAACTCACCAATATAGTCGTCTCGCTCTCCGTCCGGCGGTATAACGTAGTCAAAGGTCTCATCTTTGTAGAAGTGGAACGGCTGGAACTTATCAAACAGGAACTCGCCCAAGTACTCGTCCATGTACGTGCCAACCACGCGACGGTCGAAATCGTCTATCACTCGACCACCGTACATTACCTGCAATTTTGTTTAATTATAAAAGACCTCGTGCCTTTTTGTTTAAGTGTAATTTGTTTATAAAGATAGCATAGAGATTCGCCCTATCGTCCAGAGGCGTAGCGTGGACAAATAGATGACACCAAACATCAATCATAGCTATTAATTCCTGACAAGTCTCGTATTCCGTCAATGTAACAAGTGTCTTTGAAGGTGTCCGCACTTAAGAGGGACTTCTTGCGAAGCCCCAAACAAGCACGCCTTTTAAATTTGTAAAAATCGTAAAAGTGATCAAACTAATTAGTCATCTGTGGTAAAGTCTGAGGGTAAAGCCTTTAAAGGGACCTCGCTAGGCCGTGGGCGCGGGACCTCATCGCCCACGCCTAGCTACACCACTGGTGGGTGCCGTAAGAGGCAACAGAGGGAAACAAACCACGAGATGGGTAGCAGCTTCTTCCCATTAAAAACTCAAAAATAAAAAAAACTGCCGTTGCCAACCAGCCCGCCAAACGTGGTAATTATAGCAAATATCCGTCTTATGAGTCAAATTATAGGGAGCCCTAAGTTCAGCAGTGGGCTTTTGATAGACTGTAATACCACAAGATAACCAAAATTAAGGCAGCAGGGCGAACACTTTCCACTCCAATATCCTCTCAATAATTAAAGTCGGAAATAAGTGTAAAAGCAGAATCAATATTTTTTTTCTTAAAAGAAAGTAACCACAAGTCATAAGTAAAAAGTTATAAATTATGGTATATGTCTCTTGGTTTGACCGAAACAGACGGAATGTGCGACATACAAGCTATTTCGCCAATTTTTTTTTATATCAGAAGCCTATCGCTTCAGCCAACGCAATCGCATTTTTATTATTATGGATAAATTGATATCAACCTCTCCAAAAAGATATTTGAGTGTGGCCCAAGGTATGGCGTCGGCGCTGCGTTCCAAATAGCACTGCAGAATCTGCATGCACACCACGAAGTCAGACTCGCTAAAGTCGTACGAAATGTTCCAGCCTATCTTGTCATATTTGCGGCGCTCCTAGAAACAAAAAAAGTTTGTCTTTAAATCAATAACAGAAAAATTTATAATTTTAAGATCGGTATAAGAGCTAGCTATCTATCTAAAAGGAAAAATCAAAGTTTACCGCTACATCACACATCAAATTAAATTTAAAAAAGCGAGTTTTAATAGTCAAGCATGTCTTAGTCTAAGGCCTTGTCTTCTCGCTGTTGTACAAAACTACGACCATGATACATTTTAGAAACCGCGTAGGAAGTATTCTTGTACCATAAGTGAAAACTCCTGCAAGTGTACTCTGTATGAAGTTAAAGGGTTTCTATTACTATGTCTATACTTGTGGATCTTTAAGTTTTCTTAACTATAATATCCCAAAATAACAAGGGAAGAATAATAGTTGACAAAATGATTGCGTCTAGAAATAACTTATATATAAAATGAGTTCAATTATTTTTCTATGATTTTTCAAATAAATATGTATTTTAATTAAAGCCACAGATATCACTGTATGGCACAAAGGCCCAGAAGCCATGCCAGAAATATACATTTATAGTATGCAAATATTTAATAGAGATACAATAATCTAAATACTCTCAATTATGTAGGTAGGTTCATTATGTTGAGAATGTATTACGCTAACATCAAACAACCACAAGACGCATGACTTTTTCCAAGTGACATAAGACATAACCTAAAAAGGTTCAAATCCAAATATCTTTTTTTTTGACGCCTTCTCAGAACATAATTCTTTGACAACGTTGCTCAGAGACTGACGCTTAACATTTTAAGATGTTTTTGATATATAGACGTTACCATTTCTTCTCTACTAAATTTATGTATGAAAGTCTGCCATTGTTCTTTACGATGAAACTAAAATTAAATTTAATACTATAGGTTTATACTTATGATTGCGTTTAACAGTATGAAAATATGTGTGATAGATTGCCGTTATCGTTTGATTGCGTTGACTTAGCTTGAATTTTCAGCACTTGCAATGGATTCTAGACATTAGTATTTGACATTAATTTTAACTTGATATGTCCAACCGTTCCTGCGCTTTGCAGGGCGGACGGATGGAAATCCGCAACTCTCACAATTTTATTTTTCTAGTTAATGAACAATCAAATATGATTATAACGCATGTTAAATATATTATAACGAAATATAAATAAATAACATAATAAAAAGTGTGTGTTTTTAAAATGTAAAGAACGGGGAAAACCGGTAGTGCTAAAAGACGCACACCGTGTCAAAACCTATATATGTGTACTAAAACTGTCACAGCTGTGGATTGCGCGGGTGTCAACACGGGCGGGTAGTTGGTAGTTTTTAGGCAAATACGAAATAAAGTTATAAGACTTATCTGAACTAAACTTCAAATCACGTTGACAAAGTGTACACATAAATAATGACAGCGTTTTCTTAGTCACACAATCACATTAAACCAAATTAGAGTTAGTTTGTCCAAAACAACGTTCTCGGTTTACGAGCACAACAAAAAGAATTAGTCTTCTCGTCTGCTCACAGTTGACTAAAGGAATTACGGAGAATTGGCTGTAACTTAGTACGTAATGTATTAAAATTGCAGAGCCCGTCTAGAAGTTTGCACATAAGTCTTTGCACAGTGTAAAATATATGACTTACTTGTACAACAGCGTGGAAGAATGCAAGCACGTAGACGAGTTTCTTGAACTGCGGGTGAGAGCACTCTTCTAAAGCGTGCGCGCGCATCTTGAAGTACGTGTTGCGTAAGTTCAACTTCAAGCCGTTAGGTGGCTCGGTTACCACTAAAATTAAATATTGACATAAATGTTAAAATTCAAAGGTAATATTTTTACCATATCAGTTAGAATTCACAAGTTGCCTACATCTTTCTTTCCAACCGATTACAATGTGGGTGTTTTCAAGGCATGAGTGCATAGGGCTTTTGTTAAGTCAATGCGCTTTACCATCAAGAAACCAGTCAAGCACTCTTAGAAAAGTAAAAATATATCATTCACCATCTTGTATCAAGTACTTTTGAAATGTAATTTCTGTTTAACTAAAATGAAAGACAAAGTTTATCCAACAATTTTTAACATATGAGTAAGAGTGGCAAACGGCACTTCTACCTGAGGGCGGGAACGATATTCTACCTACATCTACAGGCCGAAGCATTTAATTACATAAACGCTTCGACCCTTAGATATATATATATACTCGATTCTTAATCAAAATACAGATGTGTTCATCCCTGAGAACTAATATAATGAAGTACTGCATAAAGTGTTGTCATTGTGACCTACCTCTACATACCTAATATGAAACAAAATCGTTTCCTGCCGTCTGTACGCTTGGATCTTTTAAACTACTCCTCCTAAATGGTAGGACCGATTTTGATGAGATTTGGTGTGTGTGATAAGTTGATTAGAGAAAGGTTTAGATTTACAATTGGACCCGGTAGGTGGAGTTGTTGTCGAGATCCAGAAATCAACTGTGCGCTAGTTCGCTCATAAACTTGTCCTATTCTGCAGGTATATTTCCAGATAAGTTAAAGCTATCTTTAGTCAAACCACTGTACAAAAAGGGGGATAAAAAACATCCAGCAAACTATCGCCCTATAACATTAATACCGATTCTTTCAAAGTTATATGAAAAGTGCATGTTAAAAAGGCTTATGAGTTTTTGCTCTAAGTATAATATTATAAAAAAGGAACAATTTGGCTTCCAGAAAGAAAAATCAACAACTTTAGCAGTATTTAACCTAATAAATAAAATATTGACCAGCTTAAATAACAATTATCTAACAACTGTACTCTTTATTGACTTATCAAAGGCATTTGAATTCGTTGCACATAAAACTCTTGTGAGCAAACTGGAATCTCTCGGAATTAGAGGACCCCCATTATTATGGATATCGTCTTATCTAAGTGGGCGTAAACAAAAAGTTGTCCTCAAAAAAATATTTAATAATGAAATTAGTTCTATTTCGTCTGAATATAGAGAATGCAGCACTGGTGTCCCACAAGGAAGCGTACTTGGACCAATTCTATTCATACTTTACATTAATGACATAACAGAAGTAACAAAACATCAATGTACTTTATATGCTGACGATATATCCATAATTATTACGTCTAACAAATCTAAAACCAATGTCTCTTTGCATAATCATGAATGTGACATTAATAATACTATTGACATAATAATCGAATGGCTTAAAGCAAATAATTTAAATATTAATCTTGATAAATCATACTATATACAATTCAATAAATCAAAACATAAGCAGCACAATTTTAATCTAAATGTGACAAAGATAAAAAAAGTACAACAATTGAAATTCTTAGGTATAACTATTGACGAGAACTTGAACTGGAAAATACATATAGACCATTTGTGTAACAGAATTAATCAGTTCGTATATGCTCTTAAACGTGTTAGGACCGTAACCGACAAAAAGACCGCTATTATGTCCTATCGCGCCTACATAGAATCGATATTGCGCTACGGCATTTTACTATGGGGCAACAGTACGGACAAAAACAGAGCATTTATAGCTCAAAAAAAATGCATTAGAGCCATATGTGGAGTTTTACCTGACGTTTCCTGTAAACCACTGTATAAAAGTCTAGAATTATTGCCACTACCATCACTTTATATTTATGAAGTTGCGGTTTTTGTACACAAAAACACAGAATTATTTAACAAAGTTAATAATTTTAGATTGAGAGATCCTCACAGATTGATATATAATGACATTCCAAGGTCGGATAAGTATGCAAAAAGTTGCCTCTGTATGGGTGTCAAAATATATAACAAGATTCCTAGAGATATTAAAATGCTCAATATCAATATGTTTAAACATAGGTTGTACAAATGGCTAAGTCAGAATAACTTTTATAGCATAGATTCATTTCTCTGTACCAAAAACTTAACATAGATTAATATAGTTATAAATTCTTATTTTATTCAATTTTTATTCGTGTGACAGTGACATATTTGGTGATAATTATTATATTGTATATTAGTATGAATTGACATGTAATCTTATTATAATATTTTTAAACTCAATGTGTTATTTGCATGCTATTTTCATAATGGCGAAACATATGCGCTCTGTCAAACTTGTACCAGCTTATAATACTATGTTTCTAAGCAAATAAAGAAATTATTATTATTATTATTATTCGACGTATAATATCTAAAAGATTCGATTCAATTCTGTATTTTGGACTGGGTCGTAAGACATTCCGTAGGTTATATAATATATAGTAAGATTAATACTGGCCGTTGTATGATATAGTTTGTTGTAATATTTCGAGGAGCGGCTTGTTTTGTTATACAAGCGGTACCCTTCGAACGTATGAATTTATTTTCGGACTTGCATACCGACATTTTCCACTCCTACATTAATTGTATCTTGCAGTGACCACATTTTTGGTGCCTATAGGATTTGTAAGTGTTTAGAAAAAAATATATTACTTAAGCACTTAAATTATTAACTAAAATATAAGAGTACAAAAGGAAGAAAAACTTGACATCGAACCTTTAAGTGATCTCTGTAGAATCCCTATAGGAAATGCTGGTGTTGGGTCGGTCGTGAGCCACAGTCTATACTCAGGATGTGGCTTTGTCATCATCTCCAATTGCTTCTCTATTTCACGTAGGAATGCGATGAGAAGGTGACAGTTTTGCAGGATCAGCCACTGGCCGTGTGATATAGCACCTTCTAGAAGTGCCAATGCCGTCTGTGCCATAAAATCAAATAGAAAGCATAATTATAAACAACTATACTTACAACAGGGAAGAGAGGCTCTCGTGTGGAGCCTCCTACTAGTAAGGGGAGTGTAAACTGACACCCACTAGATGGAATGACGACCTGGTAAGTCATGCAGGAAGTCAATGAATGCACGTGGCTCAGGACTGTGTATTCTGGAAATATTTGGGCTGGCTTTGTTTAGCTGTGGGCTTATGAGGGGCTGTAATGTTAATGATGATGTAATGATAATCCTCGAGCCATCGAGGGTAACAACGCATCTACATTATGATTCTTAATTGAGAATAGTTGTAGGTATCTATATAGACCACAGCATCCATTAATCATCAGGTGGGCTATGTGCTTTTTTGTCTCCCTAATTCTAAAGAGAAATTAATCCAAATTATAGATTAAAGCTGTGTATTGTACACTACGCTTTACTATTTATCCCTATTGGCATCGTAATAGACAAAAGAGAAATTGACACAAGAGATGGGCAACAGCATTTTTATGACAAAACTCAAAATAATGAAAAATGCGGTTGCCAATGAGCTGTCTGTCAAACGTGGTTACTATGATATACGATCCATCTATGAAGCAATCCATGGGGAGGCCTTTGTTTAGTCGTGAACTTTTGATAGGCTGTATGAAATTAATGAATGACATGTGGATCATTATTGGCAGAGCGAGAGCGTTTCACAAAAACTGTGCCCAGAGCGGTTGTATGAGCAAATTTATTAAATTAATATTGGTAAAAATTACCTTACGTACATGGTAATTTTTACCAACTTTAATATAATGGATTTCCGCAAAGTCACGCCTGATTCTATTAAATGTATCAAAGTTTCAAGTAAACTGCAATAGCAAGCAATAGACCTCGACAGTTTTGTCTGTATGAATGGATGTATGTGCTTATGTTTTTTTTTTTATAGAATAAGGGTGACAAACGAGCACACAGTCCATCTGATGGTAAGTGGATGCTGTGGCCCATAGACATCCACATTTGTTCTAAATTAAGAATCAAAATGCAGATGCGTTGCCGCCCCTGAGGACTGAAATGGAATGCCTTATTTCCAGTAAAAAGGATCTTCGGTTCTCTACACTCACCATACGAAACACAGCAACATTAAGCTGCCACTTTACGGTGGTATTCTGTGAGAGCGTGGTTCTACCTCGGTCGAGCCGACCCATTCGTACTGCAACCACAATATAGCTGCAGCATGGCTAGTTTTATATACCACGTAACTTATGTGGCTAGGGGGTCAATTAACTAACACCCTCGCCTCCACGAGCTACCATTTTTTATAAGTTTTTAATGTAACAATTCAAGACATTTTTATAGACATTGAACTTGTGATCCTCTCAAACGCGCCAAAAATATATCTAGATTTTATTATTTTTTATTATTTTGGTTTCTTAAAGTCGATCGTTTGCTTTTTATTTTTACGAGTCAAGAGCATTCTGCTACAATTTTTTCCCACCATATTGTCATAAAAATGGATAATTAGATCCACTACGTACTACATAACCCTCCTTTTATTTGAAACTAGCTGATACCCGCGACTTCGTCCGCGTTGCTTGATTGATGATTATATATTAACAAAGTTTTCGTATGTGCGAAGGAAAAAATATCAAAAAGATCGCAAGCAAAAATATACTTTGCTTACAAAATTTCTTTGTAAACAATGTTATTCATTGCTCCGTTTGTAGCTAAAATATACAAATTATGTGGGTTATTAACAAGAGCAAGCGACGTAGTTGACCGTGTGAAAAACCCCGTATAAAAATTGTTGTTTTTTAAAACTTTAATAACTTTATATTAAATGAAGATATCGCAATATTTTTTTGATAAGGGCCAAGTGTCTACGAAATAAAACTTAGAAACCCTAATTAAAATCTATCCAGTAGTTTTTCCGTGATGCGAGCACAACTAGAAACCTCTATCATTTTATTTATATAGATATTGCCGATCCCTTATTTCAAAAGGGATGGTTAATCTGCCTCAGGAAATTTCAATCAAAAAAAGAGTTCCATGTCGCGATATGTTATGGCTCCTTCCACCGCCACCCACATCTTAACAATGACTATTAATCAAATCTTGGTATTTTTCTTGTGACCATTGTCCCGGCTACTAACGTCACCTATGAAAGCGAGGGGCATCATTTTAATAAATCACCACATTCACCATTTAGATAGGCAGGCAGTTTACTATAGTCTGTTTTTGCATGCCTTAAGCGCAAAGCGAGTAGGTATGCTCTACTAGCGCCTAAATATCAAGATTCTTTGTCGCATGAAATCGTATCTAACAATCATATTGAACATAAAAATGGTATATAAAAAGCACATTGTCATAAAGATAAATGATTGCTAAACTTATTAATTTCTTTTTGAAATTGATTAAATTGATATTTTTACATTAAAAAAGTGGTTTTAGTGGATTATGGTGTAGATTTATCAAGTCCGCATGGAGGGGTAAGCACGATAACTTTTGAAAATATCAATTGTTGCACTCAATCTATTTTTAAGCCATGGAATGTAAATGGCAGTTTAATTTTGTTTTGTTTAGTTATAATTATTTTGTTTCGTCAGAGAAATCCCGAAAGTTTTGGTGGTTTGAGCAGCCTAGTAATAATTTATTTTACTAAATACACTTCGCCTCACACTCACTCGCACTTCGGGCTCGGCCGCCGTCGTAAGTGGATTACTGTATCGTTTGCTTACAGCAGCGGTAATAGGCAGCAAAATATTGATCGCTAGAGCGATATTCCAAAAAAAATTTCATACATACTTGACCAATGTTATTATTTTTATAATCACAGATGTTTATTACAATATTTTGTATCGCTAAAAGTACGTAGGATTTATATATAAATATACTGATACGTCTTGGACTTTACGAAGTGACCTGAAGGTGTACTTCGGTATCTGTTACTGGAACTCCTCGACAAGTAGAACTAGGTGTGCCGAGATTGTACTCGTTATGTTAGTTATGACGAGACCTTACCCCCGGACTTGACGGAGTGACCTGAAGGTGTACTTCGGTGAATACTACTGGAACTCCCCGAAGAGTAGAACTAGGTGTGCCGAGTTTGGCCTCGTTTTGTTAGTTATAATGAGACCTTACCTCCGGACAGTGGCAGATTATCCTAAATCAAAACTAGGCACATGCCTAAGGTGCACTTCACTGAATACTACTGGAACTCCTCAAAGAATAAAACTAGGTGTGCCAAATTTGGCCTCGTTTTGTTAGTTATGATGAGACCTTACTTCCGGACTTGATAGTGACCTGAAGGTGTACTTCGGTGAATTCCTCGAAGAGTATAACTAGGTGGGCCGAGTTTGGCTTCGTTTTGTTAGATATGATGAGATCTTACCTCCGGACTTGATAGAGTGACCTGAAAGCATACTTCGGTGAATGCTACTGGAACTCCTCGCAGAGTAGTACTAGGTGTGCCGAGTTGGCCTCGTTTTGCTAGTTATGAATAGACCTTACCTCCGGACTTGATGGAGTGACTCGAAGTTGTACAATTTTATGAGTCGTGCAATTTTAAATTTTCTAAGCTTTTTTAATTGAAATTTGACATAAAATTATCGGAAAATTGGAATAATAGTAATAATTATAAGGTTTTTAGGTTTTCACTAAAAATCTTGTGTGGAACTACTAATTTAAAACTAACAAACTAAAAAAAAACTAAACTACTTTAAATTTTTTTTATTTATATTTATATTTTTTATTACATACGTAATTTTTTAATACACAATTGCATTTACCAATATTATTTGTGGCCGTAGGAAGGAAAAGGGGAGATCTCCCGCCGGGCAAGGTGTTCTGCCCGGGGAGCGGTCAACGCTCCGAGTGGTAGTTCGGAGCTATTCTATATATCCTGCTTTAACTTCGGAACTTTGTTAGCGCGATTTACGCTTCGATGTATTTCGCTTGTGGCGCGACGACAGCGCCGCCACATATTCAATATTATTTTAATAAACGAGTACCGAAAATTTTGACTGCATTGTTATTAGTCTACGTAATCAACATAGTCAATTTTACACAAGCGCTGTAATTACATGCACACTTTGTGGACTCTACGATTACCTGCGCATCACACGTGTTTTACTGAGTGAACTAGACGATATTGACTGCAAGGGGTCGAATATTGTCTCTTTGAACAATGAACTCCTCGTAGGTCCTCCACTGCAAGAAGATCTTTGTAACCTAACATTAAGATGGAGAATGAAAAGCATATGTTACATAAGCAATTTACAGAAGATGTACCGTCAAATATTGGTGTTCCCCGAAAGATGCTGAGAGTTTGTTTGAAATCCAATAAATACTACTTATTAATAATACTACTTACTTATCGCGTTGCACTACTTCCTCCTTTGAAACTCTACTATTCCCGTTTATATTCAATGAAAATCTCATATAAACTCTCAACTTACACTTTCCTGGCCCTGTCCAAGAGACAAATACTTAAACTTGCCGCCACCAAAGCCGCATCGGTCAGCCAACTTCATCAAATCGGCCGTGGGGTCCGATCCGGGACTTAGTATGAACACCACGGGAGTGAACGGAGTTGTTTGCTCGAATATCATGTCTAAGCTGTAACCAAAAACATACTGTTATTATGATACGAGCATGTTTTGTAGCCTTAGAGCAGGGTGCGGACCGCGAACTCAAAAGGACGTGGGTTAGAATCCGTCATCGGAGTACTGTTGTGAACCACTCCTAACACAAACATTTTAAGCTTACTAGGAGTGGTTAAAGAGAATATTAGTAATGTTAATTAACAGCATTGCTTTTAATAAATGATCAATGTCATATTGTATTTGATTCTGTAACCAAAATACATTACATAACCATTACTTTACCCAGGATCTCAGCTTCTTGTCACGCATCAAATTTTTTTATAGGATAAGGGTGGCAAACGAGCACACAGTTCACCTGATGGTAAGTGGTTACTGTGACCCATAGACATCAACATCTATCTATACATCTATACAAATAAATAAAAATGAAGTGTCTGTTTGTAATGTCAAAATTACAGCTTTTTACTAATTGCATATGAAAGTATATACGGTACTAATAACAAAAACACAATTTTTAAAATTTTTGTCTATCTGTCTGCCTTTTTTGTCTGTTTGTTCCAGCTAATCTCCGAAACGGCTGAACCGATTTTGACGGGACTTTCACTGGCAGGTAGCTGATTTCATAAGGAGTAACTTAGGCTACTTTTATTTTAGAAAAAGAATTAGGGTTCAGCGCAAAAACATAAAAACCCTAACACGCGAGCGAAGTCGCCGGGAACAGCTAGTCCTCAATAAAGACTCAAGATACAGATGTGAAGGCCCGTGAAAACTAAGATGGAATGCCCCTTTGCCAGTAAAAAGGTTCTCCGGTTCTCTACACTCACCATACGAAACACAGCAGCGTTAAGCTGCTATTTTACGCTGGTTTTCTGTGAGAGTGGTCCTTCCCCGGTCGAGCCGACCCATTCGTGCTACAACTATACTACTAATATAGCTGCAGCATGGCTCTACCACGTAAAAAAATCATAAATAACACAACAGCAATATTCTGTTATTTTAGTGAGTATTCAGTGCGTTTGACCTTACCTGGTCAAGCCGACCCTTTAGGGGCATTATATGCTGCAATGTGACTCTACCACGTGAACACCTAATAGTACGTAAAGTTTTTTTTATAAAATTAAGGAAATCGTACTGATAATATTAACAGGTTTCCTATCCGCGAAATAGACACAACAGTTAAACAATGGAAATGTTCATATATGATTCACGGGACAGGGAAAATATTAATAATCAAATAGTAAAGTCTGAAGTAATGTCTTTAGGCATTCTTTACCAGTCAACTATGAGCCAAGCACAGAAACTTAAGCAGGCGCCAAAAACATTTCCAACACATAATACACAGAAAATATATCTGCTGATTCATAAGCAGAAATAATTAAGAAATTAAGTCACAAAGAAAAGTAATAATCTAACACCATTTTCTTAAAGCCAGTGACAGAAGTCGGTTTCCCAATTTGTGAATTTATTTTGTAATAATACCTATTTACAAATACCTATTATTATTTGCGTAATGTCCTAAAAATTGTCAAGTTCTTAATTTAAGTATAGAAAATCTTTCAAAACTCTCATGAGTCTTGTTTCTTCCTCGAGGATATTACCTTATGACAGGCGGGGTGATGAACTCTTCGCCCAGGGTGACGGTGATGTAGTCGTTCAGCGCGCGGTACACGCGGTCCACACGGAAGCAGCGCAGCAACATCAGCAACTCGAACGGTTTCATGCGCTCCCTGTACCTGTTCGGGATCTCGTGCGACTCCGGCGTGTCGCTGTCGAACCACTGTCGACAGTAGGAAAATGTCACTAAGTCTCAATAAATAACTAAATGCAGTTCACATATTTCCGTTTATACCTTTTTTCTTCTTCTTCTTTTAGATCCGTAAAGAACCGTTTAGAGAACCGGAGACCCATTTTACCGGAAAAGAGGCATTCCATCTTAGTCCTCACGGGTGACGACGCATCTGCATTTTGATTCTTTATTGAGCACATACCATCAGGTGGACTGTGTGCTTGTTTGTCACCCTATCATATAAAAAAAACTGTAAAAGTATAGCTGGCCATGGGCCATTCGTGCTGTAGTGAGAACTTGCCTTACTACGCTTGGCAGGCAAAATGAAGATCAAAAACGTCTTGCACCTTTGACGCTGCCATAGTGTATATTTTACATAATATTATGCCGTTGACCAGATAGTTTACTGATATCTGTTGGAAGCCATGACAACTTTTTGGGATTCTCCATACGAAAATTCATCACTTACGACACCAACGAGGTTAGGGGTGTTGTATACTTTTACGACGTCGTTGAGGGCGATAAATTATAAAGTATTGCGTTAGGCTGCGTTTCCACCAAAGATGTGCGAAAATGCGTAGCGAAGGATGTTTTTATAAGAACCAATAGATTCACTTCGTTTACATAGCCTCGCTCAGCGCAGCTCTAGTGGAAACGACGCAGCGGAGCGAGGTTTTTGTACATACATAATTTAAAATTAAAAATTTTGTACAGCCGACTTCAATATAAGTTATTTAAGAATAACTTAAAAACTATTGGTCTGACCTTGATCAAATTCATATGGGACCACACGAGAAGTACCAGCTTTCAAATAAAAAAAGAATCATCGAAATCGGTTCACCCAGAAAAAAGTTCTGAGGTAACACACATAAAAAAAAAAACGAAAAAAAAAAACATACAGTCGAATTGAGTACCGGCTCCTTTTTGGAAGTCGGCAGAAAATAAAGGAAGAATGTGTGCGAAGGATGTGTTGCGAGGGATGTGTTCGAGGGCTGTGTGCGAGGTATGTGTTATCTACTACGCTATGCATCCTCGCACCGCTCAGCGGCCGAGTACATCTCTGGTGGAAACGGCGACACCGTTTCACAGCCTCACTACGCATCCTCGCACCGCACAGCTACCTCGCACAGCTCTGATGGAAACACAGCCTTAAAGGGAACTTTTTCCAACTTTCAATCTTTAATCATCTCCTCTCATTCAGGCCCGCACTCATTGGTTCTTTCCTTCATAGCTCGTGTCATATACTGAATGATCGGTAAGGTAAATAATTATTTGTGATTTTGATTTTGGCTCATTGTTTGTTTTTTTTTTCATGCCTAACAGATAGGTACCAAAGTGGAATAGTAATTGTTATTTTCCTTTCAAGTATGGGACAGTTTGTTCATGCCAAAACTTCGTCAAGTAGTAAACAAGTCCACTGCTGAACATAGGTCTCTCACAAGGAATGCCACAAAACACGGTCCTGAGCCACCTGCATCCATCGACTTCCTGAATCTCTTAACAGGTCGTCGCTTAATCTAGTGGGGGGCTGCCTTACATTTCGCTCGCTACCGGTACGAGGCTGCCACTCGAGAAACTAGTTCTACTGCGGATATTCACATTTCTAACTTTATCATTTACCGATTGGTAATCCTAATTGATAGTTTAAAAAAAAGAGCGACTTAGTTCGCCAAGGAGCAACGAACTAAATGTCGCAGTCACCAACTAGGCATAAAACGGAAGACTTCTATGCTCTGTAGTAGATTATTACGGTCTAATGAAGATGTAGATCGTGCATAGAGCTTTCAAGAGAAACAAAACCATAAGGAACACTCACTTCTCGCCAATTTTCTAGTCCACGGCTGATATCGCTGGGCAACGAGCCAAACGTCTCCGGGAAATCAACGCTTAATTTCATTATGTCTTGCCAACCCTACGAAATATTAGATTTTTAAAAGATGTAAGAATGCATTTCTTATATAATTATATATCTTCTATTTGACAACACCAAGCATTAATTCAGACAGCGAAACGATAGCTACGTGTATACTATATTTATATATAATTTTTAAATGAGATGCAACATTACGTGGTAGAGCCATGCTGCAGCTATATTAGTAGTATAGTTGTAGCACGAATGGGTCGGCTAGACCGAGGAAGGACCACGCTCTCACAGAGTACCAGCGTAAAATAGCAGCTTAACGCTGCTGTGTTTCGTATGGTGAGTGTAGAGAACCGGAGATCCTTTTTTTTTGGAAACGAGGCATTCCATCTTAGTCCTCACGGGTGACAACGCATCTGCATTTTGATTCGCAAAAATGTAGATGTCCATGAGCCACAGTAACCACTTACTATTATATGGACTGTGTGATGGTTAGTCACACTTATCCTATAAAAAATCAATTAACATTAATTTACCTGCGCAGGGATCCAGGAGGCCGGACAAGCTATTGATGCCTTCTCCAAAGAAACATTTCCTTTGATGAAGAAATCCAGCTGCGCCTGACTAACATTACCTTCGCTTTGCTCCAGCTTTATGTCCATTTGAAACGAATACAGCAGCTTATGACGTTCGAAAATACCTGAAATAATGTTTACTTTAGGAAATACTGGATGAGCTTGCAAACTTATATCACATCACACGACATTTTGTATGATTTCATTATTTTTTCATAAGCATTTTCAAGGACAAGCACTTCGCATAGGTTTAGTAAATTTTGAGTTATTCTTAATAATTTATATTGAAGTCGGTTGTAAAAAAAAATAATTTGTATTATATATAGGCCAATTTGGCCTTCCGTTCCAAGTGACCGCGAAACGTCATTCGATATGTCGACGCCGAGGATTCCGATGCTAGCTGAGGCAACGAGGCGAGGTGCCTTGAAATTGAGTAGATACGACAAAGGGGCTCTTTTTAGCGGTAAACGTGCAAACTTGAGTCTTCTGGGGATTGAACTGGACGAGATTTAGTTGCCCCAATCCGAGACTTGGTTCAACAAAAACTCTCTACTTCAGACACAAACGTATTACGTTTATTCAGTACTCGTCAACGTGTTCTCGAGAAATATTGGCACGACCGTGTATAAGGCATTGCCAGTATTGTCATATGCATAACAATTAATGTTACTGACTTGAACATATCGTTGATATGCAGGAGGAAGTTTGGAAATTGTTAATTGCAATAAGTGGTGATTTCCCAAAGGTGGTGAAGGGAAACGTCGTGAGAAAACCACCATGAGAAAACGTGTGAAAGTAACGTGAATTCCTCAAACATGCATTGGATCAGCGCGGCGTATTCTTTCCTGCCCTAATACTTATCTATAAGTAGACCAACCACCCACCTATAAGTGAGTGAGCATACCCGTGAAAAGCACTGGAATGTATGTCGTAGGCAGTAAATCCGATTACATTGGTCAAATGGTTAGTGAAGTGGTGAGTACAAGTACAGCGGCCAGTGGCGTGCGTCTACAGCCAGTCAAGTGCGCGACGTTATTCCTCTAATGACATAGTTGGGCGATTCCGCTGTAGACGATTTTTGACATTCATTTTTAAATCACACTATTTGTTACTTTGTTTTATATCAGTGCAAAGAAGAAGGTCAAAATGTAATAATAAAACATAATTCTTGTATTTTAATTCATATTAAAATTTTAGGCGCGCTTAGAAAAAATATCATTCGAAGAATCGGTATAAACAGAAAAGTCATAACGGGCAACACTGGCGCAAAACAGCTGTCACCGATAGTATTTTCTTTGTCATTAGAGGAATAACGTCGCCATTATTCCTTAATTATAATTAATACCACTTGCTCGGCGGTGAAGAAAAACATCGTGAGGAAACCTGCATGTCTGAGAAATAAGAAAAAATATATTTCAAAGACATGTGAAGTTCGCCAACACGCATTGGGGCAGCGCGGCGGACATTTCCTTGCCCTAAAACCCTTTCAGATATGAGAGGAGGCCTGTGCCCAGCAGTGGGACGTAAATAGGCTGTAACTTTTATGCACTGTTTTTATTTTAACTGATAACGCGACGTTTGTGGATCAACCATGGTAGGTATAACTGAGCGAGCGAGTCGTGTTACTTGCCGAAAATTATATATTTGTATTCACAGGAAAGACAATTTGCCAAACAAGTTGACTCGCTACTATTATATTGAATTATACTAATGTCCTTATAATGTACTTTTTGGCAAAAAATCACAGTCCCGTCTTCATAGGGACGATATTGTTACAAAAAATAAAAAAGGGTATGTCGCCCTAAGCTGTGCCGACTCATCAAGAGACGCATACGTAGACCTCGGACAAGGCGGAAGGTTCATTGTTGTCGTATATACCAAACGAGAAGTTATCAACTACTAATTACATATTAAATATCATACCAGTGCACCCGTAGTCATACACGTTCTTTGTCAGCATATCGATAATGTTCTTTAAGCGCTTCGCTAGGATCACGTTCGGCATCGCTTTACGCAGTGAAAATGAGAACACCTGAAGAATTTACTATATGATTAGTTATCAATAGCTCGTTTTTGGTAGATATGAAAAGTTGAAGCCCATGCTGTACGCAGTTCGTGAAAACGTCATTATTTAATCTATTCATTCTACTAATTGTCCCTCGCGACTTCGCCCGCGTGGAATTTAGTGCGATTTCATGGGTTTTAATTTTTTGCTCAGAACCCTAATTATTTTTCTAAAAGAAAAGTATTCTAAGTTACTCCTTATAACATCAGCTATCTGCCAATGAAAGTCCCGTCAAAATCTGTCCAGCCGTTTCGGAGATTAGCCGGAACAAACAAGCAGACAGACAGACAAAAGATTTAAAAATTGTTATTTTGTTGTTAGTACCATATATACTTTCATATGAATTTAATAAAAAGCTGTTATTTTAATATTACAAACAGACACTTCAATTTTATTTATTTGTATATATATAGATTAACATAGGCTTTCTCTATACAAAAAGTGTTGCCATAATAACCACCATCCATAGATGGTAGTTGTTCCAGTGGTGGGTATTTTTACTCATGTTATGCTATTGTGTATAGTAAGTGTTTAGGTCCAACTCGACACATGGTTCAGCCTTTTAATGACGATAATATCTTACTTTACGCATTTTATCGTATCCACCTGTGACCATGGGTGCTGCAAAGCACTCAAAATAATTAATAGAATCAGGCGTTACTTTGCGGAAATCCATTATATAAAAGCTTTTAGAAAAATTTACTTCGCAAATATCCGCGTTATAAAATAAAATAATGTGTCTTACCTAGTATGAAGAGCACGTGACGGGGATAGTGCACGCAATTGAGGGAGGGCGGGAGGTGCTCTTCATACAAGGTAAGACACATCATTTTATTTTATAACGCGGATATTTGCGAAGTAAATTTTTCTAAAAGATTTTACACTCAAAATAAGCTAAAATTAATTACAATTATCGCTAAAAGCACTGAATATAAAAATTGTAAAATTTGTTTATTCAGTGAATCTAGCCTATGACTGTAACTGAATTTATAGCAATAAACCTTTATTATGTAGAGTATGCTTGTGTAAAGGGAAAATAAACGTTATGATTATTAATATATATTATATGGTAAAAAGTAAGATAACGTGCAAGTAAGCTACTGAATATTTTAATTCTTTGAACAGTAGTGTTATACTTACATCAAGATAAGAAGACAGTGAGTACTGGTACATAGAGTTGACTACGGCCATGTCGGATAAAACGAAGAACAGAATGGAACCACGTTTCGCCACTGGTCGGTAGCCATCCCGGAGTTTTTCTATGTCACTAGTCGTTGCCTCTGCTAGTTCCAGTTTTTCCATCACCTTTTTTGCAAATTATACTACACTAATCAAAAATGTTAGCATCTTCCTGATGGAGTCTAAAATGATAAAAAAGTGCGTTTACTAAGCCACCTGCCAAGCTGGCAACTATGGCAAATATCTCTTCTATTAGAAAGTCTATGGGAGAGGCTATTGACTTAATGGGCTGTGACTATGGCAATCTATAGGGGAGGCCTAAGATAATTCCACATATCTTACAACCTGTCCACTGCTGAGCAGACTTATGACAGGCTGTAGTGAATAAACGGAAATAATTGGATTATCATCATCATCATTACATCCCAAGTCCTGTTTTTTTATTTTTTTTTAACAATAACTAACAGTTCTGTATTTTTTTAACAATAAAAAGTCTGTATATCTAAAATTAAAGATTAGTTTTTTTGGGCAATTAAAAAAAATTAAATTCGTTTGTTTTTCAACTACCTACAATTTTTATAATTTACGTTCATCCCTTAAACTTAAAACCTCCCTAACTCGATTAATTATGAGCGGAGAGAAAAAATCATAGAACCTTTTTTTTATGTAAAATTTTAAGCTCTACACATTTTTATTAAATTTTTTTTGTCAAATTTTTACAGTTTTCGAGTGGTTGCAAAAACAATGCTGATAATTATTTTTTCAACCCTTGCCGGAGGTTGCAGACACTAAAACCTTTACACATTGTTTTTATATCATTGAAACTACATTATATCAAAAGTGCAAAGTTGAGTGCCAAAATTTTGATTTCAGACCTTATTTGACTGGACTATAGAGAGGTTTTTGCTGTAATTACTTTATCATCTATCTGGAACTATCAGTTCATTGCTGATATGGACGCTTACCGATCGTACCCAATCGTTACATCACTATATATAAGAGGCCTGCACTTTTCCTATATTCGCTTTTTTTTAGCAAGTGAAGACGTGAAGACACGTGGAAGATACACGTGGTAGAGCCATGCTGCAGCTATATTAGTAGTATAGTTGTAGCACGAATGGGTCTGCTCGACCGGGGAAGGACCACGCTCTCACAGAATACCAGCGTAAAATAGCAGCTTTATGCTGCTGTGTTTCGTGTGGTGAGTGTAGAGAACCGGATACCCTTTTTACTGGAAACTAGGCATTTCATCTTAGTCATCACGGGTGATAACGCATCTGCATTTTGATTCGCAAACGAGGATAGATGTAGATGTCTATGGGTCACAGCAACCACTTACCATCAGGTGGACTGTGTGCTCGTTTGTCACCCTATCCTATATAAAAAAAATAACCACAGAAATATTATTTTGAGTTCTTATGAGGAAGATGCTGCTGCCCATCACCTGTTTCAGTTTTCCTCTGTCGCACCTTACGACATCCAGAGGATGACATGAGATACTAGATATTCTTATGCCGCCATTACGCTGTAAATATCAATTAATTGATCAGTGAAATTACCTCTGCAGCTTTAGACTTGGTGTTCTCCAAAGTGTTGACGAGCTCCACGTTGTCGAGCATGTTGCCGGTGGAGGTGGCCAGCTCCCTCAGCAATGAATCTTCAAGCCCGGACAGTAAACTTTTGTTGGCACTGGTTTCCATGATGAGACTCTCCCGCTGTTCCTCTAGATCCGCACGTTCAGCACGGACCACTACGCTAAGGAGTTGGTCTTCCAAACCCTGTACAAAGGGATTAAGTAATATAAGTTTTGCATAATTAAAATTGCCTAAGATCATTTAAAACTGTAGAAAAACTGAGTGGGAATATGGTAATTTAATGGTATACAGCAACTTTTTTCAGAAAGAAGAAAACAAAGATTTTCGAACACACACGAGTTGGCGCAAGGGGCGGAGCATGCGGCCGCTGCCAGCCGCTTGCAGACCGCAGCATGGCGGCACGGGTTTGCGGACTCACTTACATTGCAAGCCAATACAATTGGCCGCTATCGCAAGCCGCTTCTGCTTCTGTGTGGGAGACGCTTTACGGTCGGATGTATTTTACAGTCGCCAAGCTGGGTATTTTGCATGTCTAATTGATCTAGGGGTCGTAATCATAAGCGCGACTGCTGATTATGTGATCTTGGACTCGACTTGCGGCTTGGACAAAATCAATTATAGAGGTTTTCTGTAAGAAAATTTCCAGTAGCAAGCCCGGAATCAGGAACTTGGCGGTGTTTCATCATCGTGCCCCAAAAAGTACTTATACAATATGCAAAAACGAACAAGTTTTCTAAACTAACAGACAGACGGACGGAATGCGGAGGCTTAGTAATAGGATCGCGATGGTTACCCTTTGGCTACGGAATCCTAAAAATAAATTCTAGATGTTCTAGCCTTTTTTACCCAACTGCCAAGGAAGGGTTATGTTTTTCACGCATATCTTGTATGTTTGTAAATTTCGTTATTATTACCTCGTATCTTCCAAACCGCTGGATGGATTTCGACAGTTAAAATATCGTTTTATTCGTCTTAAACACCCAAGGCTTTTAGATAGCTTTTTGAAAAAAAATAAACAAAATTTGGCACAAAATAGTAATACGTTAATTAAAAAAATTAACCAAATCTATCGAGTAGAGTACCAAAACAAAGGAAATTAAAAGGCAATTGCAAATATATATATATATATATATATATATATATATATATATATATATATATATATATAAGTTATAGGTCCAAATTTAATTAGGAATAATCAATTGGTTTCAAGTTTTTGAAAAATGGTAAAACCGTAAACTGGGCCATGTTTGTGTCGGACATCGTGCTATCATATGAAATTTAGTTCATAAGTGTGTGTCGGGACACTAAAAAGTCTAAAATAAAATCAATAATTAAAAAAATCAAAAACCCGACTGCAAAAAAAGATAATTTAAAAGTAATGCACTAAAACGACCGAAACAAGATTGAGAATAGAAAACAAAATTGTAATAAAGTATCAACAAAGACTATAGTATGAGCTGAACTGACTATAGTATGATTTTTGTACGTGGTAGAGCCATGCTGCAGCTATATTAGTAGTATAGTTGTAGCACTAATGGGTCGGCTCAACCGGGGAAGGACTACGCTCTCATAGAATACCAGCGTAAATTAGCAGCTTAACACTGCTGTGTTTCCTATGGTGAGTGTAGAGAACCGGAGACCCTTTTTACTGGAAACGAGACATTCAATGGTAAAAGCATACATAACTTACACAAAGTATTCTTGCAAACTACATTGAATAAAGAAAATCTATTCAATTTTATAACGCTTGGCATAAAAATATTGTTATACTATGTATCGAAAACCATAAGATTTACCACACAATGAAATAATTAAAACCAATCAACAAAGCTTGATTATGACACAAAAATACTATACAAAAGGTACGCACTTGAACGGTGACGGTATAATTGATGACGACGGCCTTGGCATATGCGGCAGGGTTGAACTGCGGGTTGGCGAGCTTCGTGGTCAGGTACAGGCGGAAGTTCGGGTCGTAGTCCACCTCCGTGCTGCCCAGCATGACGAACGTACGCCCGCTCTCCACTAGAAAAATATATACTTTTTATCTATACAAATAAATAAAATTGAAGTGTCTGTTTGTAATGTTAAAATTACAGTTTTTTACTAAATGCATATGAAAGCAAATACGGTACTTATAACTAAAATTTTTGTCTGTCTGTCAGTCGATCTGTATGTCTGACTGTTTGTTCCGGCTAATATCCGAAACGGCTGGACCGATGTTACGGAACTTTCACTGGCTAGTAGCTGATTTCATAAGGAGTAACTTAGGCTACTTTTATTTTGGAAAATTAATTAGGGTTCCGCGCAAAAACATAAAAACCCTAACATGCGAGCGAAGTCGCGGGGAACAGCTAGTATTTTATATATTTTGTGCACGGCTACTTATTTGATCCAACTTTGGGTTCAAGGCTGACTCTAAAATTATTTCGTTTTCTTAATCAGGCTATAACAGTTTACTCTTATACATGAGTCTGTTATGTTGAAGACGGATTTTCTATAATCACCACGTTTGGCAGGCAGATTATTAGCAGCAGGTAGAAGCTATAAACGTGCGATAGATACGTTTGAAGCTGCTCCTTTCGGATATTTTTCTTTTAGATAAAAGCCGGAGACCCTTTTTACTGGCAAAGAGGCATTCCATCTCAGTCCTCACGGGTGACAACGCATCTGCATCTTGAGTCTTTATTGAGGATAGATGTAGATGTCTATGGGTCACAGTAATCACTTACCATCAGGTGGACTGTGTGCTCGTTTGTCACCCGATCCTATAAAAAAAAATATATCGGGTACCGATTAAACAGGTGGTGTCACTATTAATTTTATCCTATTTAAGATGGTCGCCAATAACAAAGTTGGCAAATTAAGAACTATGTGGAGTGTGAACAGTCACCTTTTTAGGATAAGGGTGGTAAACGAATACATAGTCCACCTGAAGATAAGTGGATGCTCGATTTAGAATCAAAATGCAGATGCTTTGTCACCCCTGAGGCCTAAAACGGAATGTTTCGTTTCAGTTCCTTCACCACAGGACGCACAGCAGCATTAGCGTGCTTTTACACTAGAGATGTGCTATGCTACGTTGCTATGGATGTGTTTGATATCCACCAATCATATGCATTGGTCCATATAGCTTAGCACTGGTGGAAACAGGTTCAACTAAGCTATGTTTTTTATATGGATGGGTGCGTGCTCTGGATGCGTGATAAGGATGGTCGCAGTGCTCCCCCTGCCTTCCCCACTGTCGAGACGTCGTATTTTTTTATAGAACAGGGTGACAAACGAGCACACAGTCCACCTGATGGTAAGTGGTTACCGTGACCCACAGACATCTACATCTATCCTCAATAAAGACTCAAGATGCAGATGCGTTGTCACTCGTGAGGACTAAGATGGAATGCCTCTTTGCCAGTAAAAAGGATCTCCGGTTCTCTACACTCACCATACGAAACACAGCAATGTTAAGCTGCTATTTGACGCTGGTTTTCTGTGAGAGCGTGGTCCTTCCCCGGTCGAGCCGACCCATTCATGCTACAACTATACTACTAATATAACTGCAGTATGGTTCTACCACGTAGCTCAAGCTGCGCATCTTCCTCGCACAGCTACTTCGCGGCGGCGATCCTCATAGCACATCTTACTCGCCCCGCTACATAGCTTAGCATCAGTGAAAACGGTCGCATAGTTTCATAGCTTAGCTTTCATATCCTCACAGCATAACTGCATATCACATCTCTGGTGGAAAAGCACCCTTATGCTGCTATTTTACGCTGGTATTCCGTGAGAGCGTGGTCCTGCCACGAACAACACCTTAGAATAATGTTGCATTTATTTTTTCATTACCTTTGATATTCTTCTCTAGCACATTATCCACTACGGGATCTATATACTCGTTGACATCTTGAAACAGAACCGGTATGCCATATTTAATCGCCATCTCAAGATGCCTGACGAACTGCGGGTCGTTGAAAGAGAGTACCTAACAAAAATACATATTTCAAAAATACTGTGTCAATAACCCTGGGCCGGATATGTCTACCGTATGCCAGACAAGATGTGGGTCAAAGCTCCTATTAAGTAGGACACAGAAGGTGTGAAATAGCATCATCGTTGTTCTACGTGGTTTGGGATTAAGAGATGATCGAAATTTCTTTCGGAAGAAATAGAAAAATCAAGCAACAGGCCAACCACGATGGTGGTAAGAAAGAGAGATTTTTGCTCGGTAGTGGGACAGTATAGGTTAATAAAATATAATAACAAAAATAGAATTTTAATTAATAATTAATATGAGGCGATATTGTGGTTCAGTGTTCAGCGTCCGTGCCTAAATCATGGGTTCTAGATTCAAATCCCTAAAACGTGCGAGCATTTTAATTATTATTTACTTGCGGTTTGGGGCTTACCGTTACTACATTATCAACCTTATGACTAAGAGATGTTTTTAATTAGTCTCAGGTTAAAAGCGTTTCGCATAATCTGTTTTACATAAAAAGTTTTGTGTGTATACACCATTGAGATATAATATACCATATAGCTCAATGGTATACCACTAAAATATAAAATATAGATTTTAACAGTAAATGTCAAAATTTCGTGACGACTGTGGTGCCGTGGCTCTGGTTTCCTAGAATCTCGGTGCCGCTACATGACGGTTGTCTATATAAACAAAATAGCGTGGTTTATTAGAGAGCAGTATTTGTATTTCGATTTGACGCTGTAACATCAAGAAGTTTTGCGGCAATTTGCATGACGGCCGTCTTGACGGTGTCGGATAGTTCACGAACATGTTTTCGATAGCGCTGACCGGCGACGTTAAACAAAATAAGCTACAACTTCAACTGGAGCAGCGAGGACGACGAAATTTTGATAGATTTTGTGCGTAACCATGACGTCATTTATAATATAATGCAGCTTTTTGTGTTCATTGTATGGTTTGTAACTTAAATCATCTTTTATGTGATTATGTACGTAATCAAATAAAACCGGTGTTCGCTGTAGATTTTCTCTAAGTACTACCTGATTTTCCCATCTTTGCGCCGTAGACGGTGACGCTATAAAATCTAAAATGCACCTTTTGTATCACGAGCTTTGAATAAATCATATTCCTTCATACGATTATTTTCCTCTGCCCATCCTCCTCCCTAAGTAAATTATTAATTCTCATGATCGTTAATTTTCGCCTGCATCGGATACGTTTCTAAAGTTTTATTTAAGAAAAGTTAGCCGTAGCGGTGATGACTCCTTCCACGTGTCGTCACCAAATATGCCGACGTATTCTTGTGGCCGCTGTGTTACGGCCGCTATATAACATCATCGTTATCTCAGGAAACGAGAGCTTAAGGGACTTTTTTATTTAGAACTCAACTTGAGCTAAAGTTTAAAGAAAAGACTAATCAATAAACCCGTTTGTAATATGATGGCATGTGCCTCACAATACATCTAATCTCCACCTCTAAGATATGCAGGAAATAGTTATAGCGAATACAGAGGGGCACTGTATATGCTGCTGAATGAGATAACTCCACCTCCCATTTTCCCTCGTGGGTTTCGTTAATATTAAGTTTGCATGTTTCATTCGACTTTAGAAAACTCCCAAAAGATTTAATAGCCTGAAAAAATGGCGGTATAGACATCTGTGTCTAATATATGTGTAAAACGATCATAACCAGCAGTGGTGGAAGAAACCTAAAAAGTGTGAGATGGCTACAGCCAATACCACCTCCTATAGATGAGGCCCTTGTTCAGCAGTAGACTGTTGCGCGTGGTAAAGATGAAGAAGAAATCATTTTCTACTACTAGTGTAGTAAAAGCAGTCAACGACTTTTGGGGGTATAGCGAACAATTATTTTAATTTATATTGCACGTAATGCTGTATGAATGAAATATGTTTTATAAATAATGTTATATGATACGTTTTTAGCATTTACAGTAAATAAAATATTTTTGCCATTAAAAGCAATATAAGGATAATTATAAAAAAATACCTTCAAATTGTTTTTAGCTTCCTTCTTTTTGATCCAGGAGAGGGCCTGCGTCTGTGGGTCGATACATAGCGGAAAGCGAGATGCCCTGGTGGTCAGTATACCATTCTGTACGGAAAGTTCGTCCGGTGGTAAACCCTCAGAGTTCCAACTAAAAGAAGAAGCAGTATAAAGAAATAAAATGATATAAATTTTTATAATGGCATCTAACAAATCGATTTTCTAAAGTACGTAATAACATAAAACAATGTACAGTCCGTACGGATAAATAATTCGATTAGAAATCGTGGCTCATCGAGCACGTACCGTTAGCATACACAGAACCAATGGCGAAAACCCGCTACTAACGGTATATCGTTATAAAGTTATATTATTGGGTTAATTGGAAATTTTCTATTAATGGGAAAATATTTGAAAATAATTTTACGTACATTAATTTTAAAATAACATTTATGACTAGCGACTCGCTCTGGCTTTCCTTGAGTGAGATCTATTAATATGGCGTTATTTAGACTTAAGATAATCAATCATTAAGTATCATTTATTTTATCTTATCTTCTTCTACTTTCTATTTTAATAAAATATCTAAATTTTTTCGCATAATACTTAGTCTCTAACACTAAAATTACTCTCTATTTGTTCGTGAAGTTTTATAACAATCGGTTCAACCATTCCGAAGATTAACTCGGACAGACAGATAAAACAAAATTTTTATTAATTATTACTCGTCTCAATAGCATATAAATATTTAATAAAAAAATATTAACAAACAAAATAAACAATAATTATGAAGAAAATTCTCAGAACGTATCGTAGCTCACAATTCCTGGACTAAATTTTTTTTGTAGTTTATGGCATTTTGTGATTATTATTTCCAATCACAAGTTGGACTGAAGTTATAGAACGTACAGAAAAAGCATAACGCAACTTATTTTTTTTGCGCTCTTTACCGGCGGGTAACATAGGTATATAGCAAAAGCGTGCAAGCGAGAGGTGAATAGAGGCGACGCCATTTTCAATCCCATTCTTTAACCGTACAGGTAGTATATAAATATTGGTATATCACCATCATAGCTGACCAATAATGATGATTATACAGCCACTTTATTATAAAATTGAAGTGACAAAAACCAGAACACAGCAATGAACTATATTTACCTTTTTAATTATTTATTCTTTATTGCACCAAATATATGTACAAAAGGCGAACTTAATGCTATATGGCATTCTCTACCAGCTAACCTTGGGTAGAACAGAGAGTGAATTTGGGCAGTTAAGTTGTTATGATATAATTCAGTTCAAATATATACATGCAACACATTCATAAAATATACACATATATACATAAAATATATATAATTGATACACATACATAAATAAATACACACATTTAACTACACATTTAACTATAGTCACCGGTTATTGGTAAAAAACCAACTGAAACAGACTCATATAACGAAAAAAGTATAATTTCTCTAACTCTAGATAAATATCATGTAGAGATATCTTATGTCACAAAGAGAAAGGCAATTTTGAATTATCTCCTTCTATGATCTGCAAAGGGTTTTGAAAATCCATTTCAGCCGTATTAGTTTTATGCTGACATTATATATTCTGTTTCCCGAAATTATGAATATTCAATTGAGATATAAAGTCAGACAATTAGTTTATGAATTACGGACGGACATACATACATACTAGCCAAAATTATTACCATCGTTTAACCTCCGCTGTTATCGAGTACTAAAATATATGAAGAAGAGTAACTTTTTTGCCACCTACCCGCTTATTTCAACTTCATTGGTCAAATTCTTCTGAATAGTAAAAGGTTCCGTGAGTGGGATGCCCCTTTCCTTAACATCACCGAGCCAGTCCTCGTAAATCATCGTCTCGCGGAAAGAGAAAGAAAAGGGTCCGGTGTAGCTCAGGAACGACGCAGCGAGCAAACAATTCCCAATCAATCTAGACTGCTCTAGATGCAACGCCGCCAAATCCTCAGTCCAACGCTTTTGTTCACTGGACAGTCCGGACATTAGTTTATCGGCGGCGATCAGTCTTCTCATCATTAAATCCGTCTCCTCTTGCAGCTCTTGTCTCCTCAACATTGCAGTTTCATATCGGCTGTTCAAGCCGTCTAAGGTTTTCTGCAAACGCTCTATCTCCCTGTTCAATGACGCCAAATAATTCACGGCTTCTGTGTACTCCTTCTCCAAAGCTTCCACTTTATCTTTTTTAGGTTTCACCTCTTTGTAAACTGCGCAGTAGCCTAATACGGCAGTTACAAACTTCAGTAGACCGTACCTGTTAATGTTATACATTGGATTAAAATGCCTAAGGGTATGATGCATACCGCTAACTTAAAAGGGAATAGGGTAGAATCTGTTATTTTTCGTTAACCACTTTAAGCATTTGAAACTTACCAGAAGTGTTTAAAGGGAACATTATTGATGTTAAGAGCTTGACTGGTATTTATAAAAAATAGAACATACATTTTTGTAAGTAGCTCGTCTGGCTTTTAGATGCCAAATTCATATATTATGTATCATAAATAGCAAACTAAGTTTGAGACATTACCAAAAATAGCAATTTCAAATTTATAGATACAGTAATCATTCATCAAGTCAAGATTTGACATAATGGCGTATTAAGTATTGTTTATTTTAAAAGAGTAAGGGTGACTAACGAGCACACAGTCCACCTGATGGTAAGTGGATTCTGTCTGTAGACATCTACATCTATCCTCAGTTGATCAGATGCGTTGTCAACCCTGAGAACTAAGATGGACTGCTTTGTTTCCATTAGGTCTCCGGTTCTCTACACTCACCATACGAAGCATAGCAGCATTAAGCTGCTATTTTACGCTGGTATTCTGTGAGAGCGTGGTCCTTCCGAGCCGAGCCATTCGTGTTTAACCACAGTATAGCTGCAGCATGACTTTACCACGTATAAAAAAACACTATGTAGAATAATTAATTTTCTTCATTTTAATTGTTAGAATCACCATCACAATAATTAGAAGTGTCGTCGACATGTTAGATTTAATAACTAGTGCCGCGGAAAAGTAATTACCTAAAATATATAAGCATTTACTTAATCAAGTTTGTTAGTATGCAATAACAGAATAAACAAATACGTACCCGGCTTTACTAATCTGCTGCATTGTGTCCAGCTTCTTGCTTTTCTTCATATGCGCCTTGACGGCTTTAACTTGTGCCTGAGTTATCAGATCGCAGTTCATTTCTTGCAGATTACGAAGGAAGTTCGGGTCGGCCATCATACCTTTTGCGCCTTTCCAGCTCACGTCTTTTACGCCGCGGATAATGGCCACACATTCACAAACCACCTACAAAAAAGGAAATATGTGTTTATACCTGTCACTGAAATTTATAACTACAGTCAGTCTAAATGGTATTTTCGGTATGGAAATGATAATACTGTTATATATCAGAAGCTATGAGATTTTCCTGGCATAAACATATTATGACGTATTCGCTTTTTACGTCACTTTCAAATTAAGATATTTATCAGATTTATGAAAATAACGCGTTGAAGCATATCTTGAGAGATATGCCATACTGGACAGGCAGGTTAGTGAATGCCAAGCATCACCAGTACGTGGTTTTGTATTATTTCGATTGTGCTCCTGCCCTGCATGGAATAGAGCTTGGCTCTTAAAGAAAAATATGGAATTTTCTCCAGGCATCATGGATAAGCCTCTATTTCATCCCGAGAGGGCTTTAAAAAAGTCCAACGTCCTGATTCGTGTTGATGTCCTAGAAATATATTATGTCTCTCACACATATACGATATCTTCTAGTTTCATTACGATATCTTATTTATTACTTTACCATCGAATACGTGGTGATTAGCACGAGTAACGAATTAAGCAATGCCGGCGGATTATTGACGCGATATGAAACTGGCACCCAATCTTTAAGTTTTTAAGACTTCTATGCCCAAATACTCAGTTGAGCTTCGCGATTTTTGCATCTGCTTTGTTCTGAATAACGACTTTATTTTTATTGGGGCGCCTTGTTATTGCCTATACTTGTAGCAAATAATTAACACTTAATTCCTTGCTATTAATATTTATCGTACATCTATTATCGTCACTGCGTCGCTAGCGATACGTTTTGCCAGTAAGGCAAATCTCAACAGTTCGTCGCGGTGAAAATTTTAGAGCACCTAATTTTTAGACTTGCCACCTAATTAGCACCTACAATGCCCCAAATATTGTTTTTTTTTCTACATACAAATTCCTGACTTTGCGTTGTTGGTGAGACACAACTCAAATACTCCAACGTTGATCAATTTTAAGATGCTGTTAAGTGTCGTATTGTCTCTATCACTTTAAGTCAAAGTGACTGTGACACCATGAGACTATATAATATTTTCTTTAAATGCACTAAGCCACACACTCATTGAGAAGCGAAAATGTTTCATTTGTCACTCAGAGGTAAACACTTGTTCTTACTGTTAAATCCTTATTTACTAATATTTTAAAGCACAATCAGACCCTTATATTTTAAGGTTATTTTAATTTCGCCACTGTATTCGAAGATGTAATAATAATGTCCCCCAGACCGAATTACTGTCACGGCGGCCAGTCTCTACGGAGACTAGCCATCGGCGAAGGACAGGATCATAGTGCCCAAGTGTATGCGCCAAGCACACGTGCACTCTCTACTCCCTCACTCTCATAGTCCGATGTGACGGTAAACCGACATGACCGGAAAGAGATCAGGCGCAGGACCAGCGGCTTAACGTGCTTTCCGAGACACGAGGGTGAAACACTGCCAACTACTCAACTCTGAACTGCTACTGAGAATTTTTTCGATTGGAATTCGGGACTTCATTCAATGAGAGTTCACAATACAGGACAATAAAATAAAATAAAGAACAATGTTAATAATCACACCTGCACAGCTTCGGGTGGCGTAGCAAATGAACGTATCTCAGTAATGTCGTTCTTGTCCAAGTCGGAGAGCGCCAGTCTAGCGGCCTCTAGTGCGGGCAAGGCCGCAGACAGCGCCTCTTCCGCTTCCGACTTCTCCTCTGCTATCACTTTGCTCTGTTCCGTGATCTCTTGACTCTTCTCTGCCGCTACTTGCTGCTTGCCTACTGCTGCTTCAGTAGCTGTTAGAAGATAAAAAATATTTTTGTCAGATAAAAATAACTATACTTAATCATAATTTGTAGTAAGAGGCGATAGAGGCAAATAGAACAGTAACAACTCAAAATAATAACAAAATTGCGGTTGCAGCTAACCCAGCTGCCGCACCTGGCAAATATTACAAAAATCCTCCCTAGAAGCAATCTATCGGTGAGATCTATGTTTTTTTTGAGATTTTTGATAGGCTGAAATGATAACGAATAATAATTTCAAATCATTATACACAATGACAATTTACATAATATGACAATTGACAATAGCTTTAGTATCCCAAATTATAAAATCCGGCGTTATTTTGTGAAAATTATTTACTACTAGCTATTCCCCGCGACGCGACTTCGCCCGCGTGTTATTTGGGGTTTTAATTTTTTCGCGCGGAACCCTAATTCTATTTCTAAAATAAAAGTAGCCTAAGTTACTCCTTGTGACATCAGCTCTCTGCCAGTGAAAATCGGTCCAGCCGTTTCGGAGATTAGCCGGAACAAACAGACAGACAGACAGACAGACGGACAGACAAAAACTTTAAAAATTGTATTTTTGTTATTAGTACCGTATATACTTTCATATGCATTTAGTAAAAAGCTGTAATTTTGATATTACAAACAAACACTTCAATTTTATTTATTTGTATAGATTATACACCGCACCACCTTAAGTACAAGTGTAAATTGAAAAATATACTTAAATCTTAAAGCAGCTCACCAGTCGATATTTCCTTAAGTAGAATCTCGCACTCTTTGGTCTGTTCCGCGACGATAACTTTCTGCACAGCCAGCTTAGCGTTGAGGTCTTCAAGTTGAACATTAGCCTCTTCAATCTTCGCCAGGCCGCCCTTTAGACGCTCGCACTGAAAATCCAAATGCTTTTACTTTATTCCATTGCAAATCATCAGCACGATCTTCCTGGCGATGATGACGATGTAATGTCAATTTTAGAGAATTCATTACCTATGGGAAAAACCAGAAAGATCTTATGGCCTCCGATAGTTACTGTACAGCCATCTCAATAAACTAGATATAAAATACCCAGGACAGGTGAAAGGTACTAGCGAACAATGTGTGAGACGTCTAAATATCTAGACGGACAGGCAGACAAACAGACAAAAACTTGAAAAACGTTTATTCATGTCTTATTAGTATGCAAATAACCCCTGAACTTAATAGAAGGCAGTTTTTTTTATTATAGACAAACACTTTACTTTTAAATAAGTATAGATTCTATTACGGAGTAATGAGGGAGTAATAATCTACGACTTTTTCTGCCACCAGGGCGGAGCCACTAGAAAGTGAAGTAGCATAATATTTGACAGATTTCATAGCGGGGAAGTGAATGTGTTCGGAAAATGTAATTGTTTCCTTCTGCACTATTAGATATATTTTATATTAATAAGATTAAAAGTAAATAAACTAAACCACAGATATACATAAAAGTAGAAAAATTTAAAAAAAGTTAAAAATGTGCAAAAAATTAAAGAGCAAACCACTGACGTCTTGTTTTGTGTATTAATATAATACTTTAGAAACTAATAAACTTTTATTAAAAACCAACTTCTCAATTAAATTACACTGTATAACAAAAAACTTTACCTTAGTGTCAACTAACGACATCTGGTGAGCAGAAAATTATTAGCCTTTATTGCTGCTTGCCGACATAAACAGGCTGTTACTTTTTTCATAAGGATATGCTCTAAGTATAGCCGCGTTGTAGAAGAATGGTAGTTATTTCAACTCACACTGACTAAACCTTTGCCGCATTTCGCATATCAGAGTGATATCTACCAAGACAAGGTAATAGGGTACTTAGATCTATAAAGACTCACCTGCGCCACGATGAAAGCATCCTTCTCGCCGAGAAGCGAGATATAGCTGGTGAGGAAGTCCATGTAGTGTTTGGGCGTGACATAGTTGTTGCGGCGCAGCCTCGCCAGGAACTCGGCGGAGTAGCGCGCCACGGACAAGTGCACGTGCACCACGTGCTCCACTATTATACTCCGGAACTCATCGGGGATTTTTTTCACCTGGATATTATTTTAATATTGTTTATATTCGCTTTTGCTACTTGTGTAGTTGATATTTCTTGGGGGAGGTTTAGCAGTGAACTTTAGATTAGCTGTAACGATGATGCTGATGATGTGATGTGTTGTTGACACCATCTTTAATAAATTATTATATCACAATATAACAATTTGTATTTGCTTCATTTAGTCGTTTTTAATTCGTAATTTGGATTTTATTATCTAAAATTATGTTAAAAACCGTGTAATGGAATATCCAATACCCCGTAAGTAGCGACAGAGGAAAACTGAACCAAGATATGGGCGGCAGCTGTATAAAAAATAAAACCCTACGATTGTCAACCACGGTGGTGACTATGGCAAATATCCCCCCTAGGCTCAGCAACGAACTTTAATGCCTCCTCTACACTACTCGCGAAGTAGATCGAAGTTGGACGAGGCGAATAGTATAGAAAGGTACTTCGATTCGCTTCGTGCAACCTCGCTTCGGCTCGGACGACTTCCGATCGCTGTCGGTTTGTTTGCGCCAGAGTCAAAGGACTTCGCGAAGTACCCCGAAGTTACACGAAGCGTCTCACTACACTACTCGGCGTACGCCAGTTATGAATATTTTTTATATATAGGTATAAATATTAAATATGTAGCTTTCTACATAATTATTTATTTAGTTAACGCATTGATGTCGTTCTGTTCACACAATTAGGTAGCTATAGCAGCTGTCTCTTGAACGTTATTCATGTTAAGGGTGCGTTTGCAAGTCGGACCAAATCACATATAACTAATAACTACAACGTATAGAATGGTTCTTTATCTTCAAATGGTGGTAAATTTTTTGTTGAAAATAATAGTTTTTTACATTGTAAAAAGGATCTTCCCTAGCCATTTTCTACAAAATTAACGATACCGGCTCATGTTTCGGTACATATTTTGTTCTATTATCAACATATATTAAGATTTCTAAAAATACTGTAAGTAGGCAGACATATTCCATAAAAAATGCTGGTGTTTACTTTTTATCAAAATGTCACAAATGGTCGTAAAAAAAATAAAAGCTGATGCTTATTTTTTTGACATATTTTGCTGATACGGATGAATCCTAATGGATTGCAATAAGGGTTATTTTATTTTTAGTGCCTGTTTTGATTTATTGTACAAAAATTTCGATGAAACCACAGTCGGCGCTCGGCCGTCATGCTGAAAAAGATCGCTGTACAAACACAAAATATTTGAATTTGAAAAATAGGTCCTGACCTGACAAAGTAAAGTAATACATATTATGTAATATAAATACATTTTTATAAACACAAATCCTTATTATAATGTTTTGTTTCGCTAAAAGCAAGTGGGATTTATGATATATAAATATATATAAATCCTATTCGTCTTGGATTTTATGGAGTGATCTGAAAGTATACGGTGAATGCTACTAGAACTCCTCGACGAGTTGAACTAGGTGTGCCGAGTTTGGGCTCATTATGTTAGTTATGACGAGATCTTACCTCCGGACTTGATGGAATGACCTGAAGGTGTACTTCGGTAACTGCTAGTGGAACTCCTGGACGAGTAGAAGTAGGTATGCCGAGTTTGGGCTCGTTTTGTTAGTTATGACGAGACCTTACCTGCAGACTTGACAGAATGACCTGATGGTGTACGTTGGTGACTACTACTGCAACACCTGGACGAGTAGAACTAGGTGTGCCGAGTTTAGGCTCGTTTTGTTAGTTATGACGAGATCTTACCTCCGGACTTGATGAGAGACCTGATGGTGTACTTCAGTGACTACTACTAGGACTCCTGGACGAGTAGAACTAGGTGTGCCGAGTTTGGGCTCGTTTAGTTAGTAATGATGAGACCTTACCTCCGGAATTAATGGAGAGACCTGATGGTGTACTTCAGTGACTACTACTGGGACTCCTGGATGAGTAGAACTAGGTGTGCCAAGTTTGGGCTCGTTTTGTTAGTCATGACGTGACCTTACCTCCGTACTTGATGGAGAGCCCTGATGGTGTACTTCAGTGACTACTTCTGGAACTCCTGAACGAGTATAACTAGGTGTACCGAATTTGGACTCGTTTAGTTAGTTATGATGAGACCTTACATCCGGAATTGATGGAGAGACCTGATGGTGTACTTCAGTGACTACTACTGGGACTCCTGGATGAGTAGAACTAGGTGTGCCAAGTTTGGGCTCGTTTTGTTAGTCATGACGAGACCTTACCTCCGCACTTGATGGAGAGCTCTGATGGTGTACTTCAGTGACTACTACTGGAACTCCTGGACGAGTAGAACTAGGTGTGCCGGGTTTGGGCTCGTTAATTAGTTAGTTATGATGAGACCTTACCTCTGGAATTGATGAAGAGACCTGATGGTGTACTTCGGTGACTACTGCTGGATTTCCTGGACGAGTAGAACTAGGTGTGCCGAGTTTGGGCTCATTTTGTTAGTTATGACGAGACCTTACCTCCGAACTTGATGAGAGACCTGATGGTGTACTTCGTAACTCCAAGACGAGTAGAACTAGGTGTGCCGAGTTTAGGCACGTCGGAGAAAATATAAATGGTATTACCAAATTCAAGGGCAACTGCGCATCATAACTAACAAACTCGGCACACCTAGTTCTACTCATCCAGGAGTTCCAGTAGTAATCACTAAACTACATCATCAGGTCTCTCCATCAAGTCCGGAGGTAAGGTTTCGTCATAACTAAGAAAACGAGTCCAAACTCGGCACACCTACTTCTACTCGTCCAGGAGTTCCAGTAGTAGTCACTAAATTACACCATCAGGTCTCTCCATTAAGTCCGGAGGTAAGGTTTCGTCATAACTAACGAAACGAGCCCAAACTCGGTACACCTAGTTCTACTCGTCCAGGAGTTCTAGTAGTAGTCACTGAAGTACACCATCAGGTCTCTCCATCAAGTCAGGAGGTAAGGTCTCGTCATAACTAACAAAACGAGCCCAAACTCGGCACACATGGTACTACTCGTCCCGGACATCCAGTAGCAGTCACCCAAGTATACTTTCAAGTCACTTCACCAAGTTCGGAGCTGAAGTTATCATAACTAACAAAACCAGCCCAAAGTCCACAGCCAACACCTCACTCCCAGTAGAGGGCTTCTAGTGCCTAGATGGTCACTGGAGCAGCCATTTATATTTCGTATCTACGTATTTTTTTTGTAGTTATAAGAAATATGAAAAAAAAAACAATCTTTCAAATTATCAAAATGTTTATACTTGATTGCGATTCCCGCAGCTAACCGTGCGTACACTTGTGTGTGTGACCCGTGTCAATGTAATAGTTCGATTCTATACCTATCAATTTTGTAAACGCGTCCTTAAGGGTGCGCGAGACTCAACACGACTGAGCTCTTCGTGAAGTAGCACTAGTGTGTAGTCACGTTCGTCGGACTGCGATCGACTTCGACGAGCACTTCGTCAAAGTTACTTCACGAGTAGTGTAGAGGAAGCATTATAGGCTATAATGGTAAACATGTACTATTGTCGTATGCTGGCGGCATAAGAGATTCATAATGAACTATCTTATGCCGCTTCGTTTCGTCGCATGAGGTCGTAAGAGACGACTATGGGAAACGGCATAAAAAGTTTTGTTGAGTCTAACATATGGCGATATAACCATGTCGTCAGACGTAAAATACAAAATCCAGCGACTGGCAGCACATCAGTTACTGCGATTGTCGATGCTTCTGCCAAGCGTAACGATTGAGACAAGTCTTCGCTACCATGTTCAGCAGTGGACTTTAGACTGTAATGGTATGGTATGGTAATGGTATGGTGGTTAAAAATATCATACATCAGCCAGGAAGACGTTGGCGACGGCCAAGAGCGCTTGCTTGGGCCACGGGAACTGCCAGTCGATCGTAGTATTGTTGACGAGGCCGGGGAAGCTGCGACACCTGGGGGAATGTTTAATGGCAAATAAAGCAACGAACATACTTTGATTCTTAAACTCGCAATCATAATAATTGGTGGTTTCAAGATTTTTCTTAAGCTGACATTTAATTGATTAAAATTAGACTTGGAGGACTTCCGTTAGACATCCCGAGAACTGCTGTTCCTATATTTCACAATCAGTTTCTCCCATGCTTCTTCTACATAGCTTTCCGTGCTTCTACATTATTCTCATAAAGTACAAGTGGATGGCTTAAGAGAATCGATCATACTATTTCGTCGTGTGGGTGTTTTAAGCTTGAAGAGACAACTATTGAAGATGCTACAAAATTATTTCCCCCCGTAAGAAGGTGATCGCCAAAAATATATTTCAATTGACTTTTACGGGCTGATATATAAGAAGAATCATAGCAATAGAAAGTGCCCACAGTTTAAACTCGGGGTAGGTAATAGAAAAGGGACAATTTTCATTTTCTATATTCTAATTTTCCATTATCTTTACTTACCAAGTGTTTACGTTTTTCACAGTACAAATTTACGTTTATTTAAACAGAAATTAAAAAAATATCTCTTAGCTACCTCTCTAAACAATGTACCTTTATTACAATAACATACACACACATAAACACGAATGGGAACAAAAGTAAGAAAAAAATGTATTATAATTATACAATATAAAAAAAATTGCACCTAATTTACCTGTTTCTTAGAATATCACCACTAGGCGACATTGACAGCACGATATGCAAATTTTCAGCACACTTGTTGCAGAAGTAATTCCATACAGAGTCTCTGAAGACAAACATAATGAGCACTTATTAGGTTAAAAGAAAAAATTCTGATTAGCTAAATACTCTATTTCCTATAAAGCGTTACCCCGCTCAACTGTTTTGTCTACAACATTCCATTTTAGTATTGTTTACAATTACCTGCAATAATAGACGGTGCTTGAAATAAAAAAAAACCAGCAAAGTCATTGAAGTAAATGTACGTAGTACATAATATCTCATTAAGCAAACATCATTGAAGGATGTATAACCAATTTAATGAAAAAAAAAAGAATGATTAAAATCATTTCACAATTAACGAAAATATCCTGAACCATACATAAAAAAGAACATACTGTCAAATTTAGAATCTCTTTTTTTGCCTGCTGTCGTCTGCTAGAGGGGTGACATTTAAAAAAACGAGCAAAAAAAAGGGACATATTATTTAAATGAAACGGTTGCCACTAAGTTTGATATCGCTTGGAGACGAATGATAATGAAACGACCAAATTTTTTAAATAAAACGATAATAAGGCTTATAAAAAGTCTTAGGTTTTAAAGAGTGTACATAAAATATTTGTACTATGATTTTACAACTTACCTAGTAATGCCCGAAAGTATTAAAGTCCGCTAATTAAATTGTACAGTACTACATACTTGCCGACTCCATAGCCCGCATCGTTGCTCTCGTTGCGCAGTGAGTTGATGATGGCCTCCTTCTCGTCATCACCGAACAGCGCCGGGATCATACCGATCATCAACATGTTGTTGATCAGCTCCAAGAAACCCTCCTCCAGTATCTGGTAGAAACAAATATACGAATTATGTAACTCTCTTTAAAATAACAAAATTGTCCCTGTATAATATATCGGATAATATAATAATAATAGTAAGAACCACCGACCCCAATCGCCGTGTAATAATAATAATGATAGAAAGAAACGAAAACAGAAGGTCTGCATCTTCCTGATAACTCAAAATTATTAAAAAACTACACTTGTCAACCCGCCTCCCAAGCGTAGTAACTATGACAAAATCCCATATGAGCCAATCTATGGGGGAGGCCTATGTTCAGCGTGAACTTTTATAGGCTATATTGGAAATTACCACACTATAAGATAAACCGGGCACGAATATGCCACTCTAAATTAGAAGCGAATGAGATAATCTATACAAATAAATAAATTTGAAGTGTCTGTTTGTAATGTCAAAATGACAGCTTTTTACTAAAGTTGAAAGTATATACGGTACTAACAACAAAAATACAATTTTTTTTCGCAAGCGATCGCCGATTCGCTTGCGAAGCGTGACGATTAAGGTAAATGTTAGATACGGAAAGAGGACCGGATATTTTCTTTTATAGGATTGGGTGACAAACGAGCACACAGTCCACCTGATGGTAAGTGGTTGCTGAGACCCATAGACACCTACATTTATCCTCAATATAGAATCAAAATGCAGATGCGTCGTCACCCGTGAAGACTAAGATGGAATGCCTCTTTTACAGTAAAATAGGTGTCCAGTTCCCTACTCCTTCTCCAGGTCTTCAGGTCCTTCCCCTGTCGAGCCGATCCATTCGTGCTACAACTATACTGCTAATATAGCTGCGGCGTGGCTCTACCGCTGAAACGATCGCTGGTTAGCTTTGCACTGTTATATTTTACTATGGACCTGGAGTGGTGGGCGGAGCCACGAACATGCACGCAAGCGAGAGGAGATGGAGACGTCCATGTCCAGCTGTGGGCTTAATGGGCTGAGGATGAAAAATAATACAGATTAATTAACATAATCAGTCAACCCATTTATTACAATCGTATGTCCCTTTTTCGAAGCCCCTTGAAAGGTAACAATAAATTGTCTAAGTAATTTATAACTTCAGTAGATAAACTTTTCTAACCTGTGCTGCTGTAAAGAGGAACACAGTCGGTTTCCCCTCGACGCCGAGCTGATTGTAGAGGCGCTTCATATCTTCTTTGAAAGTGTTCTCATTGTAGTTACGCGTTATCGTGATTTCAAACATTTCGCAGCCTGAAATGAGTACAACGATAATAATTGTTTAAAATTACAAATTATATTTTACATTTTACAAACTGCAATGGTGGAACATTTATAAGTTTACAAAATATTATAGCTACAATTTCACATGTTCAATAACTGTTTAACAGAAAATAATTTAATTTTCTTTCTATTTATTAAACGCATACTTTTAGTCAGAAGTTGCCTACTGTAGGTTACCTGCACCGAAGGCGGCCAGGCGGCAGATGCACTTCTTGCCGGAGCCGCCGACGCCCACCAGCATGAGGCGTTGGTTACCTGCAGCGAAGGCGGCCAGGCGGCAGATGCACTTCTTGCCGGAGCCGCCGACGCCCACCAGCATGAGGCGTTGGTTACCTGCAGCGAAGGCGGCCAGGCGGCAGATGCACTTCTTGCCGGAGCCGCCGACGCCCACCAGCATGAGGCGTTGGTTACCTGCAGCGAAGGCGGCCAGGCGGCAGATGCACTTCTTGCCGGAGCCGCCGACGCCCACCAGCATGAGGCGTTGGTTACCTGCAGCGAAGGCGGCCAGGCGGCAGATGCACTTCTTGCCGGAGCCGCCGACGCCCACCAGCATGAGGCGTTGGTTACCTGCAGCGAAGGCGGCCAGGCGGCAGATGCACTTCTTGCCGGAGCCGCCGACGCCCACCAGCATGAGGCGTTGGTTACCTGCAGCGAAGGCGGCCAGGCGGCAGATGCACTTCTTGCCGGAGCCGCCGACGCCCACCAGCATGAGGCGTTGGTTACCTGCAGCGAAGGCGGCCAGGCGGCAGATGCACTTCTTGCCGGAGCCGCCGACGCCCACCAGCATGAGGCGTTGGTTACCTGCAGCGAAGGCGGCCAGGCGGCAGATGCACTTCTTGCCGGAGCCGCCGACGCCCACCAGCATGAGGCGTTGGTTACCTGCAGCGAAGGCGGCCAGGCGGCAGATGCACTTCTTGCCGGAGCCGCCGACGCCCACCAGCATGAGGCGTTGGTTACCTGCAGCGAAGGCGGCCAGGCGGCAGATGCACTTCTTGCCGGAGCCGCCGACGCCCACCAGCATGAGGCGTTGGTTACCTGCAGCGAAGGCGGCCAGGCGGCAGATGCACTTCTTGCCGGAGCCGCCGACGCCCACCAGCATGAGGCGTTGGTTACCTGCAGCGAAGGCGGCCAGGCGGCAGATGCACTTCTTGCCGGAGCCGCCGACGCCCACCAGCATGAGGCGTTGGTTACCTGCAGCGAAGGCGGCCAGGCGGCAGATGCACTTCTTGCCGGAGCCGCCGACGCCCACCAGCATGAGGCGTTGGTTACCTGCAGCGAAGGCGGCCAGGCGGCAGATGCACTTCTTGCCGGAGCCGCCGACGCCCACCAGCATGAGGCGTTGGTTACCTGCAGCGAAGGCGGCCAGGCGGCAGATGCACTTCTTGCCGGAGCCGCCGACGCCCACCAGCATGAGGCGTTGGTTACCTGCAGCGAAGGCGGCCAGGCGGCAGATGCACTTCTTGCCGGAGCCGCCGACGCCCACCAGCATGAGGCGTTGGTTACCTGCAGCGAAGGCGGCCAGGCGGCAGATGCACTTCTTGCCGGAGCCGCCGACGCCCACCAGCATGAGGCGTTGGTTACCTGCAGCGAAGGCGGCCAGGCGGCAGATGCACTTCTTGCCGGAGCCGCCGACGCCCACCAGCATGAGGTGTCCGCGCGGCATGCGCAGCACGCGGTGCGCGCGCGTCAGGTGCTCCAGGCAGTCCTCGAACAGCACCACCGACATCGGACCCACGCGCTCGCTGTACTCCTCCAGGATCTACCAAACGATACAACTATCAAACATCCTCGTCCGTCTTAAGAGGGAGAATCTGATGTAAAATATGACGCCACATTGTATCGATTACATAAAAATTGTTCAGAGTAGTGCAATTCACGGTCCAAATATTATGGACTTAATGAAAGTATTTTTTTTTAATATAGATAAAGAGAGACAAACCCATAGACTTCTACAACATCTAACGTAATTAACGCACATCCTCAGACACCCCAATTAGTATATTATGTTATAATCATAATACATACACTGAATTCTTAGTTAAACATGTTTATGCCAATGCATATATTAAATTAGTTATACTAATTCCGGAAGAATGTTGTGGTCACCGTACAAAACCACGAACGCTAGGTATAGATCTTGCTAGCCTAGAAAAAAGCCGACAATACATGATTGGTTACGTTAAAAAAATACCTACCTATGAACATTAACAGATGTCAGAACCCCGTGCATTGAGTTGTTTATTTCAAGTCTAGTAAACATTTGATTGCATTGATTTATATGTTACACTAGATAAGTAATTGCCGCGCCAAAGAACTCCCGAACAAGCCGGTTTCCTAAAGGGCTTTAGCACCATAGACCACATACATACCCTTCGACAAGTTGTACAGAAGTCCGAGAAGTACAATTTGCCACTATGTCTGGCGTATGTGGACTATGAGAAAGCTTTTGATTCCGTCGAAATTTGGGCGGTGCTGCAGTCCCTTCAGCGGTGCCAAGTTGACTGTTGGTATATCGAAGTGCTGAAGTGCTTGTACAGTAGGGTTACGATGACTATCCGAGTACAGAACCAGAGTATGAAACCTATCCAATTGCAGAGAGGTATAAGACAGGGTGACGTTATATCCCCGAAACTCTTCACCACTGCATTTTGTTTTCAAGCTTCTGGACTGGAAAGGATACGGTATTAACATCAATGGCGAGTACATCACTCACCTTCGATTTGTCGACGATATAGTCCTTATGGCAGAATCGCTGGAGGACCTAAGCACTATGCTCAATGTCCTCAATAGTGTCTCCCAACGAATAGGTCTTAAGATGAACATGGACAAAACAAAGATTATGTTTAATGTCCATGTCACACCTATGCCGGTAGTTGTTGAGAGCACTAAGCTCGAAGTTGTTGACGAGTATGTTTACCTGGGACAAATAGTCCGACTAGGTAAGTCCAACTTCGACCGAGAGGTCAATCGACGGATTCAACTAGGCTGGGCAGCGTTCGGAAAGCTACGACACATCTTCTCGTCAGACATACCTCTAAACCTTAAAACGAAATTGTACAACCAGTGCGTGTTGCCAGTGATGACTTACGGATCTGAGACGTGGTCCTTCACTTTTTTTTATAGGAGAGGGGGCAAACTAGCATGCGGCTCACCTGATGGTAAGTGAGTATCGCCGCCCATGAACAACCGCAATATCAGGGGAATTGCAGAAGCGTTGCCGGCCTTTTAAAAAGGAGTAGGCTCTTTTCTTGAAGGTCCCTAAGTCGTATCGGTCCGGAAAAATCGCTGGTGGAAAACTATTCCACAAGGAAGTTGTGCGAGGAAGAAAACATCTTCTAAATCGCACAGTGGTGGACCGCCAATCATCCAGATGGTGTGGATGGTATCGGGAATTCTGCCGCGATGTGCGTTCGTGAAATTTGGCGGCTGGGATTAATCCGAACAATTCCTCAGAGCACTCCCCGTGGTAAATGCGAAAGAAAATGCAAAGAGATGCAACATCTCTTCGCAGCGCCAATGAGTCGAGCCGATCGGAAAGGACTCGGTCGTCGACGATTCGAGCCGCTCTGCGCTGGATGCGGTCAAGGAGCTGGCACTGGGGAGCCCCAGCCCAGAGATGGGAACAGTATTTCATGTGAGGCCGAACCTGCGCCTTGTAAAGTTGCAGGCGTTGAGCCGGCATGAAATACTGTCCCGCTCTGCTGAGCACGCCAAGCTTTTTAGAGGCCAATTTGGCCTTCTCTTCCAAGTGACCACGAAACTACACGTCACTCGATATGTCGACGCCGAGGATTCCGATACTGGCTGTGGCAACAAGGGGAGTGCCTTGAAACTGAGGAAATGCGACAAAGGGGTTCTTTTTAGCGGTAAACGCGCAAACTTGTGTCTTCTGAGGATTAAACTGGACTAGATTTAGTCGCCCCCAATCCGAAATTTTGTCCAGCAAAGACTTGACTTCAGACACAAGTTTGTTCCGGTCACTGCTGACCGTATGAGGAAGCTCAAGGTCGCTCAGCGAGCTATGGAGAGGGCTATGCTCGGAGTTTCTCTGCATGATAAACTTAGGAATGAGGATATCCGCAGTAGAACGAGAGTAACCGACATAGCCCAACGGATTAGTAAGCTAAAGTGGCAGTGGGACAGCCATATAGCTCGAAGAACCGACAACCGATGGGGAAGAAAGGTTCTTGAGTGGCAGCTTCGTACCGGTAGGCGAAGTCTAGGGCGACCCCCCACGAGATGGAGTGACGACCTGGTAAGACATGCAGGAAGTCGATGGATGCAGGTGGCTCAGGACCGTGCTTTGTGGCATTCCTTGGGGGAGGCCTATGTTCAGCAGTGGACTTATGAAGGGCTGTAATGATGATCAACAATATTTGACTACGTAAACGTTGTCTTACTTTTTATTTTCACTGGTTTCATGTAGGAGAAAAATATATAATTTTTTTCATGACAAAATAATATTCCTTTCTGCAGAGTTAACAACACAGCAGTATAAGCATAATAGAAGAATCTGATTCCGTCGCAGGATATGGTCTAAAGTTATATAATACATGGGATTTTTATATAATATTATAATATTGTAATTTGTCAATGTACATAATATATAATTAGTCTTATGGAACAGTGAATGTATTAACAAAAACTCATTTTTTTTTTAGAGAATAGATTTTAGATATATTTAGAGAATATAGCTCCTGAAGGTGATTTGTCTGGCAGTTTGAAGTTTATCAGCTTTATTACAGTCCTAAGTATTTTTGTAAATTCAATAGCAATTTTAAGGAAATCACCCATTACATAAATAAAATAGCTTAACTAAGTCACAATATTTATGCAAACTGTATATTTGCTTCTGGTACAAGCAATTACTACTTTTTTTACATATAAATATATATACCATATATACTATCTATCTACTATGGCTGGCATGAATTCAAGATCCATGTTTGGACTACAAAATAAGCCATTTGGTATTGTCAAGTTATATGGTGCAACTTGCTGAATACATAAGGTAGGTATTTGTACCTAAAGGCAGTTAAAGGAATCGCTCTTCAAAGCCCATGAAGCTACATCAAATAGAGAAGCTTCCTTAAATCGACCCATAGATTCTAATTTTCTTTTAACATACACAAAAACTTGTTTTGTGTATTTATTCCATCTAATATTTAATTTAGATTTTACTAATAACATAAAACTTTAATACATTGTCACTTGTTTTAGGTTATTCAACACAAATTATAGATTTTCTAAGTCTAGGTGGAAAATTAAAATCATATATTACATACATATATAGAAGATAAATACATATTTGGGAATATTAATATTTGGCTAACCTGCATGATATTATCCATATTATGATACGAATATAATGTATATCCATGTATCTATACACTTGTGTATCGATGAGACGATATTTTATTGTCTTGTAATGTAAACAAACAAGTTTAAACTATAAACTTTATGTTTTTGCTACCAAAAAAGAATATAACCACCATTAACCAGTAACCGAGTAGTAAGATTAGTCTATGGTAAGAACTAAAGATGAGACGTATTTACGCTACCAGGTATTAAAACCAGGTATTCACTTCAAAGTGCGGCGCCCTGGTACGAGCAAAAAATATTTGCAAGTATGAAAATACTTGCATAGGAAAATTATCCATATCTCAATAATAGTAAGGAACTCAATCGTATTTGTGAACGAAAAATACTTAGAACTTCAAAGTATTTTTTTATTTATACGACTTTGCTCCTTAGTCATAATAGCCTAACATGGAAAGCGGGTCGAATTCCTATGCAAGTATTCTTCCTTATTTATTACTATACTCTTTGCAAGTATTTTCAAACTGACACCGCGGCTGGACACGTCGTGTAAGTACTTAGTAAGTAATAAGAATTATGTTTATATTCGAGGAGGTAAAAGTTTTGTTTCGAGTTCTTGTAAATTCAATTGTTATTGTGAACTGATTACGTAACCTACTGACCGTAACCTAATTTTTAAATAGTTATTTCGCGTGTATATTGAATTTAGAGACAGTTTTAAAACTTTTATTTATTAAGAGTTCTAAGCCGAAAAGTAGGAAGGAAAGATTTCATTTCGTTACCAAAAAAATTTAAAAACGTTGAGTATAAATTTTTGCCCGAATCAAATTAGGCATTCATATATATATATTGACATTAACAAATTCCATACTCGTACTTAGAAGCCCTGGTATTAAGTTTAAGTAAGAACTAAAGAAGTTTTCAATCAATTCAATCGAGTGAATTTGTGTAACTCGGTACCCGAGTGAAAATAAATTTTACTCGAGTCCGCTTGCACTCGAGTTACCGATTCAACTCGGCGCGCGCACCACACCGTGTAGATTCGGAGATCGTTAGATAGATGTCAGTTTACTAATTCACTTGTAGTATAAGGCGCCGCGAGTGACGTTACTGGTTACATCCAGATTCAAACTTGCATCTGACATGTTGTAGTCAAATATGAACTTAGTTTGATTTATAATATCGTGATTGTGATATCATTGTTGTTTATTTTTTGTTACTTCTTATAAGTAGTGCATAACATAAGAGGTGATTTAAATGTACTTGTTTGTTTAAAGTATCAATGATAACAATGAAACAACAAAATAAAAATCGCCAGTGTGACATTATTTTAAAAAATGGAAGCGATTTGTAAAATATGCAAAAAGCAGTTTACAGATTTAGAAATACTCCACATACCTGTAGTAAATAAAAAACATGGAAATACTACAAATAAATAAATAAATAATAAATATTTGTATTTTATTTCATATTGCCACATATTACTTATTTAATAAAGGTACCTACGAGGGCGGCACTGAAAATTTCGGGAATCAAGGAAGTGACACAACATTACTATTTAAAAATGTATTTATTGATTTTCGAAGTATTCTCCGCGAAATTTGACACATTTTTCCATACGATGGAACCAATCATTGAAACAACCATTCCATTCGGAGGTTGGGGTCTCTAAAATGGCCGTTTTGTAGGCGTCCACAGCTTCTTCAGGTGATGAAAATCTCTGTCCACGCAATTTATGCTTTATTTTAGGGAAAGTATAGAAATCATTAGGGCTTAGGTCGGGGCTGTACGGCGGATGGTCTAATAATTCTATGTTTTCTTGCTCTAAAAACTCTTTTGTTCTGTGTGCGGTGTAAGAACTCGCATTGTCGTGATGGAGGATGATGCGGCGGTTGCAGTTATCTTTACGGAGTTCAGAAACGACCTGTGGCAAACAAATGCTAGCATACCATTCTGCATTAACTGTTCTTTGTCCCTCAAGAGGAATAGTCGTAACATGGCCGGTTTTGGAGACAAACGTGGCCACCATTTTTTTTGCAACACTCCGTGAACGAACAATTTTGTTTGGCTTTAACTCATTTTAGAACACCCAAACTCGTGACTGGTTTTTTGTTTGGGGTTCGTACGCGTATATCCAGGATTCGTCACCTGATACGATGTTGTATACAGCATTTGAGGATCCTGCGTGGAATATTTAGAGAGTTCTGACGCACCAAGTAACGCGAGCCGCTTTTTGCTCTTCACAGAACGAATGCGGTATCCATCGGGAAAACAACTTTTTTACACCTAATTGTTCATGCAAGATTATTTGTATTTGACTCATGCCAATGTCTAAAGTTGCCTGAATTTCGCGGTATGTCACATGTCGATCTTCCTCAATCAGCTTACGCACAGCATCGAAGTTTTCTTAGGTGACTGCAGTTTTTGGACGACCTTGACGGGGATCATCACTGAGCTTGACACGTCCACGTTGAAATTCAGCAAACCAGTAATAAATTGTGGTTTTGGATGGGGCTTCATCACCAAATGCTGAAATCATCCGGTCAACACACTGTTTTTGTGTTAAACCACTTCGAAAGTCATAATAAATCATCGGTCTTTAATTTTCTCGAGTCAATTCCATTTTCTCAACGACTAAACAAGTTTGACAAAACCTTGTGATAAGACCGAGAATATTTTTTTAAATAAATAAATGGTATTCGATTTTTAAAACCAAGGAGTTTTCAATTAAAAAGATTTTAATATGACAGGAACAGTGGAAATATTCCATTCCCGATACTTTTAGTGCAGCCTATGTATTTAAAAATGCTTTAACTAAGGTAATCGCTATTCTCGATTCGAGTGATAAACTTCAATCGATGCAGGGACTGTAAATAGTTAATGCTAATAACTCAAAAACTCGAGTACAACTAGAGTGACATGATAAAACGCGAGTAACTTGAGTCACAAAATTCTACTCGAGTGACATTTTTATATTACGGTCAATGCAGTGTCTGTCTACAATTTAGTGATGAACTCGACTTACTAATTCGAGCAATTTATTGATATATTATATAATGTCAATAAGCTATAGTAGTAAGTATAATTCGTGATAGTTAAATTATTAATAACAGTAAATTTACGCTACGTCCTAAAGTTAGTGATATTATTTTATGAAGATTGTCTATACGCAAACCAATAATGTATAATTATCTATACAACACTGTAACAAACTGACACAGCTTCGTTCCGCCAATACGAGTTGCGTAACTCGAGTACTATTCGATTACGTGAATTTCAACACAAGTTAAATCGAGTCGAGTTTCGTCCGAGTTGGCACATCTCTACTACAATTGTTTTTAATATTACTTTATCTGAGTTTTGGCGGGAAATTGACTGGCGGCGGTTTGCTGCTCCTGTATTATTGTTTAAATAATGGTTTGAAGTGGACTTTGATATGTAAAAGTGTTGCGATTTTGTGTATTAAGTGTCTACGCATGTGAACTATTAGTGGAAACAGTGAAACAAGTGCTCTGATGGTGATGGATTCTCAAGATAAGCTGTTTGTTTGCATAGGCACCTTTAGATACCATCGCCAACTATCAGCTGTCTGCTGGATCAAGTTGCCGCCAAAATCTCCCAAGAACTGCACAATGTGACGCATCAACATATTGTGAAGCAGTATACTATGAAGGAGTGGGGAAATTACAATAAACCGAATAAAAATACTTAAGACTTGGCCTAAAGGTCTAGATACCAGGCCATAAACTCCAAAAAAAAAATTACTTTATCTGAACCAATGACATAAACATAAGTATTAAAACAACTCCTTTTTTTTTCAGATTTCTTGATTCCGTTTAGATATTCATAAAATCTTTATGTTATTTACAATTATAAATTGGTATCTTTTTTTTTGTATATAATACTATTGATGATCGCGAAAATTTCTAGTGGGCCCAAAAACGACTGACTCCTTTATATATAAATGAAAGAATAGTTTATATAACGTATATTTAATTTCTTTTAATTAACAATTCCATTTTTTAGTAATCTAATAAATAAAATGATAGTTTATAACCGACAAAAACGTCTGGGATTTTTTTGAATTATATAAAAACTAAATTAAAAGATAAAAAAATCAAGTTGCCAAAAACCGCAAACGCTCTCCCAGACTCGCGGGACTGGATTCGCCAATTGAGGAAACTTTATTTTTTCAGAATTTCAACTTGCCTAGGTTTCCTTACTGATGAGCACGTTGTTAATAAACACTTAAAATTGCAATAGCAATTTCCTTGAGGCTGGCGGGTATCGAACTCAAATTTTGGCTCCAAAATAATAATAATAATACGAGGAAAATAAAAATAAATGTACCTCTTGGAACAGAAAGTAAACGGCTTCGTAGTCCAACAAGTCCTCGTAATATCGCACCTCATCTTCATCCAGTGCGTTGCGGTAGTCACCGAAGAGTAACGGATCTCGAAGCACGTATTCTTCCAGCTATGAAAAACAGCAATCTATTAACGAAACTTTGACGAACGAAATTACCGCTAAATAAATCGATAAATAAATCAACGTTTAGAGAACGTGTTTCGGGAAAACAGTGATGTGATAAATTGACAGTGCGGTTATGAACATTGAATGTTCAAGTATCATTAAACGTTGTTATTCTTCTTATATTTCTTAATGGTTTGTAAAAGTCCACTGCAGTACATGAGTGTCTTTCGCTAAAGAGAGGATTTGCCTGAATCGTCACGCTTGGCAGGCGGATTGACAAATAGAATAGAATAGAATGATTTTTATTCAATATTGATTGTTACATAATACTTATTGAAAGTCATTTTTTATTTACCACTGATTCGGAAAATACCTCAGTCCTGGGAAGAAACAGCAAGAAACCGAGCGGGATTTTTTTTAAACATAATTTCACTTAACAATAATTTTGTTTATACAATTTTAAATGTTTTTTAATAGAACCAGCATGGTGGCGATCACCTTATTCCCAGGGGTTATTTTCATTCATGTATTTCTTGATATTATAATAACCCTTTTTGTATAGTTTTTCTTTAATAAAACTTTTAAACTTGTTTATTGACAAACTTTGAATATGTTCTGGAATTTTGTTATATATATTGCCCCATAAATGAATTACTAATTCTGTAGAGTCTAATAACTGGCATTACAAGCTTATGTTTGTTCCTAGTGTTTAATGTATGAACATCCTTATTCTTATTAAAGCTATTTATGTTTTTATGTACATACATTACATTTTTATACATATATTGCGATGCCAAAGTTGATATGTTTATTTCTTTGAATTTTTCTCTGAGGGACTCTTTACAATTTAGGTTATAAATTGCCCGTACGGCTCTCTTTTGCAAAACAAATATAGCTTCAATATCAGTCGCATTACCCCATAGCAAAATTCCATAAGACATTACGCTATGACAGTAACTAAAATACACAATTCTAGCTGCCTCAACATCTGTGAGACTTCTAATCTTTCTTACAGCATATGCTGCAGAACTAAGTCTACTTGTTAATTTAGATTTATGGGGGCCCCATTGAAGTTTCGCGTTAATAGTAATACCAAAAAAAAACAGCGGTATCCACAAGACTCAACTCCTCCCCATTTAAGAGCACATTTGTTTTTGAATGTTTTACATTAGGTAATGTAAATTTAATACATTTTGTCTTATTGCCGTTTAAGAGCAAATCGTTGGCGTTAAACCAAATGTACTAATTTCGATAGAACATTATTTACATCGTTATAATTAATTGACTGCCGTTTGAGTTTGAAAATTAAAGGGGTATCGTCAGCAAATTATACTATATGGTTATTGTCCCATACAAGATAAGGTAAGTCATTATAGATTAAGAACAGGAATGGCCCAAGAATCGAGCCCTGAGGAATGCCCATTGATACTACCAATCCGGAGGAGCCTTTATCGTTGAACACGACTTTTTGAGTTCTGTTACTTAAATATAAAGTAGTAAGTTTAAGCGCCGAATTTTTTACACCGTAATGTTGTAGTTTCCTGATTAATGTCTCATGATGAACACAATCGAAAGCCTTGGAAAGGTCATAGAAAATACCTAAGGAATCTTGTGAATTCTCCCAGGCATTAAAATATATTTCATAAACTCTACACCGGGGTCAGACGTCGAGCGACCCCTTGTAAAACCAAATTGGTTTGGACGATACTGTACCAGTCATCGCACACCTTTGATGTTGCTGTCCGTCACTGAGTAGACTGTAAAATCGCAAACAAAAGATTTCCAAAAGAATTCTGGCGTTTCCCATAGTCAACTTTTACGACACCCACGGTATGATATAGGGTAGCGGATTATTTATCGGACGAAATAGGGCGAAAGATTGTGTCACCGCCACCAAACGGCGGATATTATCACTGATAGAGCGTAAATATGTCTAAGCTATTGTTGTAATTAATGCAAAAAAAACAGTTGCAGCGATGAACAGCAAATTTGTACTTTGATCGCCTACAACGCGTGGCAATTATGGCAAAAACTAACCATAATGAGGCTGATGAAGATGAAGAACCAAATCTACCAGTTACGGAAGCTTACCGTTAAAACTCTTTCCGCTTCTTCTTCCACTTCTTCCTCCATTACAGTCTCAGATTCGTCAGTTACTTCCTGTGCTTTTTGTTTTTGTTCACTTATCATGAACTCTAAAATAAAAATATATTATGTATAATTTTTTTCCGAAATAGCGAAAAATATACCGTTACTAAGATCTAGATAATGATGATTCGTCGTTGTTACTAACGTCTAGATTATTGTGTGAAAATTGATATTTTAGTTATCTTTCCCATGTACAGTACGCGACTGCCTCGTTAGTCTAGTGGTCGTAATCGGGAATTCTAAACATATGATTACGGGCAGAATCCTAAGTCGTTCCATAATCAGTTGTCGGTTTTTCGTTTAGGTTGCCGACCCATCAGACTATGAGGATGATTAGATAGTGCACCTGTGTTTGCGTATACACTCGTCTACCATAATTATGTTCGGCGCAAATGGCTAATACTCATACATACTGGCAGCCGGGACCGAAATTTGATCTGGAGAACGTATATTATTATCGTAACAAAAGTAAAACTGTTAGAAAGTCTTTGAAAATCAAAGATTAATGTTTCTTTCTGAAATATTAGTTATACTTCTTTAATAATGGTTCGGCTAGTAATAGATAAATAACTACAAATAATCTTAAAAGTATAAGAATTAAAAGAATATTAGCAAATAAACGTGCAGTAAAATAAAAAAGTGCATTGTTCAGTGTACATACTTTCACTAAAAAGCAAAAACTTTTATTTGTATCAGAATAACGTTGCAAATAACTTCACCTCAATGCCAATTAGCGACATTTGCTGAACGGAAGGTTATTAGAACACATTACCGATAGTCTCTTTCAAACGCTCGATGTGTATGTAATATTTACGGTCACATAAATAATAAAGTCCCTCCGACTATTTCTTTATTTAGTCTGTATGTTAAATAAGTATAAATAATAATAATAAAGAGAAAATTATTATATATACCGTCTTCTTCTTCCTCGGGATGTTTTTCCTCTTCTTCAGGCACCACTATCTCTTCAAGCACAACTGGTTCTTCTTCAGGGAAGTATCTTACAATGTGTTCTTGAATGTGTTCACGCATTAGCTCGTTGTCCTGTTTAAATTTTGGATTTAGTACTTGTGGTACTACTAAACATAAATTATTTTAAAATTGCTACAAAGCACAGTCCTGAGTCACTAGCATTTACCAACTGCCTGTCTGTCCATTTTTTTATTCTTATTGCATGCCTTAAGCGCGAAACGCGTAGCATTTTCCACTAGGGCCTAAAAATCTAAATTCCAACGTTTTGTCGCATGAAATCGTATCTAACAATCATATGGTACATATAAATTATATAAAAAGCACATTGTCGGAAAGTTAAATGATTGTTGTGTGAACTTATTTTTTTTAAATCGATCAATTGCTATTTTCACATAAAAAGTGGTTTTAGTGGCTTATGGTGTGGATTTATCAAGTCCGCATGGAGGGGTAACCACGATAACTTTAGAAAATATCAATTGTTCAACTCAATTTATTTTTTAATCTCTTCATCTAACATGTGGGAAGCCATGGAATGTAAATGGTAGGTTAATTTTGTTTTGTTTAGTTATAATTTTTTTTTGGCTGAGAAATCCCAATATTTTCGGTGTTTTGAGCAGCCTTGTAATAATTTATTTTACTAAATAGACTGCTCACTCACTGACTTCAGGCCATAAATTACTGTATATATACTAGACTTCGCGATCAGCCGCTGTCGTGAGTGGATGCTGTATCGGTTGTTTATAGCGGCTTGTGCTCAAAAAGATCGCTGTACATATACAAAATATTCGAAAAACCAAATTTGATATATACTTGATTTATTCAAAGATTCAAAACTTTATTTACATCAAACATGGTAAATTTATTTATTTTTAGGCCAAAACATGTTTCACCGTTTATGTGGAGGCATACAAATATCAAATTTAATTCTGTGGCTAATTCAATTACTCAGTCATTATTAAGTTATTAATTTTACAAAACTTTGAAAGATACATTGAAATTAAAATTTGAATATAATTACTCATTAGATAATTATTATTAAATAGTATAGACATGTAAGATAATTATTAATTATTATTAAATAGCATAGAAATGTAAGAAAATTATTAATTGTTATTAAATAGGATAAAAATGTTAAATAATTATTAAATAAAATAAAAATGTCCATGATTAATGAAATCATAGTGGTTCATTTGTTGAATTTACAATCTAGAAATTCTTTGACTTGATTTGTTATAATAAATACTTTCTGCGCGAAGATCACACATGCCTTTTTTGAAACTTTAGAAAGATAATGCTTTAATATGCTGAGGAATTTTGTAACTTACACACTTATAAAAGCTGTCTATATAAGACAGCTTTTATAATATTTAGATAATATAGGAATTGTGTCGACTGCAAGTTTTTCAGAGTATCTGTTGCTTCGAGAAGATATATCATTTATGTTAGTAAACTTTAAAAAAATTACGTATAATCATGTTATACGTATTTTTTTTCATGCGCTTAAGATGTGCACAATTGGATTTACCAGTAGTTATTTTATATAAACAGACATTTATCCTTCAAGACTATGTCAGTCTTATCGTATTTTACGTTGTTCCTGTTTCACATAAATCGTGAGTAACACATATGGGAGGTTACTATTCTATCCACTCAGTTTTTCTATCTACATGGCTGACTGGTTAATTTAGCTTATTGATCCGTTGAATTATTGATTTGTTTTCAATGGGTATTCTATCTTTGTTGTGGATTCTAGCACACACACAAAAAAAAAATCAAGCGTATCAGTCTCCATACCTCAACTAATATGACGGTGCCGATATACTTGCAGTCTGCGAGTTGAAGTTCACTGTTTAACCGTAGCTTCATAGCTAGGCGCTACCTAAATATTTTATATAATGCTATGTATTTTATGGTGGCAGCAGTAATGGGTCGGCTCTAAAAGGAAAGGAATACCCCAAGATAGCAATTTCATGTTACTGTGTTTCGTATGGTAAGTGTGGAGAACCGGAGACGCTTTTTATTGCAAACGAGGTATTCCTGTCAGTCATCCGGGGTGACAGGGCATCTCCGGTCTATCGGCCAGTCCACTTATCATCAGGTAGACTGTGTGCTCGTTTCTCACCCTTATTGTAACAATGGACTGTTAACGGGACGGTAAAGAAATAGACTGACGTGTGTAGTGATGAGGCGGTCGCAGACGACCCTGGTGAACTCGTTGCGCCAGCAGCGCAGCACGGAGCGCTTGTCGGTGAACAGCTTGGGGTGCACGAGGCACAGCCCGGCCGCCACCCGCGACAGGTCCCGCAGGTTGAAGATGTAGTGGAACTTCGCAGGCGTCGGCGGTAACTCCACTATTATTATCTAGAACGTTATGCGACAGCGCATTATTATTACCGTTACAGCCTATTAAAGTCTACTACTACTACTTTTGGAGCCAAATACTGCTGATAACCCGAATGATCTATACGGAGATTTGTTCGGAGTAATCAAATACGAATTTAATAACATTTTCACAAAAAAAAACAATTAATACTAATCAACTCAAAATTAAATTTAGTGATTGGGCTACACCTGGAATTTATAAGAGTAGAAAGAATTTGTACGAATTATACGAGACAAAGGCATGTACAAATGATCCACAAATCATTGAACATACTAAAAAGTACTCAAAAATGTTTAAGAAAGTCTGTTCAATGGCCAAATCTAATTATATCCGGGCCAAAATACAAAAATCTGATAACAAAATTAAGGCAACATGGAATGTTATCAACAAAGAAACCTGTAAAACAAGGTCACGTGATCGATCCTTCGAATTAGAAATAGATGATAAACACATCAATACTGATGCTGAAGTGGCCATTGCATTTGAATCTTTTTTCACAAATGCTCCAATTACCACTACTAGTAAACTAAAATCTTCAAAAACCGAAGCTGCTTCTCTTCTTGAATCTTGCGCTGATAAATGTAGTGTTAACTTTGATTTTCAGTATATTGACACCGCAACCGTACTTAAAACTTTTAAGCAACTAAATATAAAAAAGACTGAGGATCTTTGGGGCATTTCAACCAATATAATAAAATCAGTAATGCCCGCTATTGCCCCTTATCTTGCATTCATATTTAACCAATGTATCGATGATAAACAGTTTCCCACACTCATGAAGTACAGTAAAATCATTCCATTATTCAAAGCAGGGGACAAAAGTGATCCATCAAATTTTCGGCCCATCTCTATACTCCCAGCACTCAGCAAAATTTTTGAAAAAATTATATTTAATCAACTGCTTTCACATTTCACTTATAATAAGTTACTTCATGAGAAACAGTTCGGTTTCACTAAAGGCAGAAACACGACGGATGCAGGAGCTGAACTCGTTAAACATATATTTGATGCATGGGACAAGAAGCGGGATGCCATCGGTATTTTTTGTGATCTATCAAAAGCTTTTGATTGTGTTGATCATGAGACTTTGTTATTAAAATTAGGTTATTACGGTGTTTCTAACAGCTCACTTAGCTTACTTAAATCTTACCTCACTGGTAGAGTACAAAAAGTCAATATTAATGACACTAACTCATCTGGCGCCCCATTAGTCATGGGAGTACCCCAGGGCTCGATATTAGGACCCCTTTTATTCTTGATATATGTAAATGATCTTCCTCACTTCACTAAAAATCTTTGTGAAATAGTGTTATTTGCTGATGACACATCATTAATTTTTAAAACTGATAGACATAAAGAATTACTTGACGATGTGAATAACACCCTTTCTAAAATAGTGCATTGGTTCACAAGTAACAACTTGCTGCTCAATGCGAAGAAAACGAAATGTGTAAAGTTTACTATGCCTAATGTAAGACAGATAGATACTCATATTTTTTTTTTTTTTTTATAGGAGAGGGGGCAAACGAGCATGCGGCTCACCTGATGGTAAGTGACTACCGCCGCCCATGAACAACCGCAACACCAGGGGAATTGCAGATGCGTTGCCGGCCTTTTAAAAAGGAGTAGGCTCTTTTCTTGAAGGTCCCTAAGTCGTATCGGTCCGGAAAAATCCCTGGTGGTAAACTATTCCACAAGGAAGTTGTGCGAGGAAGAAAACATCTTCTAAATCGCACAGTGGTGGACCGCCAATCATCCAGATGGTGTGGATGGTATCGGGAGTTCTGCCGCGATGTGCGTTCGTGAAATTTGGCGGCTGGGATTAATCCGAACAATTCCTCAGAGCACTCCCCATGGTAGATGCGAAAGAAAATGCAAAGAGATGCAACATCTCTTCGCAGTGCCAATGAATCGAGCCGATCGGAAAGGGCTCGGTCGTCGACGATTCGAGCCGCTCTGCGCTGGATGCGGTCAAGTGGAAGGAGCTGGCACTGGGGAGCCCCTGCCCAGAGATGGGAACAGTATTCCATGTGAGGCCGAACCTGCGCCTTGTAAAGTTGCAGGCGGTGTGCCGGCATGAAATACTGTCCCGCTCTGCTGAGCACGCCAAGCTTTTTAGAGGCCAATTTGGCCTTCTCTTCCAAGTGACCACGAAACTGCACGTCACTCGATATGTCGACTCCGAGGATACCGATACTGGCTGAGGCAAGAAGGGGAGTGCCTTGAAACTGAGGAGATACGACAAAGGGGTTCTTTTTAGCGGTAAACGCGCAAACTTGTGTCTTCTGAGGATTAAATTGGACTAGATTTAGTCGCCCCCAATCCGAGACTTTGTCCAGCAAAGACTCGACTTCAGACACAAGTTTGTTCCGGTACTCGGCGACGTTTTCCCGAGAAATATTGGCCCGGCCGGTGTATAGAGCATCACCAGTGCTGTCATCCGCATAGCAATGAATGTTACCAGTTAGCAACATATCATTGATATGCAGAAGAAACAGCGTTGGTGATAGCACACAGCCTTGTGGAACACCAGCGTTAATAGGCTTGTAGTCAGAACATGCACCGTCTACAACGACCTTGATGCTCCGATCTGCAAGAAAGCTGGTGATCCAATTGCACAATTTCTCGGGAAGCCCATAGGAAGGCAGCTTTGAAAGAAGCGCTTTGTGCCAAACCCGATCAAAGGCCTTCGCAATGTCCAGACTAACGGCCAACGCCTCCCCCTTGGACTCTACTGCCTCCGCCCATCTATGGGTCAGGTAGACCAGAAGATCACCAGCTGATCGACACCGACGAAAACCGTATTGGCGGTCACTAATCAGCTGGTGATCCTCAAGGTACCGGATGAGCTGGCAGTTAATAATGGATTCCATTATTTTGGAGAACAAGGAGGTGATCGCGATAGGCCTATAGTTGGACGGGTCTGAGCGGTCTTCATATTACAATGAACGATGAATCTGTTCAAATAGTCGATACCACAGTTTTTCTTGGAATGACTCTAGATAGTAAACTGCAATGGGGTTCTCATATCTCAGCCTTGGCAGGAAGACTTAGCTCAGCTGCCTATGCGGTTAGAAAAATAAGGTCACTGACTGATGAGAAAACGGCACGATTAGTTTATTTTAGCTACTTTCATAGCGTTATGTCGTATGGTCTGATGCTGTGGGGCTCAGCTGCCGATATTGAGACTATTTTCATATTACAGAAACGAGCGATACGAGCTATATATAGCCTCAGACCCCGCGACTCGCTGAGAGAACTATTTAAAGAAATTAATATTTTAACAGTTGCTTGCCAATACATTTACGATAATGTCTTATATGTACGCAAGAACCTAGATCTCTTCAAAAAAAACTCTGACGTACACAATTATAATACGAGAAATAAAAATAAACTTGTAGTGCCAAAACTCAGACTTCATAAGGTTGGTAATTCGTTTGTAGGTAACAGTATAAAAATGTTTAATAAAATTCCTCAGGACCTGGTTGACATGCCACTAAATAAGTTTAAAATAGAAGTAAAAAAGTGTTTAATGAAAAAAGGATATTATAAAGTAGACGAATACCTCAAAGATAAAAATCCATGGTCTTCCTAATCTTTTTGCTTGCTCGCACAATATAAATCAGTTAAAAAAAAAAACACATTGTTTAAAAAAAGAAAGAAACGTTATATAAAACTGTTCACTGAGTTTATTTAATAGTAATTTTAAACCAACTTACCGAACCAGCGAAAGAATCATTTTCAAATGATTTATTTACTTTATTTAATATTATATTAATTGTTTCTTGACATGATTGTAAAATTTTGACGTTCATATGTGCTCTTTATGTGCCTAAACTGAATAAACGAAATTGATTGATTGATTGATTGACTGAACACAGGCCTCCCACATAGATTGCCTCATAGGGGGATACTTGCCATAGTTGCCAAGCTTGGCAAGGGGGTTGGCAACGGCAGTTTTATATTTTAGGTCGTTTATGGGAAGACGCTGCTGCCAATCTTTTGATTTGTTCCCATCTGTCGCCTCTTACGATACCCATGGGATGATATCCGGTAGTGGATGTTCTTACACCGCCACACATGGTACTTGAATAGACTATATAATTTGATTATTTTTAATCATCATCATTCATCATTACAGCCCTTACAAGTTCACTGCAGAACATAGGCCTCCCCCAAGGAATGCAACAAAGCACAATTCTGAGCTACCTGCATCCATCGACTTCCCTGCATGTCTTACCAGGTCGTCACTCCATCTGGTAGGGGGACGCCCTACACTTTGTCCGCCGATACGAGGCCGCCACTCGAGAACCTTTTTTCCTCATCGGCCGTCGGTTCTTCGAGCTATATCGCCAGCCCATTGCCACTTCAGCTTACTAATCCGTTGGGCTATATCGGTCACTCTGGTTCTACTGCGGATATCCTCACTTCTATGTTTATCACGCAGAGAAGCTCCGAGCATAGCCCTCTTCATAGCTCGCTGAGTGACCTTGAGCTTCCTCATTCGGCCAGGAGTGAGAGACCACGTCTCTATTCTATAGGTCATCACTGGCAACACGCACTGGTTGTGCAGTCTCGTTTTCAAGTTTTGAAGTATACCTGACACTAAGATGTACCGTAATTTCCCGAATGCTGCCCAACCGAGTTGAATCCGTCGATTGACCTCTCCGTCGAAGTTGGACTTACCTAGTCGGACTATTTGTCCCAGATAAACATATTCGTCAACAACTTTGAGCTTAGTGCTCCCAACAACTACCGACATAGGTGTGACATGGACGTTATACATGATCTTTGTTTTATCGTTGTTCATCTTACGACCTATCCGTTGGGAGGCACTATTGAGATTATTGAGCATAGTGCTTAGGTTCTCCAGCGATACTGCCATATGTATATATATATATATATATATATATATATATATATATATATATATATATATATATATTTATTATATAATAGTGCATATCGTCGACAAATCGAATGTAAGTGATGTACTCGCCGTTTATGTTAATATCGTATCCTTTCCTTAGCATGCGTTCACCGGCGATGACAGAATAACAGCGCTGCAGTAACAACGCCATAGCATCATGCCGAGTCCTTAGCCATTTCGTTGATTCACTTCAATACTTAAATAATTAAGCCCGCTTTCATATGTAGAATCCTGTATCGTTTTGTAGCCTGTTTTGTCGATCTTATTATGCGATATCCGTTAATCCGATAGAATCCCAAGCAATAATTGTTGGTAGTTCAAAAATAATGTCCAAATTAAATAAAAAATAAATCCCATGATGTTTAATGGTGTACAAATCTTTTTTTATTCTATTATCCTTTTTTTTTATTTTACCCCCCAAACTAGGATTTTCACCTGTGTCGTGGAGGCAGTTTACAAACATAAATTGCACGAGGACAAACAACCAGACCCGTAACAATTATTTGTAGGCCATACAAATACTTGATCCGTGCGGGATTCGAACCCGCGGCCACCAGCGCAACAACTCATTGCTAAGCCACTGCGTCACGGAGCCGTCGAAATCCCTTATAAGGACATTCTAAAAATCTTTTAGAATGTCCTTATAAGGGAATTTTGATAAATTGTAGACTTTCTTGAAATCTAAATCTAGAATAGTCGTAAAATGTTTGCAGCTTAAGGGTCACTCCGAAGAATGAACTACTTTTTACCCACCTCCACCAAAATTACACTTGGCCAATCGTTACTGCTCCATATCTTCGATTATGCTGACATGAGTTATCTAAATATTAACGAAGAGCAACTGAATAAACTTGAGCGACTCCAAAATCTATGTATACTGTTCATAGTTGGACTTCGTAAATATGACCAAGTCTCAGGATACCGCGCTAAACTCAAGTAGCTTCAATTCCGTCTTCTTCGGAATACTCATATCCTTTCTGTTCTCTACTGCGTCTTACTTAATATATCAAATCTACTTCAGAGAACGTTTCGGATTTCTTAGCTCGTCTCATAACCTTTCCCTTCGGTCCATAGAAAAGCTTCCTTTGCATGTCCCTTGCATTCCTCTCCTTTTTACGTAAACCTTTTTCAGTTTTTGGAATCAAGCATTGGAACTCCTTACCACTAACTATAAAACGTGCTTAAACAATTCTTCAGACTCCATTAAAAAACAAATTAAGAAACATCATCTTTCCCTCCAATTACTCACCGCTCATTTCATCTCTTCCTGTCGCCTTATTATCACTAGTCTGTCAATTAAGTAAATTTCGGTGCGTTTCATTATTTATATTTTTGATTTTAGATTATAATATTATTTATAGTTCACTCTACTCATTAATAATTAACTTTTCACTTCTTTTAATTTCCTTTTTAGGTTATCTGGACGAAATTATTGTATAAGACCGATAATTTGTTTTTATCTGTGTTTGTTTTTTTATGTTATTTTTTTTTAGTGTACAATAAAGGGTATTGTATTGTAGCCTCGAATGACTTTTATTTATTTCTTTCAAGAACAAAAGTTTTCGGGAAAAATCTGTTCCATCATTAATATACAATAAACCTAGCAAGCTAACAGCATAGCAAAGTGGCGAAGCAATCAGCTTTGTAGCGGTTTCTAACGGTTGCCGTTGAGCAATCAGTTTCAAAATAGGAGGTTCAGATGCCTGGGTGATCAGTAATCGATTGCTGAAAACAGAATTTGAAAATTCAAAACCGTTCTCGAGATAATCGTGGGACAGACGGACAGACGGACAGACATCGTGAAATCAATAAGTGACTTCGCAAGCTTCGCCACTTAATAATACATACACTACAAAGTAAGACTTCTTTTAGCCAGTCTCTCTGGGTATGTAGGTACTTTTACGTACTTCTGCCGCCAATAGCAGTGCTTCACTGCTGTTTTGGTCTAAAGGGTAACGAGAGCTAGTGTAATTAATTACAGATTGTAGGCCATTCTTCCTTGTTTGTAAGCCAGGCTTCTTTGTTTGAAGTTAGTCGCAGTAGCCGGTTTCATTTGCTTTAGCCATTAGCTGGATTGATTTGAAAGTTCATTTTTCACTTTAGTTTTATAAAAAAAAATCTGAATATGTTGATTAAACATTACCTTTACTAATACAAAATTATTGAAGGAACGGACACCTACCTTATATAGATCGAGCGTCATCTGGACAATCTTATCCACAATGTCTTGTATTTCCTCAGCGAAAATGGAGAAGTGACCCCTGAGTATGGACACGTAAATGTGCCGCAGAGTGCTCTCGGATGGGAATTGTAGATTGTATACGGAAAACATTGAGATGAATCGTGGGTCCACCTACATGGAATATTTTTTTTTAATCCTAAAACAACATAACATAATATGATGATCAATGTTTACAATAAATAAAGCTACATACGTCGTTTCTGCCACCACCGGCTTTCCCCATTGCGGCAAGAAAACCAATGTCTTTTAAATTCTTCCAATTGAGATCCTTCCCGCGGTCGTAGAAACCTTTTCTTTCGAAAAGTAACTTCAGTAGCGCGATCGGTTGTTGAGTCCCGTATGTGTCAACCTGTGAACACAGTATAATTCATATCAGACAAATAATTTTAATGCTCCTCGGAGCATTAACGTCTGGTGTTTGATAGAGTTTACAGATATAAAATTATTTTTGTTTCTATATGCAAAAAATGATAGTAAGTGGATACAATATAGCTTTCACTGTCTTACAAAAGTGTAGTTACAAATTATTTTCAAAGGCTTCTAAAGGCATGGCATAAGAGATATATTATTAAATTACATACATACATACATAAACACTCACGCCTGTCACCCAGAGGGGTAGGCAGAGATTATGGACTTCCATTTGGCACGATCCTGACACACCTCTCTCGCTTCTTCCACATCCATATACCTACGCATACACGCTCGTCGGTTAAAGGTACTCTTGATTTGGCCCATTTTTAATATATCGCCAATTTGGTCGATAAACTTTCGCCTAGGGCGACCCTTCCCGACTATGCCGTTCACCTCTGCAACATAGATTTGCTTTGTCACTCTTTCCTCATTCATTCTTTCTACATGGCCAAACCACCGAAGCATTCCTTTCTTAATCCTGGTCACAACATCATCTTGCAAACCACACTCTTCTCTTATTAAACAATTTCTCACTTTGTCATTCAGTTTCATCCCTAACATACTCCTTAATGACCGCATTTCTACAGCATTTATTCTACTCTCATGCTTCTTCTGCCACACCCAACTTTCACTACCATACATTAAAGTAGGTACTAACACAGCATTGTGAATTGCCATACGTGCCTTTTTGGACACATTCTGACTTTTCACAATAGAGTGTAGAGCCCCATTCACTCTATTTCCTGCATTCACTCGTCGTTCTATATCCATATCTACCATCATATCATATATTATCATATCTACCATCCCTGCTAAACACACATCCCAAATACACAAACTCATCTACTTGCTCGACCAACTCCCCTTCTATTCTTATTTCACATATCGTTTTACTTTCTTCTCTTTCAAAAATCATAACTTTTAAATAACATAATTACAAAAGGCATTTGACGGTTAACTCACCCATTCTTAACCCGCATTCTTCTACTTTCAAATTTTCCAAACAACTGTCCATAAATAGGTTGAACAACCACGGGGAAGCCACACAGCCCTGTCTGACACCTTTATGGATGTCAAACCAGTCCGAGTAGGCCCCGTTGATCCTGACACAAGCACTAGAGTCCCTATACAGAGACTTCAATGCCTGTATCAGACCAGCGCTCAACCTAAATGAGTTCAGTGTTTGCCATAACACATCCTTGTCCACTCTGTCATAAGCCTTCTCCAAGTCCATGAACGCACAAAAAACTCTTTGGTTTTTGGCCAAAAACTTCTCGGCGATCATGCGCATGGAAAAGACCTGATCCGTACATCCCATTCCCTTTCTAAATCCCGCTTGCACATCCCAGATTTTTCCGTCAGTTTCTTTCATAACTCTTTCAATTAGTACCTTAGCATACAGTTTTCCCACAATGCTAAGAAGGCTGATACCACGGTAGTTTTTACAGTCCTGCTGTGATCCTTTTCCCTTATATATTAGGACTATCACGGCTTTGCACCAGTCTCCCGGTACCCGCTTAAGTTCCCAACATAAATTAAACAAGGTGTACAGCAGGTCTGCCACCACTCTTTCTCCAGCCCTTAGCATTTCGAGAGATACTCTATCACAACCGGCTGCCTTACCTACTTTCATTCTTTTCATTGCTTTCATTATTTCATCTATACTTATATCTCTATCTATTTCCTCTTCTTTCGGAATTTCTATTTCATTTAATTCAAACGTCTCATCACTCATAAACACGCTTTCAAAGTATTCCTTCCATCTCCTTAAACTCAGAACTTCGTCATTCAGAATACAGCCATTCTGGTCTCGTATAGCATTCATTCTAGGCTGTTGTGAATGTCCCCTGGTAGTTCTTACGAGTTTCCAGAACATTTTAATGTTTGCCTGGAAGTTATCCGATATTCTTCTATCATTCTTATCCGTTCTTTCTTGCTTTTTCCTTTCAACTACTTCTTTTACTCTCTTATTTAGGTGTCTAAAAACTGCCTTTTTCCTTTCAATATCATCATTCATACTGCTAGAATTACTAGCCTTGGTTGCTAGTAAATCTAGCCATGCTTTCTTCTTTAAATTAATTATTTGAAAAATAAATACTTACTATAGGCATATTCATATCGTCTATAAAAACCAACATCTTCTTGCCGACCGGCGGGCCAAACGTATCCTTAGTGCGTTTTTCTACCACAGACTCCAAATTTCTTTGCACATCCATCGATGACGTTCGAGATGAGAAATTCATTTGCTGAATGATCTGAAATTTTGGGACAAATTATTATTTTAAGACTATTTTATTTGACACTTCGATAAGGAAGTATCTTCAAAATATAAAAGCCAAATCTTTATTTAAAATAATAGAGTAGTTTTGCTTACAATGTATTACTTTTTTAGAATTATATTATTCAGACACCTGATATAGCAGGATTCAATATTATATTGTAGGGTTGACAATAATACTTCTCACAGTCAGGCCATAACTTAGTTACAGATTATGGAAATAGTAGAAATGACACATTTGTCTATTCAGGACATTCGACTGATATCACTAGCTTGTGTTTGTTCCTAGTGTTTATAGAGTGTATATCACTTTTTTTACTAAAACTATCTTTGTTTCTGTGAACATACATTCAATTTTCGTAACTATACTAAGAATATACTAAGAAGCCAAAGTTGATAATGTTCAAAGTTGAAATGATAGACTATGGCACGGTTTTTATAATTGATAAAATTTTATGAAATATGGTTAGATTACATAGATTTCAAAATTTTATAAAATATGACGCGAAAAAAGATGTCTGGAGGCGCCGGGTATCGATCCCGGTACCTCTCGCATGCTAAGCGAGCGCTCTACCATCTGAGCTACGCCCCCGTTGGCAATATTGAGTGAAAATGACAATAAATTAATGAGCACCTTCATCAAGAACATATGTGAGTAATTTAAAAACACTTGTTCTTGTCAAATACAACTAAATAAACAAAAAAGTCTGGTAGGTTGAAAAATAAATAGAAAACAAAACAGCAGAAATAGAAATATGTGTTCCGTGATGGGAATAATATTGCAAAAATGATGAAATCCGATACTTTTGAGCATAAAAGACGTCACAGAACAAAACATTTATAGGATCATTTGTGAAAGGCAATAAGAAAATATTCGGAAAACATCCATGCTTAATGTCCTATCATTTAAAAATAATACATAAGATGAAAGAGTTATATTTTTACTTATACTTAATTTGCCAGAACAAAAACTCAAAATAATTAATGCATGTTTTATTGAATTGAGCCTTCGTAACTCATAGACTAAGCGTAAGTAAGTCCTCGCCGTAAATTTCACAGTACGCGAGTTACCCGGGTTCGATCTCCACTTGCACCAATGAAATTGTTAATTGGAGGTGAGTGCTTTTAAATGCTAGTTTACCATGTGCTAGGCGGAGGAGGAAAACACCGTGAATAAACCTGAATATTTGAGAAGGAGTTAAATATTATGAGATCATGTGTTGCCATTTTAGATATGATATTTATGTAAAAAAAACAACTTCGAGCTTCTTGTGCAAGATTTGGTGTTTGACATTCTGTGCAGTGAAATTCATCATTGTAGTGCGGCACCGTAGGTTCTCATCCGTGAGATTTATCTCTCATAGAGCTACTAATAGATTCATTCATCTCCGACTCAACAGTTGCGCTGAATTACGCGGTCACCATCAAACATAAATCTCTTGACAGAGTGACTACCTGGTTGATCTAGCAGTCGTAAATGCTAATGATGATTTACTGGTTCCGGGTTCGAATACCGGGTCGGGCCAATAATCAATTAGTGAATTTTATTTGTCAAGAAATCTTCACTAGTAGCTCGCTGACACGAATTGAGCGGTGTTTTACTCTCGTGTTTCAGAAAGCACGCAACGCGTTGATCGTTGATCCTGTACATGATCTCTCTCCGGTCGTGTCGGATTGCCGTCCTATCGGACTATTTAAATCAGGGAATAAAGAGTTTTCTTTTATAGATTAGATTGGGGTTGACAAACGAACACACTACCAACTGATGCGTTGTCACCCCTGAGGACTACGACGGAATGCCTCGTTATCAGTAAAAAGGGTCTCCGGTTCTCTACACTCACAATATGAAACACAGCAGCATTAAGCTGCTATTTATGATATTCTTTGAGAGCGTGGTCCTTCCCCCGTCGAGCCAACCCATTCATAATTTAGTTGCAGCGTGGCTCCACCGCGTAATAGAGACACCTATGCTTGCCCATACACTTGTCTCTTCTCTACATGGCATAAAACAAAGTCGCTTCTCACCGTCTGTACGCTTAGATCTTTTAAACTACGCAACGGATTTTTATATTTCTTCTGTCCGTGTGTATGTGACTGAACTCCTCCTAAACAGCTGGACCGATTTTGATGAAATATTTGTGTGTGATTAAGTAGATTAGAGAATGGTTTTATACGTGGTAGAGCCATGGTGCAGCTATATTACTGGGTATTTTATATTTTATAGCGAAATGAAATGATTCTTGTACTACTCAGGGTGGAAGACGCTGACGGCTGTTACACAGTTTATACTAGTATTGCCGTCAACGCTAACTTCTTTGAAATGTTATTTTGTGTAATTTAAAATAGATATAATACATAAGTGTAATTTGTTAAACTGAGAGTCTAATAAATTATTATAACAATAATTATTATTATAGTTGTCGCACGAATGGGTCAGCTCGACCGGGGAAGGACCACGCTCTCACAGAATACCAGCGTAAAATAGCGGTATAACACTGATGTGTTTCGTATGGTGAGTGTAGAGAACGAGAGACCCTTTTTACTGAAAACGAGGCATTCCATCTTAGTCCTTACGGGTGGCAACGCATCTGCATTTTGATTCGCAAACGAGGATAGATGTAGATGTCTATGGGCCACAGCAACCACCTACCATCAGGTGGACTGTGTGCTCGTTTGTCACCCTCATCCTATAAAAAATGGTTTAGATTCACAATTGGACCCGGTAGGTGGCGTCGTTGTCGAGATCCACAAATCAACCGTGCGAATCCCTGGCGGATTACTAGTGCACTATAATCTTGACCTGCGCAGATAGCTATTTGTCACCGTTAAGACTGGCCACTGTGTGATCGAAATTTGGTCTGGAGGAAATTATTATTACAGCAATAGATACTATAATCCATTACTATGATCACGGAGTTGTAAGCAATAAATTAATAATATCACCTAGATATATCGATCTATCAGTGTAATCTACGGATATATTGTGCGGATTACTTAATGCACTCACGTATTTATCTGCGGGCAATCCATGCAGATAGTTTGTTATGATAGCGGTCTTAGACGTGCCGGTATCGCCCACCAATAAAACCGGTCGTTCTACCTGCAATATTGAATAACTTTTATTAATAATTTCTTAAAAAATTACTACTATTCATAGTAAAATTATACTATGCAGGCTAATAACAATAAAGTAATGAATCATAACTGCCTAGCTACAAGCACCACATGCCTGTCATTTTCGAGAAGTCAATAAATATTGAATGCAGCACGCTTTTGTAATGTAGGTTTTTTATAACCCAGAATAAGGTAATCATTTCAGCAGGGTTATAAAATAAATGGGAAAACTATAAAAGTGAATGAATGATGAATGTCATATCTGAACGTTACGCCACGTGACTGTCACGTTCGTTAATTTTATTCATTTTAATAGTTTTTGTAGGGATAACGATAGTGGAATGTCATCTTGGCATACCCAAGTGAAATGTCTATAAAATGTTTTTGAACATTTTATATTTATTAAATAAAACTATTTTGTTCTACGTTCGATCGTCCCCGCCATTATATCAGATTTTATATATGAGAAAAAGATTTTAAAAAAAGAACACCGATTCCTACCAAGGCGAGGCTATTGAAATAAAAAAAAATATTCTAATTTCAATAGAGAAAATGGATGGGTACTGCCATCTGCTAGGGATCATATGATTAACAAAATTAAATCCAAACCCAAGCATACCACTGCATTACTTCAAGATACTGTAAGCTAGTTCTGGGTAGATCGGATCATCGGACCAAAAATTAATATTCATAAACTGACTAACAAAATGACATCGGGACGTCAAACATCTTAGCCCCCCCCCCCCCCCCACGTGACCATTGTGTAAAGCATTCAAAACGCCGGAAATTAAAAAATAGGTAAATTAAACGCGATAAAATCCGTGTTATTACTCACACTCTCCATGATCTTAATAAGCCAGGTTAGTCGCAGCGTGTCCACAGTAGGCACCAAGATGGAGGGAAACTTCATTTCGCGATCGTGGATATACTCGGGCACAAGCCATTCCCACGCCTCCCAAGTTTTCGTTGTCAGTTCCAGGCAATAGTCGTAGAGAGACGGAAAGCCCATTGGAAAGTGTTCTATAAAAAAACGTCAAGTTGGTATTGCTCTCTGCAATCATCGCATTTTATTTTCAATATGACGGAGATACGTACGAACGATTGTGTTAGGGTTCTTGGAGGCTCTTGAAGAGATAGTAAACTGATTCATTAATAATTACATAGTGAGTATGGAAACCAAGTGAGTCGTCGGTAACTGCTCGTTAATCAGTCGGCCAGGCGAAGTAATTATGTCAAATCCTCCTATAACTTAACTCGGAAGAGCTAAAACCTATCCAAAATTCGATTGTTTACTGGCTAGCCCTTTAATTACAGTAATTAATAATCGCATATAATCTCAAACCTTAAAACAAAATTTTGAGCCTACTCAACTAGGCTTTGGCACTAAATTTGGCTGTAAAGCGCCGGTTCATTCACTGCGCACTTTTTTAATAAATTCGTGTGAATGATTTTAACTCTATCGATATGGTAACTATCGGTCCGTGGGGTCCATGTGCGGTGAAATTCCTAAAGAAACTGTATCCGCGACTGGTCTTCGCTGCTGCTATGATAAGAGGGCTGGTTCTTTTCTCGCTCAAAGGGTAAGTATCTATTCAGCGAGAAAATGCAGCCAGCGTTCTTGGCACGATATCACGGGGACTGTATGACAATTTCAATTTTTAGTTTTAGTTTTTCTTTATTATAGTTTCTTTTTAATTTTGTGTGTAACCTTTTAGTTAGATTTAATTTTATACTATGTTTTAACAACGTAAATAAATAAAGTAATAACTGTTAAAATATAATGTTTTAAATAGCATAATATTTTTATCCGAATAACGCAACAAATTAACTAAAATATATCATATATTTCTTTAGGTATCATGAAGGAAAGGACATGAAAATGCGATAATTTTAATAAGCAGTTGGCATAGGCTAAAACTTGAGGGTATTACTCACTAAAAACTGAAAAAGCTGCAACAGTGACGATTAACGTTTCTGACTTAGTTCTTGCCACAAATATATGCTATAAAGTTAAAATACACAACGGTAAAAGGATTACTAACTCGTTGTGGCCTTCTTTTCGGGGTTATCTTCCACCAACATCATCGGACAGGCTTTCTTGATGTAAGCATCAAAATCGAAACGTCCATCATCCACAATGGCGGCACCCAAGCTATTGTACATTGACTGTAAAAATATTAACATTTTTAACAAAATCACGTTTCATTTAAATTATTACGACAAAAGAGCAAATATAGCATGTAAAAGAAATCTTGGAGGCGCCGGGTATCGATCCCGGTACCTCTCGCATGCTAAGCGAGCGCTCTACCATCTGAGCTACGCCCCCGTTGTATATGAATGCCAAAATCGACATTACAAAAAACAAAAACTATACTCAAAGTGAAAGGCGCTGCAAGTATTGCAAATATTATATTTCTTTAAAAGGTATAATTATTATTTAGTCTAAACTATAATGTTTAATATGAATGAAAGGGTGCACAATGTTTTTCAGAAACTAGTTTGTTTTAGATTAATGGAACTCGACAAATGTGTGAGTCGATTCGTAGCGCCTCTTTAAAATACCACGAAGGCGCGGTTTAGAAAGGAAATTGGTCCGTAGTCCTTCAATAGTTTTCACTATTTCAATAATTATTTTAAAAATGTTTGTAATATTCGTTCTTGAAATATGGAACCAAGCCATCTCAGCTCAGCGTAGAACCAATTTTGAAGGACTTAAGTACCGGTAGCCGGGCATTCCATCCTCACTCGGGCATTTTTTAAAACTGTGTAGAGCCATTTTAATCGCGCTCCAACTGACGTTGGGTTTATTGGCGGAACGACTGACTTCTTGGTCTTAGTGGTCGTAAGAGCGACTGCTGATTGTGGTTCCGGGTTCGAACCCCAGGTCAGGCCAAAATCAGTTATTGGGTTTTTCTGTAAAGAAATTCTCAGTGGCGGCCAGAGTTCAGAAAGTTGGCGGTGTTTCAACGCCGTTTTTTTTATAGGAGAGGGGGCAAACTAGCATGCGCCTCACCTGATGGTAAGTGACTACCGCCGCCCATGAACAACTGCAACCCCAGGGTAACCAGTAGAATTGCAGATGCGTTGCCGGCCTTTTAAAAAGGAGTAGACTCTTTTCTTTTCGCTTTCGCTTTCCTTTAGTCTTCTTCTTTCAGGTCCCTAATCTTATGGGTCCGGAAAAATCGCTGATGGTAATCGATTCCACAAGAAAGTCGTGCGAGGAAGAAAACATCTTCTAAATCGCACAGTGGCGGACCGCCAATCGTTCAGATGGTGTGGATGGTATCAGGAGTTCTGACGCGATGTGCGTTCATGAAATTTGGCGGCTGAGATTAATTCGAACAATCCCTCAGAGCACTTTCCGTGTAAAATGCGAAAGAAAATGCAAAGGGATGCAACATCTCTTCGCAGTGCCAATGAATCGAGCCGATCAGGAAGGACTCGGTCGTCGACGATTCGAGGCGCTCTGCGTTGGATGCGGTCAAGTGGAAGGAGCTAGCACTGGGGAGCCCCTACCCAAAGATGGGAACAGTATTCCATGTGAGGCCGAACCTGCGCCTTGTAAAGCAGGCGGTGTGCCGGCATGAAATACTGTCACGCTCTGCTGAGCACGCCAAGCTTTTTGGAGCTTTTGGCTTCTCTTCCAAGTGACCACGACACTGCACGTCACTCGATATGTCGACTCCAAGGATTCCGATACTGGCTGAGGCAAGAAGGGGAGTGGCTTGAAACTGTGGAGATACGACAAAGGGGTTCTTTTTAGCGGTAAACGCGCAAACTTGTGTCTTCTGAGGATTAAACTGGACTAAATTTAGTCGCCCCCAATCCGAGACTTTGTTCAGCAAAGACTCGACTTCAGACACAAGTTTGTTCCAGTACTCAGCGACGTTTTCCCGAGAAATATTGGCACGGCCGGTGTATAAAGCATCACCAGTGCTGTCATCCGCATAGCAATGAATGTTACCAGTTAGCAACATATCATTGATATGCAGAAGAAACAGCGTTGGTGATAGCACACAGTCTTGTGGAACACCAGCGTTAATAGGCTTGTAGTCGGAGCATGCACCGTCTACAACAACCTTGATGCTACGATCTGCAAGGAAGCTGGTGATCCAAATGCACAATTTCTCGGGAAGCCCATAGGAAGGCAGCTTCGAAAGAAGCGCTTTGTGCCAAACCCGATCGAAGGCCTTCGCAATGTCAAAACTAACGGCCAACGCCTCCCCCTTGGACTCTACTGCCTACGCCCATCTATGGGTCAGGTAGACCAGAAGATCACCAGCTGATCGACCCCGACGAAAACCGTATTGGCGGTCACTAATCAGCTGGTGATCCTCAAGGTACCGCATGAGCTGGCAGTTAATAATGGATTCCATTATTTTGGAGAACAAGCGGGTTATTGCGATAGGCCTGTAGTTGGACGGGTCTGAGCGGTCGCCTTTTTTAAGGATCGGGTGGACAAAAGCTGTCTTCCATGAATTCGGGACTACGCCTTGGCAGTAGGAGTACCGGAAAAGACGCGTTAAGACCGGTGCCAACTCCGGAGCACACGTCCTCAGCACAATTACGGGGAACCCGTCAGGCCCACTCGACTTCTGGATGTCCATTGAGAGGAGTGCTTTGCGAACCGAGCGCTGTGAGAACAGCACATCCGGCATGGAGCACTCACACCGCGGGATGGTCGGCAGTGTTTTCCCCCCGTCATCAAGAGTCGAGTTGGATGCAAACAGGGAGCCTAAAAGGTCGGCTTTGTCGTTTGCGGCTTGGGCCAGTGAGTCGTCCTCCCTGTGCAGAGATGGTAGTGATGGCTTACAGAAATTCCCTTGGACAGCCTTGGCGAGAGACCAGAATGCACGGGTTCCCGAAGGAAGGCGAACTAGCTTCTCGCCAATTCTGCCTATGTGCTCTGACTTTGCCTTTGCAATAACTCTTTTAACGTGCCTCGGAAAGCACGTAAAGGCGTTGGTTTTGCGCCTCATCTCACTCTGGTAGTGTCGGATTGCCGTCCCATCCATTGGACTATGAGGGACTATGAGTGAGGCGTGTAAGGGAGATAGGGAGGAGTAATTTGGTCTGATGGGCATTATTGGCGGAATAGTGGCAGATGAATTTGAACCTTCACTCTTGGGTCGTTCCTTACCTACTTTTGTATGAGGCTTAAATTACTTATTGTAAATGTTCGTGCAAGCTCTAAGTCTCATTCAGACTCCGGTTCTAGTTCGCAGACGGTCTTCAATTTCGACTGTTACCTTTTTTCCACTATACAGATCTCATGTAGACTTTGGACACTTGATACGAGCGACAGCTTTTTTATGCGAATTGTATGATAATTGCGTAAGTCTCGCTTCATTATCTGTCTGTTAAGATGTCCGTACGTGAATCAAAATGCAGATACGTTGTCACCTGTGAGGACTAAGATGGAATGCTTCGTTTCCAGTAAAAAGGGTCTCCGGTTCTCTACACTCACCATACGAAACACAGCAGCATTAAGCTGCTACTTGACGCTGATATTATGTAAGAGAGTGGTCCTTCCCTGGTCGAGTCGACCCTTGCGTTTACAAACATAATCAAGCTGAAGCATGGCTCCGCCAGGTATGCTACGACTGGATGAACACTTTCATTCAACTTTTAGGCTTTTTTTTGTAAATTTTCTGGTTGTTTTAGTCCTTTTCTACTCGTATTTACTTCAAATACATAAGCAATCAATTCAATTTTAACACCACACCCATTATTTTTCTATTTCTATTGCTAAACATTCGGTGTTTATGTGGTCTTCGAGTGTTTGGCAATTTGCCAGGGTTTTGCGTTTCAATTTTAATTTACGTCAACGTCTTAAAAGTACTAGGACGTTATAGGTATCCCTGGGTATTTATTGCATGTGATAAATAAACGTACTTATTTCTCTAAAAATATTAAGTACAAAGAGCGAATTGAATAATATAATTGCAAGCACTAATGTGACAAAGATTTAATAAGGAATTGAAACATTTTCTATTGTATTTTGCCCATTACTTTGCTTATAAAACCTTATTTTTTATCCGCTTCGTTAAAAAATTCTTACAAATTGCTGTAGTAATTTAATTTAGATCACGTTTAATGAAAGTGCGGTGTTATGTTGTGTGCATTATAAAGCAAGCTATCAGCGTCACCGAAATGTAGTTTGGTGAATGTCAAACGCAGCAACGGCCTAGTTACGCACTCTGGTTGCGCAATTTTAATTTTTTAAAGTGCTTAATGGAGAAAGTATTGTTATGAATGTGAGGCTAAAAATAAGAGTATATGTAAAATATATTAAAAGATTAAGTATGTGGTATTTTGGGAATTTTTAAAATCGTTAATAGACCAAGTAGTGATAGGGTCATATACTGCTCTCCAGACCGTATTGCGGTCACTGCGGCCAGTCTTAACGGAGACTAGCCATCTACGCAGTACAAAATTATAGTATCATTATCAACAGTCGCGTTTACGATCACTAGAGAAATGCAGTCAAGGGTCATATACTGAACGCGTTAAGCCAATAAAATGGCGGCCGATATATTAACGACTTCATAGCGCAGTGGCTTAGCAATAAGTTGCGGCGTTGAGAACAAGTATTTGTACGGACTGCAAATAATTGTTCCGGGTCGGGATGTTCGTCCTTGTGAAATTTACGTATGTAAACTGACTCAACGATAAAGGAATCGTAAATAAGAATAAATCGTAATGTAACTTTTTTTAAAGTTACAAAATACTCATTCAAAGTTCTTTAAAATCATGGTGTATAAGGAAGGTAGACAAAGGTGAAGAATTATATCATTGTTACATCACCTATATTTTTCATAACACGCCTTTCTCCAAATACAAGAGAGCCATTTGATAGATACCTACTCCAAGACACCAGTATAATTTTATAAGATCGCGGATGACAAATAAGCACACATCATAAGGTATGGCCAATGAAATCAACTTAAAATTAATAAGAATGCAGATACGTTGTCACATCGAGAGGCATAATGGAATGATTCGTTACGAGTAAAAAAATATGTCTTCCTTTTTTTATACGATTACGTATCAAAATATAGATGGGTTGTCACCCCTGAGGATTAAGATAGAATGCCTCGTTTCCAGTAAAAAGGGTCTCCGGTTCTCTACACTCACCATACCGAAACACAGCAGCGTTAGGCTGC